GTCTACCTTCATCACTTCGCACTTGCTCGAGTTAAACTCTAATAGCCATCAGTTGGACCATTCCTTCAGTTTGTCCAAGTCATCCTGTAGCCTCTTGCTGACTTTCTCTGTCTTAAACCTTCTCATAATTTTAGTATTATCAGCAAACAATGAGAGGAATGAGTCTATATCTTCTGAAAGATCATTCACGTATATCAGAAACAGGATAAGGTAGAGTACAGAATCCTGTGGGACTCCGCCGGTGACATCACGCGAGTCTGAGGTCTCATCCCTCACAGTAACTCTCTACTTCCTGTTGCTTAGGTACTCCCTTGTCCACTGGAGCACCTTACCACTTACTCCAGCTTATGCAACAGGCTAATCAAGGAGACCTTGATAAGCCTAAATATAAGCTTCATGTCTCTGACAACGGGAATTATATAGTCACCCCTCCTCATATATCTAAGGAGAACCTCATATATATATATATATATATATATATATATATATATATATATATATATATATATATATATATATATATATATATATATATGATATCATATATCATACATCTGCCCGTAGCGCTGTGCATACTAGTGGCTTTACAAGAATGTAAACACATCATGCTATGTACTCTCATAAAGCCAATATAACTTCTTCTATATATAAATATACTTGAACTGACTCGGGACTGCTATCAGAAAAAAATTGATCTGATAACACTTGTTGTTTTAATCTCCGTGGCTCCCTCAGGTGGTCCTCTGGCTTGTCCCCCCGCACTGACCCAGTTGGTATGACATCAATTAGTATTCTATTGCATAGACGCGAGCAAACAGATGTCTGAATACTGAGCGGCGTCACCCGCTGGTGTGTCCTTGCTTTAGTTACCGATTGTCGTTTTCCATTTTCTATTATAACAACTAGTAGTATATATTATTTATTTTGGATAAATTGTCCGAGAGAAAGACTGATGAGGGTCAAAGGAGGTAGGGATATGGTGCAAGGTTTAGGGAGTGAAGGAGGGTGAGGAGGTCATACTTTGACCTTGAGTGGCAGGATATAATGCAGTAACGGTAGGTGGGGCAGGTTGGGTATGAGGGTGGTACGAGTATAGCCTCTAGCTATAGAGGGTGGTATAGCCTCTTCTCGAGTGGAGAGGCTATAATACAATAAATAATACAATAGCGGTACAATACTCACACCACATTATCTTCTCCAAAGGTCACTACTCTGCTGTGAAAACAATGTATGTATCTTCGTGTTGTGTGCAGCCAGCCACACTTACACACCATAAAACTCGAAGCACGTGCATCCTCAAATCAAGAGGGTTACTGATATCGAAACTAATTCATAAATATATCAAGCATAATCGTAAATTAACAATTCTAGAACCAAAATAGGTATTGCCATTATGAACAAATATGATAAAGCATTCCGGAGAGTATTCATAATATATTGGCGAGTTCGTCAATTGTTATTTAATAACAAATTGGATTATATCCTTGCCACCACCACCACTGGTTCCAATACCTTGCCACCATCGTCGTCAACACTTAGTGTTTTCTTCAAGTAGGTGTATTGTATGCTCAAGGATGTTGACCCCAGGACAGCATTCTCGCAAATAAACAGGTGACGTCACTGTCAGGAGTCGTGACGTCAGTTCCAGGGGTGGTGACGTCAGTGTAAGTGTTACCTTTTTTTTGGGGGGGGGCTCAGTTCTGCCCCCCCCCCCTTTTAATGTAGTCCCATTGACTAGTAATCCACAGTGATCTCCCTTTTACACTGTCTAATCACACACAACGCTGCACAAGCTAACATAATAATATACTGAATCAAATATTCATAAAATTTATTTAAAATATGAGCACTAATAAATAATTCTAAAAACTATGAACACTAACATGTATAGTTGGACATGTATATGAGTGGGATTGGTGGTTATAGATAGGAGCTGCCTCGTATGGGCCAATAGGCCTTCTGCAGTTGCCTTTGTTCTTATGTTCTAAACGTTATAATACTTTTGTATGATAATACTATACTTTTACATTGTAACTTCATTATAATATGAGGAGGAAACTTCAATAACACTCTTTATACTAGGATAGGCAAGTGGTGGAATAACTAAGGATAATTCAGATAATTAGGATACGTCGAGAGAAAACAAGTATTACAATAGGATAGGTGAGGATAGGGGTTAACTCTGATTATGGGAGGAATATTGCGTTGTAAAATATCACAAGATCTGAAGCTACCGGAATCAAGTTCAGTCTTAGTACATATGTGAACTGTATTATTTATTTAACACAAGTTATCACATTTAAAATTAAAATATGGTTCTACCAAATACTTTTATGTCCAAAAGAGTCACTCTTCAGTGAGATGGTAACACCAAAATCACTCATATAGAGTAAATCCAGACTTGTTCTCCGCGACGACTGCAAAAAATCCAGATTAGTCCTAGTGACGAGAGGAGGAAGAAGCTATCGGGAGAAAGCGCCAAGCCATTACGACTATATAGCACTTGGAAGGGATCAGGATAAGAATTTGTGATGGGACGGGGGGAAGGAATGGTGGCCAAGCTCTTGTGGACGGTCGGGGATTGATCGCCAACTTGCATGAAGCGAGACCGTCGCTCTACCATCCAGCCCAAGTGGTTGGGCACCATTCTCTCCCCCCCGTCCCATCCCAAATCCTTATCCTGCTCCCTTCTAAGTGATAAATAGTCGTAATGGCCTGGCGCTATATAAAGTTGCCGCTGTCCCATAGACAGCTGCAACTTTTAGAAACGCCACGACATTCCCAATCCACCAGGTAGGTGTTCCGTATTCCTGCAGACTCACCGCCTAGACCCTACCCACATAGAAAGCCAAATGAGATTTTGTCATGAATACCTTGGCCTCGCTGGGTCTTCCAGTTTCCGCGCCACCTTGAAGTCAGCGCCGCTCAAGGGATGGGGGGCAAAGAGACGAAGCTTAACCCCCCCCCCTCCTTACAAGCACAATTAAATGAATACACGAATACATTCGTGTTTTCAAGAACGTCTTTCCCGTCCCTTAAACAGCTGTTTCGTCAGCTATAACTCTTCCACTAGTCTTTCTTCCTCACCCCCTCACCAGGCGTTCTTAGAGGTAAGCAGCTCGGACTCTCAATTGCACACGGGAGACATCTCCCGTCACGCAGGGTGCAGTCGCACCTCCACAGATCTCCAGTATCAGCTCTTGATACTGGTAATGACAAATGGGCCACCACTTACGGACTTTTCATGCCCGTGCCACCGTTTGGGTGTCTTAATCTTCATCAATCAATCATCTCAATTGCATAGACAACCAAGACACACAAGTGCCTCTTGAGTCCAGTACTTGGTGAGCGCATCCAGGGGGGAAGAGCATCAGCCGATGTTAATCCCCTAGGGCATCCCCCTTAGTTAATGCTCCCCTCCCTTCCCTCCTCTAGTGTCGATGATGTTCAGTAGGGGGATGGCATCTTGGGCAAATAGAAGGCATGTAGGCTGTGAAGGCATTGTAGCAGGGACCAGATTCACGAAGCAAGTTACGCAAGTACTTACGAATGTGTATATCTTTCCTCAGTCTTTTAGTAAAAGTTTCAGGGCACCGTAATATTAACGTTTTCTATGCCATGTGCTCAATGGTTAGGTGGGTTGTGTTCATACGTTTATGGCTAGACAAAAACAGTAGCATTTTTTGTTTCTAATTCGGCAAAACAAGTTTTTTTTTTTTTTTACATATCGGGAGCGGGCTGGCTTAGGCTGCCTCGGACGTGAATATTGAACCATGTTGGGAGTTCTAACCAGAATCAGAATCTTTATTTGGTAACGACTTAATCAAATTGTTTCAATTGTGGCTGAGCTGACCAGGTGTACAGCTGTGTACAGCAGTCTTATATTTGTAGACATAATTTGAATAACAATTTATTGTAACTCTGCATAATAAATGAGCCAAATCAAAGGCAAGGTAATTATGAGGAGAAAGCGTCAGGCCAGTACGACTATTTAGCACTTTTACTTAAAAACTATAGATTATATATAGAAACTAGTAAGAAAATATCGAAGTTATATCATGGGATCGAACCAGCGTACCTAGACGCCTCAGGCACACGCACTGCCAAGTAGACCATGACGGGCTTAAAAAGTCTCGATCAGTGTTGTTTCTCATAGGTATATCACGGTCTTGTGAGCTCCTTGTTCCTGTTAGTTCCTTACTGTTGATAACGATCACTGTGAAGTTTATCACCATGAATATGGGTATGAGTTGTGTGGAGTTAAAATTATGTTTTAGGGGGGAAGGAATAGTGCCCAACCACTTGGACGGTCGGGGATTGAACGTCGACCTGCATGGCGCGAGACCGTCGCTCTACCGTCCTGCTGTGGATGTGTGAAATGTGGGTTTTGGGCCATGGTGGGCCGGGGTGTCTGGAACAGTGACGGTGTACCTCCGTCAGAGTAGCCTGAGGTGTCTGAAGCAGTGGTGGTGTACCTCCGTCAGAGTAGCCTGAGGTGTCTGGAATACTGTTAGTGTGTCTTCGTTGACGGAGGTGTTGTTGTTGTTTCAGATTTAGCTACTCAGAACGAAGTGTCCATGTAGCACAGGCTATGGTGAGCCCGTAATGAAATGAGGGGCACCTGAAGTAGTGGTGACATGCCCAGTTACCACACCCGTCAAGAGCTACCTTGCCACGGGCCACGACCCTGAAGCACCAACCTACCAGTGACGCACACGCCGACTACACCCTCAGGCAACGCTTGTGAAGGACATGCCACACGTTCAGTCACCGTGGTGTAGCATGTTGTATAACCTGCAAAACAAATACATTTGGGAATGACGAATACAACCACTACAGTTTGGTGTAAACAATACTAGTACCCTTGGCTAACCATTCCCAATACCACTCACTTTACGTAAGCACCTCAGAAGACATTATTTTGCCTTGACAAGATGAAGGATGAATTGATAGCAGGAGAAGCAGCTTGGGTGTGGCCGGGTCCCTGGGAGCCGCCTGGGCTTGTTTTTCCTGCAGGAGATGCAACCTGGGGGATGAGGAGGGTGGGTGACCTTGGGCGAGGCCTTCCACCGCTCACAGTCCCGTATATATAGCCAGTGTCCCGTCACCCAGGCAGTGTAGCTCCTCTTCTCCTCACATCATGAAGACTCTGGTGAGTGTTCAGCGAGGAATCTTGCAGTGTCTCAAACACCACTCTTATCTCCATCGCCCAACAAAGGAAATCATTTATCGAGTGTTTGTAATTGGATTTGGTGCTACAATATATTCCGCTGTTTAGTAACCTAAATTATCTAACAAAAAATGAAACTAAATCCTGAAGCCTGTTGATGACGGTACAATTCTCTCCTGATCAATGAACTTGTAGTCAGGCACGTCCATCATTCCTCACTTGATTCCAATAGCTGTTTATTTTCATAGTTCACGCATTTCATTACAAGTACTGGAGTTTACACAAGATAGTGTCATAAAAATAAGGCGACTCCATAATCTTTTGTGCGTCAGTAAATAATGGCAGCATTATTATAAATGAGCTTACGCTTAAGATAAAACTACAATTGATAGCTTTGCTATTATTTACTGACAAGAAATTCTGTTGGATAAACATTTTACACATGTATATCAACATGTTCTTCTGCCTTGAAGGGATGGAAACTTTCATAAGAAAGCGTCAAGCCATTACGACTATATAGCACTTGGAAGGAGTCAGGATAAGGATTTGGGATGGGACGGGGGAGGAGGAATAGTGCCCAACCACTTGGACGGTCGGGGATTAAACGCCGACCTGCAGGAAGCGAGACCGTGGCTCTATAGTCCAGCCTAACTCGTTGGACACCTCTTGTTTACTCACACTAGCGCCTCTAGTCCCAGCATAAGTATTAACAAATCTAAATTGATGAGAAAATACCCTAGGGCAGTGAGGTGGGCGCTAACCTACCACCAAGGCAAGGCCAAGCCGCCTCTTGCCTGGGTCATGGGATCATTCCCACCTTACGGCCCTAGAGGATTTACTCATTGATATCTATCACTTTAATGTGATTTCTGCGTGTTTCTAAAGAGTTCTCAATTTCAAATCCTTTTATCGCACAAGCTGCCTCACGCGAGAGTTCTACTCGATAGAGTATCAAGAATCAATATAATTTTTATACCGGTCACAGTGAAAAATCACAAATAAGGTGATGAATCTAACAATAAATATTGAGGGCATTACGAAGGAGTCGAACTCGCGTCCGTGGGTGTACTAATACCGTCGTCTTTACCCGGTGAGGTTGGATAAGTCGTACACACAAATGCGTAAACAAATATCCCATTTTGTGGTCCTCGATGGCGAGTATATGGATTGTCCCCATTATCAATGGTCAAGCCCGTCATGCATTGTGAATGAACTGCCTGATACGCGATCTTTTGTTTGACTTACATTGCAGTAAATACCATTTATGTCTTGTATAACTGTAGGTGTTGGGTTTGATTTCCCCGGCAGATTTTGTTTGGCGTGATTGCTGCGGTCCTGGCCGTTCCAGTGCCCGAAGCTGATCCTGCAGCTGATCCTGATTGCGATAAGCTGCCTGTAGTTCCAGCTCTACCATATACTGGCTTTGGATTTGGCCCCATAGCATACGGTGCCCCTGCAGCTGTTGCCCCGGTAGCTGTTGCACCCCCAGCTGTTGCCCCGGTAGCTGTTGCACCCCCAGCTGTTGCTCCCGTAGCTGTTGCTCCCGTAGCTGTTGCTCCCGTAGCATACGCCGCTCACGTAGCTTACTCCGCCCCAACAGAAGTCAAGATCCCCATCACATCTACACATGTGGAGGTGCCCATTGAGCAGAAGATTCTTTACGGAGCTCAGAACTACGTAGCCGGGCACAACACTGCCATCTACAAGCCATCCCTGGCCGCCCCCGCCATCGCACCGCCCAGTGTCCTCCTCTCAAAGATAACTCAAAATGCCCCCGAGGTCACCATCGAGAAGCAGGAGATCCCCGTCGAGCAACACGTCCCGAATTTCGTCGACACTCCCTACCACGCTGGCACCATCATCAAGTACACCGCACCTGATGTCAAGGAGGTCAAGGTGGCCACACCATATGCCCAGCCTGTACCCGTGTCAGTGCCCGTGCCCGTGGCCCAGCCCGTGCCCGTGGCTCAGCCCGTGCCAGTGGCCCAGCCTTTGGCCGTGGCTTATCACCAAGCTCCTATTACATACACGGCCGCTGTGGTCGCCAAAGACTGCTAATGACGAACGCCAGGAACCTCTGCAGATATTCACGCCAAACATTAACTTTTCTGATGTAGATTTTCTGTAAAATAATTGGAAGTAAACTCATAAAATACAACACTGCGTTAATTTCCTTTTTACATTAGAAATGAAATTAGTTTGGTTTGGTTTCAACCAAAATGTCATATCACATGGTAAATATTTTGATGATATAAATTCACTACTCAGCACTAGGTACTAAATTATCGTTCATTATTTTAACAGAAACCTGGCTGAGTAAAGAATATACCCAATTCTACAACTTAGCCGGTATAAAGCCAGTCACACCTGTAGGCCTAATAAAAAAAGGAGGTGGCAGAGCTATATATTACCAAGATACCTTCATCTGCAATAGTGTCATTAGTGATAGATGGAACAAAACTATAGTCTAACTTGTAAGACTATAGTGTCATTAGTGATAGAGACGACTATTGTGAATATACCTTTGCTCAGTTTTCAAATAAATCCCTTAAATCCTCCTTGACTATTGGAACTATCTATAAATTTTCCAATACTAACAGCTTCATTCTCAGATAACCTAAGTAACCTTATCATAAACAACACTCTCAACAAAAATCACATCATTCTAGGAGGAGACTTCAATATTGACCTGTGTCAACAAAATAGCCCCCCAAGTCGACTATTTCCTAAACATAATGAACTTCTGTATGCTAATCCTCACAATCACCAATCGCACCCAAATCGCTCAAACATCTGCTACTACCTTGCTTTTTTATGGACTAATATAACAGCTCCCCCTTGCATCTGGTATAATCATTGACAGAACAACTGACCACTATCCTACCTTCCTCGTAGTAAACATGGACATAATACCACCAGAAAACAAGAAACATTCAGGCTACACAGTGTAGCAGCAATAGGGAACCTCGCAAATGCACTTCACAATATTAACTGGGAATCTGAATTCAGAAATACACAGGATATAAATTCATTAGCTAATCTCTTCCTTTTCAAAACTTTAAGCCTCTACAACCCTCATTGTCCCCCTCCTCACCAAGCAAGCAACTAACAGACAAAAGAATAAACAATCCTTGGCTCACAAGTTTCATATTCAAAGCAATCAACAAGAAACATGAATATGAAAAAACTTAGGATAGACTTAGTTACAAAGGAAGTAGTTTAGAGGCACTCATCAATGCTTAACAGTATAATAAGAAATGCAAAACTTTCCTATTATGAGAGTAGAGTCAAAGAAGCAAAAGGCAACATGGAAAGCCATCTCTAACATCCTAGGAACTAAACAACGCTCACATAACCAGATAAAACCCTCCAATGATGGTTATACACCTGCAACTGATTTAGATACGGAAACTGAATTTAATAGCTTCTTTTCATCGGTTGGTGCTAACCTTGCCAGAAAAATACCACGGGCTCACCATAGCCCATGCTATTTGGAACTTGTTCCTAGTAGCTGAATCTATAACAACAAGAACAGAATAGCCAGCAGTATAATTTCCAGTATTTACTTCAGTACAGACGCTTCAGAGTTACCACACCTCTTCAACTTCAAGAATGTAGCACTTGGTTAATGCAGTTCTAATCGACCCCAAGACGATCCAGCTTCGACACAGAGCAGTAAACCTCTACTCAATGCGGTCGTAGAGGTTTACTACGACCGCATTGAGTTTAGACACTCACCACCCCATCGAGTTTAGACACTCACGATTCCCCATCAAGGCGCCAGGCTCATCGGCATCGAGTTCCTGCTGGAATCAAAACTACTAAATAAATATGAAACCCACTAAACACTGTGTATCTAATCGACCCAACAACGTAACATAATCGTACGTTACAACAGCGAGCTCGTGTATGCCTTTTCCTCTTGTTTGCACAAGATCAGGTTTGAGTGCTCTTAGATTTCGAAATAATGCTCTTTAGCCGTGAAATATGTATACATAGGTCAGTTAATTAATCGAAAAAAGGCAATAATGCTTTCCAGTCCTTTAAATACTTCAACAAATACTTTAAATAATGCTCTGTAATTTTTTAAATATGTATTATAGCCGTAAAATACGGATATACGTAGGTCAATTAATGAAGAAAAAAAAGGCTGCACAGTGACATGTATATATAACATTAATAATTTTGTAACTAGCGTCAAAAATTGTTATTTGCTTAGCTAAACGAACTAGAGGGTTCAGTTCCTGAACTGATTATGTGCCTCTGTAATCATTTACACCACCGCCCACGGGATGGGTATGGGGTGCATAATAAAGAAAGAAATTGAATTAATACTCAACCAGATGCGCCCAATATTATATAGCTATCCGCGCATTGTTGGAGATCCGGCCATATGTGTTATCTGAGAACGCTCAGCGGGTTTTCCAGGTAAAATACATTATAAACTTCTGAACAATTAACCTTAATGGTTGTAGATATATTAGCTACTAGCTCATAAGGCATTGTGGCAGTGTTGTATGCATATTAGACAATTATGTACACATTACCAGTTGCCTTAAAATATCGCCCTGCAAATAATGCAGCGCCCCTTGGAACTGCGTTTAACAAACTTATTGCCACATTGTTATGTGTTTACCATATATGTAATCCTAAAGGTTAAGTAAAAGCTCATTATATTGACTGTTCTCGAATTTCTCCTGAAAAGGCGCATGGTTGTCTCCAACAGTGCGCGGAACAAATATTTTATTATTATTTATTTTATTTATTTATATACAAGAAGATACATTGGGTATGAGAGAATACATAGCATAGTATTTACAATCTTGTAAAGTCACTAGTATGTGCAGCGTTTCGGGCAGGTCCTTATTGTAACATAATTTTAAGTAGGTCAATTCTAGCAGAATTAATAAAATGATAACAGATACATTGCAAGAAAAAAATGAGATGAGAGAGATTAGTAAGTATAGTAAGGCACATTGGTATATTAAACCAATGAGAAGCTTGAGAATACACCAGAGAAGCAATGAGAATACACCAGAATTACCCTTATGTTTTGTCTACAAAGTTTTTAAATGGAAGCGACGGTAATCTCTTATGGTGCAATAAACGGTACATTAGGTAGAATAAAATAAACATGGAAAGGTGATACAAATATTAGTGTGTGGTAATATGGAGCAGATGCGACTAGCAACAGGGTGGGAAGTACACGTCGAGCTGCAGTGGTTTACACAAGCGCTCCGGGTAGACTCACAGGAGTGTACCAAGCTTCTCAGGTGTGTGAATATATATATATTAGAGGTTACTGGAGTTGTAGACTATATTTAGGACTAAGTGTACTTGCGGGTTGGGCAGTAAGCTACTGTGTCGGCCTTATTAACCCTCCAGAGGTTGATGGTCCCTGACGCCTATAGGATCATCATAGTACAGTCGGATTCTCGACTCACAGTCTGGAATTCTGGGTTCGAATTCCAAGCTTGACAGAAATGGTTGGGCTCGTTTCCTGTAACCTAATGTACCTGTTCACTTAGCAGTAAATAAATACCCAGGAGTTGGTCAGCTTGTTGGGGGCTACATCCTTGGGTGGGTCAGTAATTCGACCTGGGGGGGGGGGCTTGATATAAGCTTAACGTGTATGTATATTTACACTGGCTGCCTGTCCCCCGACAATTAATTATCTTCTTCTTGATAGTAGGTGCAGTTTGCATGAAGGGTTTGTCCTCCCGATGACTGCACCATTACAGATGTTGGTAGAGGCGTTTACCTCGGGAAAACTAGGAGGGGGGACATTTGACAAGCCACTGGCTTCCTGTCCTCGTCGAGACCACTAGAATGTTGGTGGCCCTCGGTTAAATACATGCATGCTGCCTGTCCTCGACAGAATTATTATTAGTTATTGTTATCATTATTAAGTCCAATGCTAAACCAAGGTGTGTGGCTTGGGGTTATGGTCAAATCATATAAGGCAATGAATAAAGAAAATTGCAGAAGGCCTATTGTCCCATAGGAGGCAGTGTTTATATTTAAACAAGGGAAATTTCTTTGCAAATGAGGGATGACTTCCTGCCTGAATTTTGGCAAATGGCTGGCCAAACACCTGCCATGTATTATATATTAGAGGCTACTTGCATATTTTTATTGTCTATAAAAAGTACTGTATTTTCAGACTTTTCATCATTTTATAGATAAATGCCTTTTCTTGGTGTTATGTAAATGCATTGTTTGTTACTTTAAGTATATTATTTAAACACAAATACCTTACGTTAAGTGGCTGGACAATGGCCTTCCTCATTTGCGTAATAGTGGCTTCAGGTATTGTATGTACTAGCCCTATCTATGAATCCATCAACTTTTGTATTTCACCTTGTATGTATGTACTTTACCTGAATAAATATTTGTATTTCAACAAAGTAGGAAATAATAATAATAATAATAATTTGTGTTGGGGGACAGAGGCTGATTTTCAGTCTCTTGGATTCTCTTAACAGCACTTTTGGCCATACTTATTTTCTGACAAGTATTTTGATGGTGCTAATGAGATACAGTAATTTGGGTCTTGGTAACTATAAGTGGAGTACCACAGGGGGTCCGTTTTGGGGTCAACCCTTTTTGTCATATATGTTAATAACATAGATGAGAATGTTACAAACCACATTATCAAATTTGCAGATGACAAAAATTTATGGTAAAGTGGAAAATGAAAATTATATTGAAGCTTTACAAAGAGATCTACATGAACTCCACAAATGGTCAGAAAACTGACAAATGTTTTTAATATCAACAAATGCAAGACCTTGCATGTGGGACATAGCAACCCATGCCACAACTACTAAATTAATTACGTTTCATTACAGCAGACTGATGAAGACAAGGACCTTGTAGTCAAAATCCACCATTCACTGAAAGTTTCACAACAGGTAGGAGCAGCAGTAAAAAATGCTAACCAAACACTTGGAATAATAAAGCATACTTTGACTTTTAGGAAAAGAAGGTAGTGATTCAATTGAGTAAATCTCTGGTCCACCCCCATTTGGATTACTGTATCCAAGAATGGAGTTCTCATCTTCAGAAGGATATAGCTGCTCTGGAGAAGTGGAACACCGGACAACAAAAATCATTCCAGAGATAAGTCAACTTTTGTATCAGGAACAGTTGAGGGTCACATGGCTAATAACACTGCAAACCAGGCATGATAGGGCAAATCTCATTGAAACTTAAAATAATGTGAAACTTTTAAAATAATTAATAATTTAGAGGATGTTGATCTGCACAATTTCCTCAAAAAGTCAGCTGTAACACAAACAAGGAGCAATGGTTTCAAGCTCAAGCCACTATGTATGACTGAAAACAGGAGATGCTTTTTCACACACAGGGTTATATACCCATGGAACTGCCTACCCACCTAAGCCGTAAATACCAAAACTCTATTAAATTTTAAAATCCAACTGGAAAAGATCAAGGCAAATGGGGGAGGGGACCTTCAACAAGACGCCGGCCTCCTGTCCTCGTCAAGGCCACTAGTGTTAGTGACCCCACAAGTAAATTTAGGTAAAAATTGAGACTGTTGTTAGCAGGTGGTGAATTGAAACGTGCAGGAGTTACCAGACTCCAGTTGATAATAATAACTCAAAGGTAAAGCATATACAGTATCTTGTAATGTCCACAGTAACTTCATAGGCAATGTCGTGTGTGATGCAGCACCATGAATAAGATTGCTAAATTCTAAATTTGTACAAACCTATTTACATTAATATCTTTTTGCAGTTGTTTTGTCGACCATCAACAGCAAAATGGAAGATTGGCTTTCTACCATACCCCGCTTTACCAGAACTTGGTTTGTTGGTACCATTGCTTTATCATTGCTGGGTCGATTTCAGCTAATCAATGTTTATTGGTTAGTGTTGGATGCTGACCGTCTCTTTAATGGTTTTCAGGTGAGTAGTATTATGATGATAGCTACTAATTCATTCTATACCATATGCTCCCTTTGATGAGGGGGGATGGAAAACATCCATCCATTTTCCTTTGATAGAAAACAGCAAATACTGTAGCATAGTGAAAGAGGGCTACAGATATTAAAATAAAAATACCACATCCATTATATCATTAACACCAACCTGTGTAGCATTATGAGTGAAAACAAGCATTGTTTACACTAGCAGTAATCCATAGTAGTACTTCACCCTACTTTATAAGACCATGTACTGTCCTCCAAGTGAATTATCAAATACAATACATTTACTTCCTCCTCATAAACAACTTCCATTCAGTTTTATGCCTCTCAGTATTTTGTGCATTCACATTGCCTTCTTACTTTTTTGTATGCAGTACAGTACTGTACTTAATCATCTTCAAACCCTTCCTCTCCTCCTATCTACATATATCTTCCAGAAGGCTAGCATGAGTCTGCCCATCATCCATCAGTGCTGTGGAGGCTGTGTGTTGACTGAATTGTGGTGCTCTTTCATGAGGGAGCATAAGCCAGTATTTTAACATTATCACAAGTACAAGATGGTACTGCACTATATACTGTACTTTATTGATACAATTATTTTTATTATGGTGCTGCTTTTTTATTTTGATATTACACATGAAATATCCATTTGAAAATAGAGTAAAGAACTAAAGGCTTGCTTGCTTTTTATAATGCTCAGAGAGGTGCTTATTAATATACTGTACAACTCAAATAAATTTTTGTTTTTTTGTTTACAGCTATGGCGGCCAGTGACAGCATTGTTGTACTACCCTACTAGTATGCATTTTCTCTTTAACCTCTACTTCCTGTACAACTACTCACTGAGGTTAGAAACGGGTAAATATGAAATATGATTTGCATACGTTTCTAATTTGTATAATTACAGTACGTTAAATAACATGTGTTACAATATTTGTTACTTAAATTAATTTAATATTTGTACACAGCCGTTTTTATTTGTAAAAAAAGACCTGGGGTAAATACTGGTTTGGAAATAGGGTGGTTGATTTATGGAATAAATTCCTATGTAACATCAGATGCCTTCAGACTCGCGGTCATTTGGCCTCTGTCTTGCGTCTTCTGGAGCTGTCTTTGGATTGGCTTTCAGGGGATGTGGGAACGCAGGGTGGGGGCTCCAGTTATTTCACTTCTAGCTCCTAATTTATGATCTGCCCGAAACGCTTTGCGTAATAGTGGCTTTAGGCATTGTATGTACTAGCTCTTATCTATAAAACCAACAAACTTTGTAAAATCTCTTTATGTATGTACCTTTGCCTAAATAAAAATTATTATTATTATTATCACATTCTCTGCACAGTTATTGAAACTGACATAAAAACTGATGTGTAGATGACAGCTTTGTGTGTTCAGATTTGAACTAAGCTACAAATTAAATTATTAGTCCTTGATCTTTTAGCTCATATTGCTAACAGATTTAGCTCTTTTTGAAGATTTCCATTTGGCATCACTGCTTCTCCATCTTGCTGGATCTTCTGTGGTGTGGACAAGTGGTACAAGGAACAGATACAGTATACTGTACCTGGACAGATGGATCTGTGAATAGTGAGTCCTCCAAGGAGTGCCGGACCAACCGGGCTGTGGTGGGTATGTGGGCCTGCGGGCCGCTCCAAGCAACAGCCTAGTGGACCAAACTCACAAGTCAAGCCTGGCCTCGGGCCGGGCTTGGGGAGTAGAACTACTCCCAGAACCCTATCAAGCAGGTATCAACCAGATAACTTGGTGAAATGTGTGTGGCAGTAGATAAAAAAAAAATGTTATGTGACAACTGTAAGAAAAACATTATAAGGGATTCTATTAATGAGGAAGGTCCAGACACATCAGTTGATGGAAAAAAGTGACACTGAGGTGGACACACAGGACTGAATCAGTTATACAATCATTAAATAAAAGTCTAAATAGTGTATTGCCTAAATAGAGTATTGCCTATCAAGAGAAAGAGAATGAAGGCAGGAACATACTGCAGAAGAAACCCCTACTAAAATTGCAAAGGTTGTGAAAGTCAAGAAAGGCTGGCACATGCCAGCCAAACAACTTGTGCCTGGTAATCCGGAGGTACGGGCGATGGTCAAACGATGGCTAAAGTGGTGTGATGATGCCATACTGCAACAACTGAAGGAAACGTTTGAAAAACTACTAAAAAATTATAAGGTTAACATTTTGACACTTCTTTCTAAAGACTATTCTTTCTAGAAGAATAGAGCAAGAATGTCCTATTCTTTCTAGAAGAATAGAACAAGAATGTCCTATTCTTTCTAGAAGAATAGAGCAAGAATGTCCTCATACAAGTAACCACATGATGAATAAAGTTAAGCAATTAGTAAGTTAGGGATTTTGTCATCACCAACTCCTAAACCAGGAAGAAGTTTGGACCCAGATATTGCTGAGACTGTGAGGAACTTTTCCTGCAATGATGTCAGCAGAATTATGCCTAGTAAGAGGGACTGTGAATGTTAGAAGAGGTGGTGCAAAAGAGCACATACAAGAGAGGCTGGTCTTGAACAATATTGCAGAAGTGTGTGTGTTCTGTAAACAGTCACATCCTGGGGTTGAAGATTGGTTGTCAAGATTTGTCTGTACATCCTAAACATTGTGTTATTGTGGTAGCAAGTGGTACACACACTGTATATGTTTGTGCTTTACATCAGAATGTGAAATTGTTAAAGGAATGGTGCAAGTTCTACCACAATTAGAAGTAAGGTTATTAATTTTTTTTTTAACTTTTAAGCAAATGTTTTGCATTTTTCCTCATTGATAACCATGCTGTATGATTATCATTCATTACTGAGTGATAAAATTTTGCATTTTCAAGTTACTTCATGTCTTCCACCATCCTGCCAAATTTTATGAAAGTCTGAGATGATCAGGTTGAGATGTCCACTTTTTCATGATGATTTGACATGGAAGGACCCAATAGACCTTCTGCAGTTTTCTTTATTCTTGTATTCTTGAGAATTAAGTACATTACACGGGATCCTACAAACAACCACCTGCATTGTTTGTTATGCAGCTTTTCACTGTTTTATGCTATTATACAACCATATACAGTAATAGGGTATTAAAATTAAATATTAAACAAATTGGGTGTTGAGGGGGGTTCCCATTCCTCGGGATCTTCAGGGGGTACCGTTGATGATTTATAGTCTGAAAGTAAGGATTGTGGATGTCATTTGACTTGGTCTTGAAAGTAATGCACTTCCCTGTGATTTTGATTGTTTGTTCTTTATCGTTTATGCATAGAAACCTATGATGTTGACTAGGATCTTGTTAGGGTAGGTAGTGTTAAGTCTTCGTTCATTTTCCAAATTATAGTGACCTATTTGTGGCCTTTGACCTCCCATTTCAATATTATTACATAGATTATGTCATTGTGGAAAAAAAATAAATGGTGTCACTGAATATTAGTTGTACGAGACCATTTACACAGTCATTGAATGGGATTGTTTGGGTTTTCATGACCAAAGGATGGGGGATAGGATGGATTAGGATAGAGGATGAGTGGGGTGAATGGCCTGTCCACCTTGGGTTGGCATTGGGTGTGGATCTGTTATGTTATTGGTGTGTGTGTGGTGTTGTTTGATTGGCATGTTGGCTAGGCTGGCCAGTGTGGATGTCAGTTGGGTGCCTTAGTATAGAATGGGTGTCTGGGTTGCTTTGAGCCAGTGATAGTGGCTTTATGAGGTGGCTCCTAGCAACATTTGGATTTGAAAAGATCTAAGCTCATGCAGGAGCTGTTACATAGGCCAGATGTAGGAAGTGAAACCATTGGCATATTTCCTATTGAAGAATGGTTTGACCTTTTTATTATAAAGTTTTCTGATCAATGTCAAAAGGGCCAGTTTTGGGCAGGGATGTCAACTACAGTATTTTTAAATATTGTAATGACAAGACCAAGGTAATGTTATAACTTTTTGGGAATTTTGTTAAATAAATTTGTAAATGCTAATTTAGAAGGGTTCCAAATTAAGTGTACAGTACTGTGTTCATCTTTTGTGGGTTTGTAATGCATCTTTTCATTTATTTGAATATCATTGCTTATTGGTATGTATAATAATCATCCTATTATTTTCATCTTTATTACAGGCATGTTTGCTCAAAGACCAGCTGACTACCTCTTTATGCTGTTGTTCAGCTGGACCTGTTCTGTGATTGTGGCACTGCTAGCAGGGTTTCCCCTCCTGATGGATGTCATGGTGCTGGTTGTCATCTATGTGTGGTGTCAGCTTAATAAAGATACTATTGTCACCTTTTGGTTCGGGTTGCAGTTCAAAGCCATGTACCTGCCCTGGGTCATCTTGATATTCAACGTGGTCATTGTGCATAGGTGAGTCACTCGGGTCTGATATATTCGTCTTAAGTATTTATATAAATTAATTCATTATTATTAACCCCCCTTGATACCTGCTTGATGAGGTTCTGGGAGTTCTTCTACTCCCCAAGCCTGGCCCGGGGCCAAGCTTGACTTGTTTAGAGGTTGGTCCACCAGGCTGTTGCTTGGAGCGGCCCGCAGGCCCACATACCCACCACAGCCCGGTTGGTCCGGAACTTCTTTTAGAAAAGAGTCTAGTTTTCTCTTGAAGATGTCCAACGGTTGTTCCGGCAATATTTCTTATAGTCACTGGTAGGACATTGAACAACTACGGACCTCTGATGTTTCCCCATCAACACCTCTGATGTTTCCCCCATTTCCCATTTTTGTTGGGTGGGAAGACATCAGCCCAGAGAAAACAAAGGAATAATATAAACAAAAGCCTACGGGGTGAGCAGTGCACAGTGCCGCTGCCTTAGAAAGCAACTTGCTCAGAAATAGGAGTATTAAACATTAGCATCTGGGGGTGGTGTCCAAGTTGACAGTAGTAGAGGCTAGTTTATTTTTCTGTGCTTTGTTATTATAGCTTCAGTAATACTTGATATTTGAAATTTACGAAGTATGGTTAAGATTAAGTTGCCGGTCCTAGATCACCTACATTTAGTTTCATGTAAAATAAAAAGTACATTTAAGAACTTAAATAATCTAACTTGCTCCAGTACTTGGCCCTTGGCCTAAATCCCAACATTAAAGAATTATTGTTCTGGTGGTGACCTTTGTAGCTTCCCTTTGCCAAGTGCCTGTTAGGCCATGTGTTAAAGAGATGCGCACCACTCCTCTGAGACCTACTTTAACTTACCACAAGCCATGATCAGAATCCAGTTTACTCTGGGAAAGTGAAGGAAACTTGAGGACTAGAGATCTAGCCAAAACAAGAAGACTCCGCCAGAAGGCATAAATGTAACAAAATAGGTTATTGCTTAAACAAAATCAGGGACCCAAAGGTAATGCTGAAAGTAATTATTACCATGATGTTACCAACCCTGTTGCACTCTACTTCCACCAGGAGGTGGCCCAGGTGGCCCAGGCTCCAGTCAGCAAAGCCATTACAAACTAGCTGCCCAAAAGGAACTCTCCCATTCTACATGGAAGAGAGGGGGAACAGGGCAGGGACAGGAAGCCCTTGAGGGGGCCCCACCATGAAATGGGTATTTCATTACAATCAATGCTTGATTTATGTGAAGATTCCCCTTAGTAGCTCTCCTATACTAATTCACAACTGTTCCTTGTTAGAGGCCTGCAGATCTCATACAGAAAACTGCTTGGGCTAACCTGTGAGAAGATGACTAAACAGCCCAGGGCAAAGAGGACCATATATCATCTTTAATGGTGAAAGTGCAACACAAGCTTGGCTAGGTTTAGGACACCCCAAACACAAGAAACCAACAGGCAGGAAACCCCCAACTGAAGGGATCTGAAACCCAGGGTCCACAGACCCCAGGAACTGTGAAACCTTTGAAATGCAGCCAGGGAACACCAGGTACAGTACTCGCACATGAAACAGCCAAACACTCGGCCAGGAAGCAGTTGAACATTCAGACCAGAAACAAATTGGTACAAAGCCTGAAAACTCCAGGCACAGTTGGGCATGCAGCCCAGGAACATCTGGGCACACAGCTTGGAAACGGCCAAGCACAGAAATCAGGAAAGGCCGAGCTGGGCATAAGGCACGTGCCAAGCTGATGACATGGTCCAGTAACAAATGAATACGACCCCAGAACAAGATACAGTAGTCCCGAAACAGCAGAGCATGCAGTCTTGAAGCCATTCGAGTGTCAGAGGCTTAAAATTTACAAAGTTTAGTTAAGTCAGACCATCTGATTCAGAAAGTACCATCAACAGATGGTTAATCAGTAGCCCTCTGAACAAAGAGGGAGACACTGTATGATACAGACCACCTACCTACACAACCCTGGGGTAACATGAAATGCAGTAATATATGTACGTATGTGTGACCTGGACTGTCTACAGCAGACACGCCTAACAGCTAAATCACTTTTAACGTGAGCTACCTGCACAGACTGCCACCACCACAGGTGGCAGGACAAAATCCCAGACACGGAGGTCCTGTACAGGGTTGGTTTTCCCCAGCGTCTACTCTCCTACAGAAAACTCTGGCCTGATGAGCAGGTCACATTGCCAGAATGCCTTACAGCTGATTGCTTAAACAGCTGCTGTATGGAGAATTATGCCAAGGCATAGTCTTTTTTTTTTTGTGGGGGGGGGGGGGGGTGTTTAGCAGAAGAATCTATTCGAGGCGACCCTCAAAGGCCTGGACATCAACACCATTACTTAGGAGTTGCTTACTCGGGACTCCTAAGTAACCACTTGGAAAAGCAAAATTGCCACAGGCCCCTGTGGCAGAAAATATATAGACTGCAGAGGCCTAGAGGAAATGCGCCACGTGCAAAGCAAGAGCAACATCCACCTCTGCAGTAGCACCCACCCTAAAATGTACCATGTGGGGGTGAGCCTTTCTGACCCAGATTGGTCTCATCCTCCATCATCTGGCACACAGCCACCGACCTTTGACCTGATATATTGAAGTCATGGTGATCTTTGTATCTGAAGAACGAACATCATATATGTGTGATGGCTACAGCCACGCACGTAATGGAGATAAAGGCCAAGCATGCATCCAAAAGTTTTCCTGAAATGGAAGAGGGGAGGGAAGCAAAACCAGAAATGGAGTATTTTTTAGTTATGAATTTTGTTTAATATAAAATGCAATACATGACAATTTATATGTGGCCATATGTGGTTTAGAGTTTCATTTAAATTTTCAGTTTTACTACTTTAAATGCCAATGCAAGGGAGAAGAATTACTTCTGTTTTCTTATAAATTTTAACAAGGGTTTTCTTTTGCCAACAGCGGTTTGATGGAGCTGGTAGGAATTCTCATTGGACATCTGTACTTCTTCCTTATGTTCAAGTATCCAGAAGACTTTGGTGGAAGGAAACTATTGCAAACCCCTCAATTCTTGTAAGTACCTTTCATACTTTTGTGTGTAATTACAAGATGAGAGGTTTGCTCATCGTATATCATCTTATGTCATCCGCCTCTCATTATTACAACAGTTTACAGCTCTCCTTGCAAAACGAGAGCTGTGCATTTTTTTGTTCCCCCCTCAATAATAGGTACTGTACAAACTTAGCATTTATCAAATAAATGCTAGGTATACAGTGTCCCATTTATTATTGTCTTTTGTCATAGATTTCAACACTGAATCATGAATTATTTAATGAAAGTAATCTGAAATTTTCCACGTTTTTTTGCCAGGCTTTCATTTTTCCCCCCTCTGACCCCATGAATGTGGGAAATGAGGGTTAATGATAATATACGTCGTTCAGAACGTGCGTTTGTAGAACACTTCAATATGTAATGTTCGTTGAATAGTATTACAAATTTTATATCGGCAAGCCATTATATAGAGAATGTTTTCAAGTACTGTTCTGTATTATCTCTAAATATTTTTCTAGTATACAACAAAGGCATTTCATGAAAATCATTGATAGTAACCTATTTATATTATAAACACTGCACACTGCATTTTTGAAGACCTTTTATTTTTTCAGGTATTACTACTTTCCAACTGTGGGTGGTGCTGCAAGATTTGGCAATGCCCCTGTAGCTCCCCGAGATGGTGGCGGTGTGGGGACTCGAGGAGCCTTCCGTGGACAAGGACACACACTTGGTTGATAACTATGTTTTCTTTTAATATATAACAAATTTGTTAAAGTTATATTTTGATCAACTTGGTACAACATTAAAGAAAATGTAGTACAACACTTTTGGTTTAATTACATTTGTGAAAAGTGAAGCCTTGAAGCCAGTTAGGATTAACAGATTACTTATAATTTTATGTTATGCAAGCACGGTACATAATACATCTACATCAGGAATGACTTGTTCCTGAAGCGTGTGTTTACCTGTTTAGATTTGACAGTTTCCTGAGTGGAAGGAGTATGCAGTTTACATGCTACACTATAAAGTATTTTATATGAAATTGCTCTATGTGCAATTTGATGAACTGCTGTATTAAATGCAACAAAATATACTTTAATAAAAAATGACAAGTTTAGCCATTTCTAATAAAAACTTAATTTTATATTTTATTACCCAGATATGTTTAATTGTCCAGCTACATTTTCAACATGTAGCATTCTGTTGGATTACCAAAACCACATCAGAAGATAAAGAAATGCGATGTTTTGGTTAGTCCTGGACCATTATCAAGTGAGGAAGAATGGAAGGAACAGGCCAATAAATAAAAGCGTTAGGTGAAAGGCAAGAATAGGATGAAGGGTACAAATGGGATGCAGGAAGAATGGAGAGGGGTAAGAATAGGAGGAAGGGAAGAATAATGAGTAGGCTTAACTCGGGGGTCATGTTTAAGAAGGTTGGAGCATTTATGTACTGTGAAAGGGAGGCATCAACAGCAACAAAGCCAGGACTAAGGTTGGTTGGTTGGTGTGTGTGTGTGTGTGTGTGTGAGAGGTTAGGTTAGGTTAGGTCTGGAACATGAAATTTTTTCCAATGAGATTCTTAACAAAATACAGCACTACACATTGATTAAACATGGTATGAAAAATGCATCCTCGTGTAGAACTAGAAATGCAGCTAACAACAGTGAGCAAGGTGTACCATTAAGCAAACTCTGTATTATGGTCCCAGTGTTCATATTTATTATTCATAACTCAATAAAAGTACAAATTTCTTATGTGACTTAAGAGCCTGACATCTCACACCTGAAAATGAAGAACTTACAACATTTCAGTCCATCCTGGCCCATAATCAAGTCCACGATGGACCAAAACATTAACCAGTTCATTTTCAGGTGTGTATCAATTGTTCAAATACGTGCACACGAGCCAGGTATTGGGGGGGGGGGGCCTAAAAGCCGTTTTTCTACACGGGTATCAATTAACGTTAATGCAATATTAGTTAAGTACAATTTCAAGAATGAATACTTATTAAAATATAGTTTACTGTGCAAACTTGATATGAATGTAATGGGAGAGATACAACTGCATAATTTTTTTATATAACAATAAATTTAAATCTTACTAATATTTACAAACCACCTAATAGTGTAGTAAATGAATAAGAGCTTTGGTTGTATATGGACAAACAAATATCGCATGATAATTTTCCAAAATGTGCACAAATACATGGGAGAAGCAGTTAGTTTCTGGAATGCAATGAACGACTGCAGCAAATATAAAATATAAATCCATCCACAATGTTACACAAGCATATGATCAGCTACAATGTTTGTTACAAAACATTAAAAATAAAATAAACTGTCTTGAATAAATAGGCATTTCTCAAATATCTTTACACTTGGGTAAGGCAACAGTCAATACAAACAGAACAAGAGTAACTATACAAGGCTCACACTGACCAAGTAAAAAATATCTAACTGTTGCTGGCATTTCCATCTCTGCCTTCTCTTGTCTACTTCAAAAGAAAGCTGAAAAGAAAGTTAAAAGCATGAAATTAATATACAGTACATTTAACTTAAGTACCTTATGACCATTATCTTAAGAGTAGAGTTTTCCTCCCATTTCCCACATTTGAGAAAGAGGTGGATTGTTCCCTGATACTTTCCTTGGAACTTGCTACATAAGCAAGTAATTATCCAAAGGAAACCAGCTGGGAAGGCTATACAATTTTTGTTTGTGTTTTTTTTAAACATGCATGCACACGTGCACACACTTTTAGATGAACAGAGGCATCAAATGAAAGAAATTTTGTCCATTTGTTCCTGTATCAGCCCTGGAATTGATCCTGGATCCAAGATCAATTCTCGGATCTCTCTCACACACACACACCTATACAAAAAAAAAAAAAGCTAACGTAGTTCCAATCTACAAAAGTGGCACCAGGGAAGATCCCCTCAATTATAGACCTGTATTATTGACAAGTGTAATAGTCAAAATATTGGAAAAACTAATAAAAACTAAATGGGAAGAACACCTGGAGAGAAATGATATAATATCAGACAGACAGTATGTTTTTCGATCTGGAAGATCCTGTGTATCAAATTTACTCAGTTTCTACGATCAAGCCACAGAGATTTTACAGGAAAGAGATGGTTAGGTTGACTGCATTTATCTGAACCTAAAAAAGGCTTTCGACAGAGTTCCACATAAGAGGGTCTTCTGGAAACTGGAAAATATTGGAGGGGTGACAGGTAAGCTTCTAACATGGATGAAAAATTTTCTGACCGACAGAAAAATGAGGGCAGTAATTAGAGGCAATGTATCGGACTGGAGAAATGTCACAAGTGGAGTACCACAGCACCGGTGATGTTCATTGTCTACATAAATGATCTACCAGATGAACACAGAATTATATGAACATGTTTGCTGACAATGCTAAGATAATAGGAAGGATAAGAAACTTGATTGTCATGCCCTTCAAGACCTGGACAAAATAAGTATATGGAGCACCACCTGGCAAAAGAAACTTAATGTGAATAAATGCCATGTTATGGAATAGGAGAACAAAGACCCCACACAACCTATATATTATGTGAGAAATCATTAAAGAATTCTGATAAAGAAAGATCTATGGTTGGTTCTAGATAGGAAACTATCACCTAAGGACCACATAAAGAACATTGTGCAAGGAGCCTATGCTACGCTTTCTAATTTCAGAATTGCTTTTAAATACATGGATGGCAAAATACTAAAGAAATTGTTCCGGGCTTTTGTTTGGCCAAAGCTAGAATATGCAGTGGTTGTGTGGTGCCCATATCTTAAGAAGCACATCAACAAACTAGAAAAGGTGCAAGACATGTGACTAAGTGGCTCCCAGAACTGAAGGGAAAGAGCTACAAAGAGAGATTAGAGGCATTAAATCGTACAAAATAGTAACAGGAATCGATAAAATTGATAGGGAAGAACCATATCTTAAGAAGCACATCAACAAACTAGAAAAGGTGCAAGACATGTGACTAAGTGGCTCCCAGAACTGAAGGGAAAGAGCTACAAAGAGAGATTAGAGGCATTAAATCGTACAAAATAGTAACAGGAATCGATAAAATTGATAGGGAAGAATTCCTGAGACCTGGAACTTCAAGAACAAGAGATCACAGATTTAAACTAAATAAAAATGCCGAAGAAATATAAGAAAATTCACTTTCGTAAACAATGGTAGACGGTTGGAACAAGTTAGGTGAGAAGGTGGTGGAGGCCAAGACCGTCAGTAGTTTCAGAGCGTTATATGACAGTGCTGGGAAGACGGGACACCACAAGCGTAGCTCTCATCCTGTAACTACACTTAGGTAATTACTTATTTAATTACACAACTTATAAATTATGTGCAAAAGAAAACAGAACTAATAAAGAATGAGACCTAGGGGTGGTTGTGGATAGTAAGCCGGCACCAGAGAAACACGAACATTGTGAGAAGAGCATATGCGTCGCTTTCCAACTTCAGACTTGCTTTTAATTATATGGATGGTGAAATACTAAAGAAACTGTTCATGACTTTTGCGAGACCAAAATTGGAAAATGTAGCAGTTGTATGGTGCCCAAATCTCAAGAAACGCATAAATAAACTGGAACAGGTGCATCGGCATGCTACAAAATGGCTCCCGGAACTGAAAAATAAGAGTTACGAGAAGACTAGAGGCGTTTAGCATGCCGAAGATAGAAGAACGAGAGGTTATATGATTATCACTTGCAAAATAATAACTGGAATAGACCAAATTGACAAAGGAATTCCTGAAACCAGCAACTTCACGAACAAGAGAACACAGATTCAAGCCAAGAAAACAGAGGTGCCGAAAAAATATTAGAAAATTTTGCTTTGCAAACAGTGGTAGATTGGAACAATCTAAGTGAGAAGGTGGTGATCAAAACCATCAGTGGTTTCAAAGTGTTATACAACAGAATACTGGGAAGACGGCACACCATGAGCATAGTTCTCATCCATAAACTACACTTAGGTAATTACACACATAAGCCAGCCTGCACAAATTCAAAACTATTTTGAAGACAATCCTTTCTTACATAATTATATCACTGACTTACCTATATGGGTATCCATGAGCTTTTGAACGGAATATGGACAGAGACAGAGAGAAGAAGAAGGCAACAAGGCCTAGGCCGATGATGGCATAGATACGTCGTTTCCGCACATCGTCTCTCTTATTGGCAGCTTCAGTCATTAGAATCATGCCCAATACAACTGCTGCATCTAGAAGAGTACAATTATGTAAATGATACAAAAAACCTACTAATCAAGGGAGAAACATTGCAGGTATGATCATTCTGATTACCACACTTTACATTGAATATATTAACTTACATCTTGAGGTAAAATTTTGAAAATACTAAAGTTATGATGAAAATATAAACAAAACTAATAAACCCTTTAAATACCTACAGCATGGAATTTTATACATATACATGTTGTACCTAATAGCCAGAACTGCACTATTTGGCCTAGAAATACAAGCCTGATTTGCCTAACAGGCAGAATGGTTTTTGTCATTTTGAAATTTTCCAAATTGGTTTTATCCTAACATTATTAATATATTAGGAACATGTTAGTTTTAATCAAATTTGTGTGTTAGTTTTGACAAATCATACACAGTATCATTCCATAAGATAATTGAAGAAATATCATATCAGGAAAATTTAACTTGTTAGGCAACTACACTTATCAGGTACATGTGCATGAGCGCATAACACACACACTAGTTCTCGATCAGATCAGGAAGACCCTCTGTAACAAACTTACTTAGTTTCTGTGAGAGTCATGAGAGTCACAGATTTAAAGGTTGACTGACTGCATTTATTGCCATGTACTGGACGACTGACACACACATCTGACACTGTGGGGGGGGGGTTGTCAATAAGAGACAATGTATCAGACTGGGAAAGTGTTACCCGTTGAGTACCAGTCCTCAGTTCAAGCATCAGTTATGTCCATCGTCTATATAAACAATCTACTAAAAGAAATGCAGAATTATATGAACATGTTTGCTGATGATGCCAAGATACTAGACAACATTAGACACTTAGATGATTGTTATGCCTTCCAAGAAGACCTGAAATGCATGATGCAACACTTGGCAACAGAGTACTGTGAAGACAGGACACCACAAGCATACCTCTCATTCTGTAACTATATGGAAGAGATGTATACGTATACGTATCATCTTGAGATGATTTCGGGGCTTAGCATCCCTGCGGCCCGGTCCTCGACCAGGCCTCCGTTTTGTTACACACCCCCAGTAAGCAGCCCATAGCAGCTGTCTAATTCCCAGGTACCTATTTACTCCTTTACACTACTACATTAGTAATCAAGCACACACAACTTTGCTAAAATTTCAGGAAGATGGTAGCAATCATTTTATAGTAATGTAAATATATTTACAAGTAAACTTACTGAGCATAGCAACAATGTAGGTTTCAACAATGAACTGGCCCTGTGATGATCCATGAATATATGCAATATTCCCGGCTTGGGTTTTCTGCAGAAAGGGTGGTCCTCGAATGTGGTTCCACATTTGGCCTGATGTCATTGCAAAGGTGAAAGCCTGTTGAATGTTTGAAAGTTTTTACATTTTAATTAGATAGCTTTTTTTTATAAAAGCATTATAAATTTGCATTTACCCAAGGTTCATATAAGAACAAGCAATATACAGTACAGTAGTATGAAAACTATACTTTTAAAAACCTCCTAGCATCTCTATTAATAGTTTTATAAAACAAAACAACTATCCATAACTTAACATTCAATACAACAGTAACAAATAGTGTTTTTTCATGAGTGCATGTGTGTGGTTTCCCTCTCAGATCGGCATTTAATCCCAGACTGTCCAAGTGATTGGGCACCATTCCTTCCTCCCCCCCCCCCCCCCATCCCATTCCAAATCCTTATCCTGACCCCTTCCAAGTGCAATATAGTTGTAATGACTTGGCATTTTCTCCTGATAATTCTTCTTCCTCTGCCCAATCACTTAGGCTGGACTGTTAGAGCTATGGTCTCATATCATGCAGGTTGGCATTCAATCCCCAACCATCCAAGTGGTTGGGCACCATTCCCCCTGTCCCATCCCATCCCATTTATCCTGATCCCTTCCCAGTTTTAGTCATGGTGGCGTGGCATTTTCTCCTAATAATTCCCTTTCCCTCCCAATTTCGAGGCAGATGTGGCCAAGTGCTCAGGCACCTAAGCCAAGTTTCTCAAAACAACTTGCCTTACTCATTAATATCAACTTATAATGTTCCACAGAACATAGGTAAAAAGAGCACCAGCATCTGCAGGGAAGCGAGATCCAACTCCCAATACCTTACTAATTTACATCTCTTTATGTCAAGTTTTATGTTTTCTTATCTTTGTGATACTTATGGAAGCAGCTACAATTTCTTTCTGTGCAATTCACTAAAAGTTTCCACCTGCATACTGTAGTTTTTCAAAACTATTTTATTTTTATATGCGTTTTGAACACAAATACCTTACTGTATTTTCTTAGGTAATTAAAACAAGAAACTTTACTTTTACTAGATTTTTTCATTAACATTATTTCTATCTTCGTGGAAAATAATTTAATCAAGCAAATAAAAATTCTTCAGAGAAAAGAGGCTACTACTTTGGAAAGGAGTGTAATATATGTTTATATTTAGAAAAGGAGTTTAATATGGAGATATGTACTATAGTATGGGATTATTAAGGATAAGAATAGAGATATGTAAAGACGGGGAGAAAAAATAAAAATTAAATAGGAGTGTCAATGTGGAGGAAACGGAGAGGTGCGGACGAGGTTTACTTAGAAACCATCAAATGCAGTGAAGAGAAGAATGAAATGGCTGTGGGAGTTTTAAACTAGCCATTATTTGCTAATAGTAATTAATATAAAAATTCAGACTTATAGGGTGCCATGGGAATGTCACACTGAATTGAGATGATAATTGTGAGCCTGCCCTATTTAAAATATAAAATCTCTTAATGCATTATTCTCCAATTAACCTTTCATATATTCTTCCATGAATGTATATGTAGAACCTTTAAGTAAACAAACACATTTACCTCTACAGCAGCCGCCTCATTGACCTTCTATGAACATTCATCACAAATTATATTCCACCTAGCAAGTTTAGACAATTCTGTCTAACACTTTTCTTTGCTGGTCACTACAAACTATTCAGAAAATTTTGGCTGGAAAGCTAATACTGTATAGCATTATTTATAGAAAATAATAAGTAAGGTCACCTGGACAATAATTCAACCAATATGTTTAGTTTTATGTTCATACTTACTAGTGCACCAAGAGCCCAGGTGGTCTTATTATAGAGGAAGTCAAGGTTGTTTTTGCGAAGGTACAAGAGACCAACAACCAGTGCCAGGAGAACCACTAGCGCTAGTAGCCCCGAGTAATTGGGGGGACGGAACACACGAATCTGAAAAAGAATAAAATGTGCAGCACGTGGATACGAGGAAATAACAGTCGGCACACAAATACACACAAATATATATATTTATACACAAATATACACATTTTTTATTTATTTATTTATTTTGGGAGAGGAAGGGGAAGGGGGGGGGGGCAGTGCAAATACAAAACTTTCCCACCAATAACCTTCTGCAGTACCAAAGTTTTAATCATTAGCCCAAAAGACTTTATTAACGTTATTAACATTCCCCACCTGACAGTATTATCCAGTTTCTATTTAAGCACTAGTATAATCTGTTAGGGACAGTAAAAACTAAACTCTTGTATGGTACAGAATGTTGACCCTATCCTACATACACTAGATCCTAACCAGTTATTAATACAATCTTCCCTTAAATAGAAAATTTGTGGAATGTTCAGAAAATGCATAAACAAAAATTAACAACAAAGACTATCAAATTTAATAGTTTGCTATACAAATAGAGGGCATGTATGATAGTTTTGTTATAGTTGAAGTGTGATTAATTGTTATGTTGAGATCCATCTTGTAAATTCTCACAACACACAAGCCAAGCATCTATGTTTAAAGATACTGGAAGCTTTACTTTTCTAATCTTAGATGTCATTATGTCCATTTTGCAAAATGGACATACAGTAATGACAACCAACGCTTTGGCAATGAACCACAAGGTAAACAAAATTAACTTATGATCATGCATCTAAGATTTAAAGGAAAATATATAAATCAAAGCCTTTATGTGAATCTGCTAAAGGTCTATTGTTATTGTGTCAGAACTAATGTGCTACTCAATATGAAAGTGGATAATACACACCAAATTAAGCTTGGGCAAGGGCAACAAACCTGGATATCAGTCCTCTCTGCAACCCAGCGAGCTATGTTCTCAGCAGCAAAGCCAACCCGTTGAATATCCAGAGTATCCACCTTCTTGGGTTTTCCCTTTGCTGGGAAATGCATAAACACAGGAGCAGAGTTCAGCCGTAACTGTAAGATATGAAACTCTTAAGAGAATTTTCATAATACTGTATAACTAGAAGTAACATGCACATGACATTCTTTAAATTTGTTAATTCAAACAATTCATAAAAACTATCCCTAAATCTCCCCCCCCCCTCCTATCACTTTTATTAGTTGAGAAGGCATCAGCCCTGAATACATACGAGATAACAGAAGTACAATCATAAATACTGTATCCTAAAAAAAAACTTGCTTGTTTACAATATCTTCTACACTATACACCCCAGCACTCTGCCCCAAACTATGACAAAGACAAGACTATTTGCAAAGCTCCTGGCCATGGAAGGGCAAAAAATGCTTGAAATTGGTTTATTCAAGAGCAAAGTGTGAATGAGGAGGCTGTAGGAGTCTGGGCTAACTTTGGTTTGTTGCCAAGAAAAGGTAAAATGCACTGGGCCAGTGTGCGTGTTTTAAAGGCCTAGGAATCTAGGCACCTGGAGACAAGTCTCAATATTGCATTGAACAGCCAATTTGGTATTACAATTCCTGCTGAGCATTGCAGCTAAAGGGTTATACAGTATGTCATTTAAATAAATCTTTGGTGTAAAATATATCTTCAGAACATATCCCCAATTTAATAATAATAATAATAATAATAATAATAATAATAATAATAATAATAATAAATAAATAATAATAAGTGGTTAAATAAGATTTGGCAGACTTTTGCTTTACAAATATTAAGAACTAACTTTCATATACTGGGGAATACCTATGATTATATGTTCTTTATATGTAATGGAGTTGTTTTAAATATTGGTGATGTTATATTTATACCTGTTGAAAGACATCTGGACCCTCATCAAAGTCCACAAGAGCAAAGAACAGCTTGTTGGAGTAGCCCTGGGAGTATCGCCAGGAGTTGGCTACTAGCTGAAACTCATCATGTGCATGCCTGTAAAAAAAACAGCATTTAATGTAATGAAACGCCATTTTCTTGGCAAGCCCCAGAGGCTTCCTGAAGCTATCCGAACCAATATGTGCTATATTAGTTTGGGGTCATCAGTCACATGAGTCCTTATGCCTGCTGGGGACCATGAGCCAGAGCCTGGCCTCCTCAGAGAGGCACAGGGAGCAATTTTTTCAGGTCTTGGCAGACATAAAAAAAAAAAAAAAAAAAGCTAACGTGGTTCCAAACTACAAATATGGTAACAGGGAAGACCCTCTCAAATATAGATCTGTATTGTTGACAAGCATAGTAGTCAAAACATTGGAAAACAATTAAAACCAAATAGATAATACATCTGGAGAGAAATGGCATATTTATCCGGACCCAAAAAACTCTTATGACTACATAAGTCCTGCATAAGAGGATGTTCTGGAAATTAGAACATACTGGAGGAGTGCCAGGGAGGCTTCTAACATGGATTAAAAATTTCCAATAGAAATGAGGGCAGTAATCACAGAAAATGTATCAGACTGGAGAAATGTCACTAGTGGAGAACCACAGGATTCGTTTTTGCACCAGCAATGTTCACTGTCTACAAACACACTATCAGAAGGAATACAGAAATATACGAACATGTATGCTGATGATGCCAAGATACTAGGGAAGATAAACGTAGATGATTATCATGCCCTTCAAGAAGACCTGGACAAAGTAAATACAGTATGGAGCACCACCTGGCAATGGAATTTAATGTGAATAAGTGTCACATTATGGAATGCAGAATTGGAGATAATAGGCCACACACAGCCTACAAATTACTTGAAAATGTTTTAAAGAATTCTGGTAAAGACTTAGGGGTGGTTCTAGACGGAAAACTATCACCTGAAGACCATATAAAGAACTGTGTGAGGAGCCTATGCTATGCTTTCCAACTTCAGAATTGCAATTAAATACATGGATGGGAAAATATTGAAGAAATTGTTCATGACCTTTGAGACACCAAAGTTGGAATACACATCTGTTGTATTAAGGCCATATCTCAAGCAGCATATCAACAAACTACAAACTGTAGACATGCAACAAAATGGCTTCTGAAACTGAAAATCAAGAGTTATGAGGAGAGGTTAGAGGCATTAAATATGCCACAGAAGGAAGATAGAAGAGAAAGGCTATACAGTATAATCACTACTGTACATACAAAATAGCAATGGGAATGAACAATACTGATAAAGCAGAATTCTTGAAACTTTAAACCTAGAACTTCAAGAACAAAAAGTCATAAATTTAAGCTTACCAAACAAAGCTGCTGGAAGAACATTAGAAAGTTCACTTTTGCGAACAAAGTAGTAGAGGGTTGGAACAAGTTTAATGAGGTTGTGGTAGAGGCCACACCATCAAGTAGTTTCAATGATAAAGAGTGCTGAGAAGAAGGGACTCCACGAGTGTGGCTCTCATCCTGTAACTATATTCCAGCTGTAAATTTTAACTTGTTATATTCAACATACAACATCTTTGTACTGGTGAAATTTTTTAAAACATGGGTGATATAACTACCATGAACTTTTATTAAAATGACATTTGTTTGCTCTGTAATGTTACAGATATGGGGCGTAATAGGATACCAATTTGTTCATGTTAACACTATCGCATTTATATGAGGAATATATAAAAATACATAATTATCCAATACGTATTTGCCTTTCCATTGGAGACTGTTGGTGCCGTGGAGAGGGAAAGGTGGGTGGGGGGTGGTGGGGGGGGGAACCTACTGCATGGGTGACAGCTTCTCCCCCGTATCAACCTACCCTGGCTTTGCGCCCTGGAGAGGCCACTCCAGACCGACAACCAGAGCGCAACTCCATAGTCTCCTGAGACTGGTGAATGCCTACTACTACTACTATTACTCCAAATATTGGCACTCGTGTCCAATGTCTTTGAGCTTGCCAAACTTTGAACATGATAGTTCTGTTAATATATCTGGGTTTTTAATGTACAGCATCCATTCAAGTACTGTATCATTTTATAAAAGGTCTCTACAAAAACCTTGGCAATAAATTTTCTTTTAGTCCTCACAGTCCAATTACTTTAAATGTATATCTTACCTTATTATACACAGAGGTCAGGAACAAATTTTAAGAATTACTAGTTTTCACTGAAATTCCTCCAAAAGGGTCCCAGTAGTACAGTCGGGTTTGAATCCCAGGTAGGGCAGAAATGGTTGGGCACATTTCCTATCACCTAATGAACCTGTTCACCTAGTAGTAAATAAGTACCCAGGAGTTAGTCAGCTTCACATAGGGTTGCATCCTGGGAAGGCCAATAATTTAACCTTCTTGAGATCTTGAAATGATTTCGGGGCTTAGTGTCCCTGCAGCCCGGTCCTCAACCAGGCTTCCACACCCAGGAAGCAGCCCGTGACAGCTGACTAATTCCCAGGTATCTATTTACTGCTAGGTAACAGGGGCATAGGGTGAAAGAAACTCTGCCCATTGTTTCTTGCCGGCGCCCGGAATCGAACCCGAGACCACAGGATCACGAGTCCAGTGTTCTGTCCGCTCAGCCACTGGCTGGGGAGGACATTGATATGCTTAATGTGTGTATGTACACTGGTTGCCGGTGGCTACAATGAATTAAAAACAGATTCAAAAGAGAAATCTAGCATCATTGCAGTCACGTGTATCATCCATAAATATTGTCAAAACATTGAAAACTACAGCCAAAACACTTTGGTGAAGAAGCTCTTCTTCTTAAAGCAATAATGACACACATGGCCATACCCACATTAAAGTACAACAGCCACTCTTACCCACCTACAGATACCACACTGTCGAGAAGGCGCTAATGCGGTAAACATTACAATCATAGAATAGTTGCGAGGAGTGCCTTTAACATACTGCCGAAACTTGTCCCCATTGAAGCGTAAGACTGGTTTTTTCAGGCCTGCATCAGACAACTGCTGGACACGCTCTGACAGTGTGAGCTGTTGAACAAATGAAAGGGCTAGAAAAATTAAGATGGTAAATATATGATGTGAATATGATCACAATGGTTAGGTTAACTTTACAATAAGATACAACAATAAATCCACAATACCGTATAATGTACTATACAGTATAGTATACAATTTAATTAAATTGCATATTTTCTGATATACTGTATTCCTAAATTCACTCTCTTCACCACCTTGAAATATTTGTGTGGGTGATGGAATGTCATCTAACCTTTCTCGTGTGAACACATGTAAAATATTAATTTTGTGTGCGTTTGCTGCTCTTTTGTTGTCCATTATATAGTTTCGTTAATCTCATCTTTTAAAGGTCCTACGAAGTCCTTAGTTTTTATTTGATTTCTTGTAATGACATAGAACGACTTTGGATCTATATGTTTTGGGCAAGTTTCCTTTCGTAGTTCCTTGTGGGCTGGTGGTATAGTAGTTGTCTTCAGCACCACCAGCACTTACTCATTTATTATTTTTTTGTATTTCTTGCACAGTTTATTCTTTTATTAATTTTCATATTATTCTGTTCACCTTTGAAGGGTATGATCGCCAAGTGTTCTCAGGTGCCCTTTTTGTTCATTAATATTTCAGTAAATCGTTTTAATTATTTATTTGATGATTTCACTTGTTTTTACTTCCACACTGCAAGGGCCAATAGCAGCATTTTTGTTTAAATATGTGATGGAGAGCCGGAGAGCCATACCACCTTGGTTCAGTATAGCTGCGACACCACAACCCGTCACAAGAGAAAAAAATAGATTGGTTAGAAGGGCAGGATCCAAGAGCTAATAGCGCGATTCTGCACACAAATAGTAAATACATTCTTGAAACTTATAATCTTCTCTTATTTTTTTTTGAATGAGGGCTCCTCATTGGCTCATTTTACCAATATCTACCTTACTAAACACTGTCAATTAAATGAGAAAATGCCGGTCTAGTCTCGCTCACTATTGGACCAGACATTACTAGAACGATAAAGCCTCAGAATAAGTTTCCCCCGTGTCGATTATTATTCCACCATATACATTATATTCTGTAGACAAATACTCACCTCCTTCTTACAATGAATCAAGGTACAAGCAGAGAATAAGAACAAGAAAAGGGACAATATTCCTCCCGCGGAGCTCATGTTGCCAGCTTGTTTACATTGACTGTAGGGCAAGCAACACTGCACCACAAGGAATCTAACCCTCTATTCAGACATGACGCCCCCCTTCCAACTCTGGACTCATAGATCGATTAAAAAGGAATCCAATTCTATAATTGCACCAAATTTTTCTATCTTAAGTTACTACTAGAGGAAAGTTCATTCCTAAGATATAAACTCTGCTCTTTAAGGAGTGTTTTATTGTCTGTATTTAATGAATGACTACCTTAGGGAACCCCAGCCACCTCCCCCATATCTTACACACACCGATGTGCTTTTCTTTAAACTATAAAGTCTATAATTTCCAATATCATAAAAAATAGGAATTCAAAAATGTATTAAATGAATTTTCTGTATAAGATATAACATTATTATTTAAATGAATTATTTTATTTATTTTTATGTATAGATTATTTCGTAACGAGCACTCAGTCGTCCTATAATTAGTAGTTCCACTGACTGTAATGTTATGTCGTCTATACTGTTCCCAACATGCAGGTTGTCGAGTGCTGATTGGCTGAGGCCACCAATGACACCTGTAGCCTTGTGCTGCCCACAACTCTTAAATAATTGATCACAAATCAAGCAAATTCTTTACACTGAGAAGGCAGTTTGAAATTAAAATTGATCCTAAGAACAATAATTTAACCAGCATATAGATATAATAGTAAATATTATTAATTATATAACTGATTTATAGCAAGTATTTATATTAAAAACAAAACTATAATTACGAATAACGTGATCAATGACCTGTAATTTACAGTTATAGATGATTTGGATTTTTTTGTATCTCACAGAGCTAGTTTATTGGGCAGGACTGACAACATAAGCAGCATAGTGGGCCAGCCTGAGGCTTAGGGCCCGTGCAGGAAAAAAAAAAAAAAAAAAAAAAAAGCCACTGCAGCTGTGGTCCTGTACTCACCTAGTTGTTCTTGCAGGGCTTGAGCTCTGGTTCTTTGGCCCCGCCTCTCAACTGATTTTTGTAACCCCTCCTCCCCCCCCCCAGGAAGCAGCCCATAGCAGCTGTAACTCTCAGGTACCTATTTACTGCTGGGTGAACAGGCGCATCTGGGTGAAAGAAACTCTGCCCATTTGTTTCTGCCTCTGCCAGGGATCGAATCCGGGCCCTTAGGACTACGAATCCCGAGCGCTGCCCACTCACTGCCAGGCCCTCCTAGATTGGCCCATAAGTACAGTAATATGAAATTCTATATACTGTACTAGTATTTAAGAAGTGCCAGTACAGTACAGTACATTATATGGAATTTTTTTTAAATACGGTACATTAAATTATTTAGCATATTTCTAACTCATTTGCAAAATAGAAACGTATATAAAATCCTCTGGTAGATGGTGCCACTGTTTATTTTATAAATTTAATTTGCACTTTTCATTTATCAATATTGACCTTCTGCCACATCTCTGCCTGACTCTCCAATGTGACGAGAACTTTCAGGAGTACTGCAGAGTTCTCGTTCAAGTTTACTATGCACCCCACTTTTATGTCACATCATCCACAAACTTCTTGATGTTATTGTTAACCCCCAACATTTAGATCATTTAAATATATTATGAATAACGACAAAAGCATTAATAGACAACTGAAGCACGTCATTAGTGATATTCCTACAGTCCAACTTCGCCCCGTTGATGCTAACTGCTTAGGTTCTTATGCTTCTATTTTCTGGTGGGTTTCTCCTTAAGTTTGGGTTAATCATTGGTCCTCAAATGCCCCTCATCTTGTAGAGCAAGCCAGATTCTGCTTGTGACATCTGGTAAGCAAGGATAGGCCTCCAAGGCCTGGTGTTATCAGCTAAGGCTTGATAGTACCAGCTCTTAGCCTGGTAAGTTACTGGAAGTCCCACCAGAAAAACATATTTCATTACATTTACTGCTTCATTTTCATACAAATCCATCATGAAGGATAACTAATAATCTCGAATTACCATATATACATTTTATTATTATTAATTGTAATAAGACACAATAGAATATATTTATTGGAGAGTTGTACAGTAATTAAATGCTAAAAGTAGAAAATCTGTTCTTAAGAACTGGGATACAAATGAACTTAAACTAATACAAAATACAGGTACATTCATGCTACTAATAGCATGTAAATTCATCTTCATGAAGCTCTAGTATTAAACAAGAACTGTCACCCCATATTTCGTATTTATTCTACCAACCCAATGTGCTGACACATTCGTGGAGCAAGCGACTAACTTTTGGCCTCTCCCCTCTCTTACACCCCTCATCCCCCCAAAAAAAGTTGCATCGTGTGACTATTAGGGAAGTAAATCTGATCAATAACTGCAAATGTTTCAGGGGTTAACTATCTGTAGTGCTACCTCTACATGTATGACACTAACTTTCTTACAGGTTAAAAAAACAAAAACAGCATTGACTGTAATGAAATGTCTCTTTCTGGTGGCTCCCTGAAGCTACCAGGGCTTCCCCAGTCTTCCCTGACCCAAACACGATGCACACTGGTCTACAAAGCTATTTACATTCAGGTGTCTAAAACAGTTAAGAAATATAAAAAAGAGTAACATAAATAAACATATAAAATTACAATAATATGTAGTCTTGTTGAATTTTGTGATAGAAAACTATTTAGCAAAATGAAACCTTGAATGAATGTGTTGTAATATCTAAGTACATATTGAATAAAAAATCAATGAATCATGTTTAAAGTCAGAATGATAAAGTGGCAAAGATTTGGTAAAGCCTTTTAGTCTTGTGAAAGTCAAATGCATCTGCAGAAAATTGACCATAACCATGAATATAACAACTACAGTAGCTCAGTAAATGAGCCCAACTTTAAAATCTTTGCACATTTGTTTTTCCCTCAATTTTAATTCTGAAAAATTTGTCAAAATTTATTCATATCTACAATTTCCAACAAATATTGATATAATTTGTATGTACCGTACTGTACATCAAATATATGATTAAATCTTGGTAATCACACAATCTAAGGTTAATTTTCATATATAATTGAGGACATTGTGAATGAGATCTCTCAATGGTGGCTCATGAATGTTGAGGACCTAAAAGCAGTCGTCATCAGGGACATTTATAAAATTCAGCTTTTAATATGGAAGAAAATGACTAAGAGAACACGGACACGGATCAAACACTGTGCTGACAATGGAAGGCGACATCTAGAAATTTGAAATTTGTTGTGTTGAAATTTCACTGTAAAAGTATTTAAAAAATCTTTTAGAAAATTTATAGCTGTATATAATATATATATATATACAGTATATGTCTAATATATACTTATATAACCCTATTTGTGAATTGGTTAATATTTTTGTACCATTTGTCATTGTGACCATGGACATAAGTAATATATTATTGAATTACTTGAATGAATTGAAATCAATATACTGTACTACTGTGTATAACTAGATATACACTCTGTAATTAGAACATGGCAACATTTGCTTCAGAACAATGAATACAATTACGTGGGTCTTCTTTCGTAACACTGTGGGTCTTCTTTTGTAACGCTGGCAACACAAGTTCTGCTCATCGTTGAGACAACTCACTCTGACCTGCATTTGTGGATTATTATCTTGAGAGTTCTGCTTAGTCAATTTGAGGCGGACATTCCTGTGGAGGTGTTATATACAGTATACAGTTAATACAACAAAAATTACAGCCTTTTTATATTTTAAATTATATTACATAATAAAATTCTGTTAAAATTAAATATTTTGACTTTATCATTCTGGACAACTTCTGGACATTACAAGATCTGTAGCTTATAAAAACCTTGCATTAGTATTATTACGGCAAGTTTAGTTTTTGTTTATTACCTATGATGATAGAATATATATTTTCACATGCTTACACATTCAAATAATAAACAAACAAGGATTTCTGTGGGAAGCCCTATCAGCTTCCGGAAGCTATCCGAACTGATATAGTGTTATATTAGTTTGGGATCATCAGTCACAGGAGTCCTTTGCCTACCGGGGACCACGAGCCAGAACCTGGCCCCTCAGAGAGGCGCAGGGAGCAATGGCCTATATGTACTTTACATTTAAAGTATGTCATGAATGCCATTGACCAGGAAAGAACCCAGAAAGGTAGGTGAATCAAAATAAAGCACTGTCTGATTGCACTATGCAATCTGCGTCCTAAAAGATCAAAATACCTCCCCAAGAAAGAACACAAACAGACAATACTTCTTCATGCAACTACCACTCCCGCTCATTAGCCCTAACCCCCCCCAAAGGGGGGAAAGGGAGCTGCCCACCACTCCAGTTCTTGAACCATGAAAACCGCCGACCGGAGGGAGGGAGGGTGTCAGTGAGCCTCCGGGGCTCACCCAGAAAATTGAGTTTCATTCTATTCAATGCTGTTTTTTTCTAACATAAAATGTTACATTTTTTTTAAACATGAGCAGATATATGGACACTGCTTGTAAAGCAGAGAAATTTCTGGGAAAAGGAAAACATAAGTCTATCGAGTTGCGCCAGGTGGCGCGCAACAAACCGGGCTACTTAAACCGCAGGCAGTAGAGGAGGCAACCACTGTCCACCGACTGCACCTCAAGCAAAAATCCCACCCTCCTCGTGAGACCCAATGCTTCCTGGTCTCTTTACACGGGGTGAACTCAAGGGGCACTTCTGATTTTATGCTCTTAAAATATCCTGTGGTACATGGAGGGGGGGGGGGGTTCTCCGCCGGAAACCCAAATTGATACACTGGTTAACTGCAGTAACACAGCTAGCTAGCTAATTATTCAAGAACATGTTTAAAGCTTTACTAACAATAAATTTACACTGCTGAAATGAGTAGCGGCAAAAATGTACATTGCTAGGTACATGCAAATTGTATTTAACGAGGATTAATCCACCTATTTATAAATGTACTGTAATAAGAAAGGTGCAATTCAATTAATATTTCTAAATGTAATACTGTATTTGTAAAATTATTTATAACTAATAAACAAATCCCCCCCCATATTATGTGCGAGTTTTCCTTCCCGCCCAGAAAATTTAATGTTAAAGACAAAAAAATAGTGCAGCCAGATAAAAAAAAAAATATGATCAGAGTATTAACAATGCAGAGTCAGTCTGGAATTTGCCCCTACATTTTGAAAGTTCAGGCCTCTGCTCTAAATTCTGAAAAATTGCTTAGATAGGAAAATCATTCATTAGTTTTAGGGTTTACATTGCAATGAAGTGCATATTTTTTGCATCACACTGTACTGTACTGTACTGTACTATAGTAGATAATATAACGGTATGTCAATAAACAAGATTTCTAAAGAGAACGAACACTGATGCAATGCTGACATATTTACCATAAGCTTCTTTTTCACCAGTTAATGTACTTACATTTTATTATACCCCACTTAAAAAATATTTACAGCATCCTTACTTCTTTTACAAATTAGTTAGAATTAGAAAAGATTGAAATAAATAACTGTAGTTGCAGCCATAGAGATGTAAATAAGCTAAACAATTGCTGCAATAAATGACAATCCCAAAGCCATCTACATCAATTAAAATACAGATATTTAGAAAATTAATTAAAAGGCAAAAATATTTACTTTAAATTCTTTATTCAATATCACATCCTTAACAATTTTGTGGTGAGTATTTACATACTTACATTATTTCTTTCCACAAGAACAGTGTATGTATCCAAAGCTTGTAGTATGTATGAATACTTGAGAATGCAGCCAGAGTTAACCATCACACAAGTTGTCATTGATGGTTCTGCAACATTGTTTACATAAGTAATAGACTTACATCAAATATTTCACTAGAAATATTATAATTTACCAGAAAGCACAAAACTGAAAACCATGTTAGGTATGAAGTACAGTACTGTTCCATTCACCTGGGCTCTAGGAGACTCGAACTGTGGACCCAATGTGTGTAAGGCTGAAGCTCTATCGACCGAGTTATTGAGTAGTCTTAACAGGGAAAGTTTTCAGAAGCAGCTTCCTGCTGCCAAACTAGAATGTTTATTTCCACGGAAGTGTGGATGATCAGTGAATCTTTATTCTTTGAGGTAACAATAGGGTCTTCCTGAATGAAGTTGAGTAAACAGCGGATGAAATAGGGAAAGAGTGGTGATAACACATCAGTTGTAATGTGAGAGAGGGAAGCAGGTGAGTTGAGAGAGAGTGAGGTTGCAATGATGATGTAACTCGTGCAAAACATTGGATTTTGGGTATAACCAGGCACATTATAACTATCATATTAACAACATGGTCATGCAGCATATTGAAAAACAGTCAAACCTAGGAGTTATGATCCACCAACCAGTACAGTAATTAAAAGTTGCTTAACAAGTAGGAGCCGGAGTAAAAATAAAATAAGAATAATCAAATGAACTTTGGCTTTAAGAAAAAGAAGGTGGTCATTCAGCTGTACAAGTCTCTGGTGTGGCCCCCCCCCCCCATCTGGACTATTGTATCCAGGTATAGAGATTTCTGCTTTGGAGAAAGTTCAACATAATTGGAAAAAACAGTGACTGAATACTACAATGTAATAATTACACACATTGTATTTAAACCTGTTCCTGGTATTGCTAAAAGGAAATGTTTTGCAACCCACTCCTTTGCTGCAATTCTGTGTGGTATTACCATCCTGAAATACATTCAAACACCAGTGAGAAACACCCAATTTTGATTTGACATTAACTGTAAGCCACTAGCTGTAAGTTACTGTGCAATAACCTTGTTGCACAGTAAGCAATTACAAAATGACAGCAGAGTTTTTGCATGGGTCTTGGTCAATTCCACTACTGTACTTCTATACATTGTAGATGAATTCTAACCATATTTACATAATTTGTATAAAACCAGATGATAGTTTTTAAGTTTAGTTAATTTATTATGCACCCTCCATACCCATCCTGTGGGCAGTCCAACCAGACAATAGTAACTAATGAATCAACAAATTATATGACGATAAGTGACCTTGAAGGGTTAATTGTAATAACAGGAACAACAATCTTCATTTTGGGCTCCTGATGCCATGCAGTCTGATTAATAATGAACTCAGAACATATTTGAAGTTTGTTGAGGACACTTACCCAGAATATCCACAGCAGTGACTGTGATCTGACATTGGTGGCATGTAGAGAACTCTCGTTTCCAAGCCTTACAAAGAACACAAGGCTTCAGCTTTTCACACACTCCAGCTGCATATACAGTATCCTCACAAAACATTCCCTTGTACCTATGGAAAAAAATAAGCTCAGAGCAAAATAGAAATGTAGGAAGTAAAAATAGTTTATAATGTATGTTTATGTGTACGTATTCGGTTGATTAAACACACAGAGTTTAGTGGTTTTTTATATTTATTTAGTATAGTCTTGGTTATAGCAGCTGGTTTGTTGGCAATGTAATGAAGTGTTATAGAAATTGAGATGAAGCCTGGAACAGGGCAGAGAGCTGATTGAGGTCGGTAATAGAGAGCAGCTCGGATGCGAGGGGGAGTGTGTAGAGTGTGACACTGAATGCGGGCGGAGTCGAGGAGCTGAGTGCGGGACTAGAGCGTGGAGCTCGATGCGGCTGGAATCTGACTGTTTGCCCTGTGTCCAGGCTGAAGTGTCCTGTGAGGGGTAGGTACTGGACATGTCAAGTGTTACATTGTTGTTGGTGAATGTTAAAGATGTGTGATATCACTCAAGCGCCTGTACTGAATCACTCTTGAGATTAGATTGATGATGATTTGCTATCAACTGCTTATACTGTATTACCAGTCCTACACCTCACCTGAGTGTAGGTACATACAAAGCCTAAAGCCACTATTACGCAAAGCGTTTCGGGCAGGAAAAACATTAAAGACTAAAACTTAATACTAATTGAGTTTAAAGTATAAAATGTGTTGAGAACAAATAAAAATAAAAATAGGAAAGGGGGAACATGGCTGAAAAAGCAGCACAAATATAATTAGGTCAACAAACAGCAGTGTTAAAAAAAAAAAAAAACAGACATGGGTTTACCCCAGACATAAAAGGGTAAGGTAGGTTACAGGGAATTTATTAGGTAGTGCTTCGTTTTTATCTTAAATTGGTTGGGAGAGATACAGTCTTTAACATGATTGGGAAGGTCATTCCACATTCTGGGTCCCTTGATTTGTAGAGCATTTCTATTTTGATTAAGTCGTACTCTTGGAATATCAAAACTGTATTTGTTTCTGGTGTGGTGCTCATGGGTTCTGTTATATTGATGTGTATAGTTAGAATACTGTTAGAATATACTGTTAGATATTGATGTGTAATATGAATAACCTACCCATCTCCACAGTTGCATCTTCCACACACACACTTCCCTTTATTGGAACATATGCTATTGTTCCCTGGAGACATACATGTCTGAGTTTGAGTGGGGCAATTGCATGCTTCTCCAGCATAACCAGGTCGACACACACACCCTCCACAACGACACTGGCCGCGACTTGGTCCACCACACGGCATTCCATCATATCTATAATAATAATAATAATAATAATAATAATAATAATAATAATAATATTTCATTCTATGGAAAATGAATGCAATACAGTATATGAAAATTGTGAGTATGATATATTTATCTAATAATGTCAAATGCATAATTTATAAAATTTACCTATTTATAATAGCATGTCAGATTAATATAATTTGGAGCTAATAATATATGTACTGTATTAAACTGTAAAGTAATATTATACAATTATAATTTATAACTACAAACAGACTCACAAATCACATGTATGATCACTACATTGGCAGGTACTGCCATAGTAATCAGAGTTGCATTGACAATGACCACATGAGCACTTTCCATGCCCACTGCAGATCTGGCCTCCATTGCCGCGACAACCATCTACTCCAGTAGGGCAAGAGGCATGATCTTCTGTAACCTCACTAGCTCCCGAGTGCTCACTGCGTTCTCTTGCTAGAGAACCACGGTTTGTATGTCCATGTCCCTGAGGAAAGAAAAACATTATATCTAATTTAAAAAATAAATAAATAAAAATACCAGTACAGTGTACAGTATCACATACGAATCACACTAACGTGATAGATATCAATTAGAAAATCCACCAGGGCTATGAGGTGGCGTGAACCTACGATCCTGGCATTGCCAATCACGTACTCTACCACTGGATCACCAAAGACTTGAAAAATCATACAAATGAATTTTTACTGAAATTACAGGAAGTCTGGAAGCTCCTACTGAAGCCAGTCCAAGTTTTTATGTATGACCCACAAGCATTCGGATGGAAAGGCCAAGTGGTCCTCTACCTTACACCCCAACTTCAGAAACACATAGAAATCACATTAATGTGATATATATCAATGAGAAAATCTACTAGGGCTATGAGATGGCGTGAACCTACAACCCTGGCACTGCTAGTTGCGTACTCTACCACTGGACAACCAAAGACCTGTAAAAAGTCATACACCAGATCTCTACTGAAATCACAGGAAGTCCGTAGGCCCCTATTGAGGCCTTTGTTCGTATCCTGACTGGGGATGTTTGACGACGTCAATCCTTAACTGTACATAAGAACATAAGAATGAAGATAACTGCAGAAGGCCTATTGGCCCACACAAGGCAGCTCCTATTTATATCCACAAAATCCCATTAATATATATGTCTAACCCACTCTTGAAACAATCAAGGGATCCTACTTCTATTATGTTATGCGGTAATTGGTTCCACAAATCAACAACCCTGTTACTAAACTAGTATTTACCCAGGTCTTTCTGAAATCTAAACTTATCCAATTTATACCCATTGTTTCATGTTCTTGTCTTGTGTTGATACTTTTAATACCTTATTAATAGCTTCTTTGTTATGTCCATTCATCCACTTGTACACCTCTATCATGTCACCTCAAATTCTTTGCCTTTCCAGAGAATGTAATTTAAACTTTGTCAATCTTTCTTCATGTGACAGGTTTCTAATTTGCGGGATTAACTTTATCATCCTACGCCGGAGGCGTTCTAGTGAATTTATATCTATTTTATAGTACTGTATGATGATCAGAACTGAACTGCATAATCTAAATGGGATCCAACAAGAGCAAGCTATAGCTGAAGAACAACACCAGGTGTCGTGTTACTAACGCTTCGATAAATAAATCCCAGTGTCCTATTTGCCTTATTACGAACATTTATGCATTAATTTTTGGTTTTAAATTCTTATTAATCATAACTCCAAGATCCCTTTTGCAGTCCGATTTCGCAATCTCAGCACCATCTAGCTCGTATCTTGTAACTCTATTATCATAACCAAGCCTCAAAACCTTACATTTGTCAGCATTAAATGATTTGGCGGGTGATGTTCCGAGGAAAAATTCGGATTAAGGACCCGCCCAAAATGCTATGCGTGCTAGTGGCTTTATAAGAATGTAAGCACGATGCTTTTTCACCCACAGAGTTATAAACCCATGGAAGTGCCTACCCGCCGAAGCCATAAATGTCAAAATTCTGCTGAACTTTAAAATCCAGCCGGAAAAAATCATCAGGACACGTGGAGGGACCTTTGACAAGCTACTGGCTTCTTATCCTCATTGAGGCCACTAGTGTCAGTGGTCCTCAGGTAAATTTTAGTAAATGAAGAGAGGCTAACTTGGGAAAATACTCAATATACTGTAATTCATTGCTTTGCAATGTGCCATCTGAGCTCACTGACCTGGTGTTTAGTGAAAGCTCGAAACTCTCTCCAGAGGGAAGAAAGGTTAGCCCTCAGCCATGCTAAATCTACCACATCAATGGGTTCTTCATGTCTTGGTTCATGACCTATTCTCCGGCCATCCTGCTTTTGTCGCCTCCGTTCATCCCTGATAAGACATTTAGTCATGAAGTAACATTTTACAATTGTAGTTTTAGGCACACACACATGTACTGCATACACATTAAGTAAAAATACAATATAATGTTTTCAAGCAGTTCAAATGATGACCTGCTTAAGTCATCAAAATAAATCCTTTTGTTTCAAATAAAAGGAGTTGCTTAATCTGAAATTTCACATTTTACTAATGAACATACTGTACCTCAATTTGTTTTTTGTACTGAGGCAGGTATTTTCTCCCCTGATTCCATGTATGACTAACCATTCTGTGAGATGGGAATATTAGATGAACTTATAGCTAGTTTTTTTATCTACACTGTGTAATCTTTCATATAGAATAGGATAGCAGCACATTGCTGTGTATATCTATGCTTGTTACTGTAATTAAAAAACAAAAGTTACATCCTGTTTAGCCTACTTAATTTTGAAGTAATATCTAGGGGGGTCTAGTGAGTTTGAATTAAAATATTTCTGCCCTATTCCATTAATGTTTCTTAGCAAATTTGTATATGGTAATTAGCTTTTTTTTAAACTAAAGTGTAAATGTAGCTGAATTCAAAAGAAAGTAAATCATGTAAAATCACAATCTTTTTCCTTTGCATGAATGTGTCATCACTTCATGTTTCATTGCATCCTTTATACTGGTAATAATACTGTACTATAATAATAATACTAGTAATAATAATACAGTAATAATAAAACTATAATAATAATAATAATAATAGTCTATGCCTGTCATCCTTAAGTATCACCTTTTTTTTGTATTCATTTGTTATTTTCCATGAGTGTTCTCATTTTGTTAACTTGCTTCTCCTTAGTATTAAGCATTTTACCCCCTCACACTTTTAAGTTCACTTTTTTGTCTATGTTATGTTTTGCAGGAAACATTTTGCATAATTAGTGACTTCATTAGTATGTGTAACTCCTGTCCCTTCAATTGTACATTACTCTCATGTTCTTTGTACACACATTCTTTTTAATAAACATTGAATTGAATGGAATAATAATAATTGAATTTTAAAAGTATGCAGAAGAATATGATATAGTAATTAATTCAGTAGTTACATAGATACATATTTAATAAAGCCACTAGCACATAAAGCATTATGGGCATAACTTAAAAGTAACTACATTTTGTATAGGTTTCATGGGGTAAAGTTATTCAACCACTAAGCATTGCAGTGCATGGACTAATCATTAAATTCACTTTTTATCAACTTTTCCACAATGCACATTATTTCTTTTTTGAAAATGTTTAGTTATCTGTGACAATGAATTATAATATTCATATGAGAAAATGCGCCCTTGGACTCTAAGGCACTCACAGCTCCTTCATTGTGCAACCTTCTAGTACTAAATTTCAAGGTGATAATTCATCACAAATTTCTTAAAATCATTTTAACCATTTTATATTTAACATTCATACCTTCTCTCAAGCCTTTCCTGTCTCCGCTCCTGCCGCATCCTTCTCCTCTCTTCCTGTGTCAACAAGCGACTATCATCCCCACCATCTTCGTGGTTTCTGAATCGGCTCCCCACACCTCTACCTCCTCCATGCTGATTATGTGCTGCAGAGTCTTGACTTTGTTGACGTCCATAGTGCCAATCTGCAGTGTTAAAGTGATGGAAAGGAAAGCTCAAAGCTAAATTTGTAAATTGGGTCTATAACCTAAGAAAAGTATGCACCCCTCTATGTCATCCTCTACAGTTACAATTATCCTCTACTTATACAATTAAAGAACAATTAGTTATCTTGAGGTTATCTCGAGATGATTTCGGGGCTTAGCGTCCCCGCGGCCCGGTCCTCGACCAGGCCTCCTCCTTGTTACACCCCCCCAGGAAGCAGCCCAAAGCAGCTGTCTAACTCCCAGGTACCTATTTACTGTTAGGTAACAGGGGCATTTGGGTGAAAGAAACTTTTTGCCTATTTGTCTCCGCTTCCACCGGGGATCGAACCCGGAACCTCAGGACTACGAATCCGAAGCGCCATCCACTCAGTTATCAGGCGCCCGTCATCAAACATTGACTGCCTTTATTTTGTTTTAAATAACAAAATTTATTATATATTTATCTTCATGTATATTGAGATAAAAACCACAGTATAAATATTTTGTGCTTAATAAACACTTTATTATTGCATCTTACATACTGTACTGTATAGTACTTATTGAATTTAAAGGTGCAGACATATTGGCTTGCAAAAAAATAATCATTACTTGGATAAATACAAATTTATTATACCTTGTTTAAGAGAAAAAGAAAAAAAAGAAAAAAGAGAGAGTACTTTCTCTCTCTCTCTTTTTTTTAAATAAAATAAATAAATAATGATAATATTTCCTTACCCTGGCCTAAGCAGCTACAGACAAAGATAAGCACAAACATTATAGATGCACTCCATTTCCAGAAGGCTGTCATTATATGCTGCTGCCAAGCCTGTGACAAACATAATATGCTTATTTAAAAGGTATAGTACAGTACAGTGCAATAATATATGATGAACAGTAATAATAAATGTATTTGGCAGTAGTATACCAAGAACAAAAATTTAATATACTTTATTTATTTATTTACATACAAGAAGGTGCATTGGGTTGTGAGAGTACATAGCATTGGTGTTATGCCACTAACACACATAGCATTTTGGGCAGGTCTTTAAACAGAATATCAAAACATGTGTGATAGCATCTGAGTGTGTAGAATATATGTGAATGCTACACAGTATTCATCTACAGATATCCGTATATGTTGAAATACATGTGAAGAACCTCACACACACACAGCTCCACGACAAAAGATAACTTAGCTGCCAACACACACACCTTCTCAGGAATCTGTACACCAGTTGATCGACAGTTGAGAGGCGAGACCAAAGAGCCGAAGCTCAACCCTCGCAATCACAACTAAGTAAGCACACACATAGTAGCAGCAAGGCGGACAGCCCGCCTCCAATTATAACTCATACTGTATTTCCCATTTCCCAACTTTTCTCTACACATGTTCCTCTCCATCCTCTACCCCCTCCCCGCAAAACAGGAGTAGAGAGTGTAGGGTGTAGTGGGAGGGGGAGAGGGTTAGGAGAAGGAGTAAGGGGGGGGGGATAGAGGAGAGGAGTTGATGGGTTGATGGGGTGAATTGGGATTACTCACCTAATTGTGCTTGCAGGGGTTGAGCTTTGTCTCTTTGGTCCCGCCTCTCAACTGTCAATCAACTGATGTACAGATTCCTGAGCCTACTGGGCTCTATCATATCTACATTTGAAACTGTGTATGGAGTCAGCCTCCACCACATCACTGCCTAATGCATTCCATTTACTAACTAATTTGACACTGAAAAAATTCTTTCTAACGTCTCTGTGGCTCATCTGGGTACTAAGTTTCCACCTGTGTCTCCTTGTTCGTGTCCCACCCGTGCTGAAGAGTTTGTCTTTGTCCACCCTGTCAATTCCCCTGAGAATTTTGTAGGTGGTTATCATGTCTCCCCTTACTCTTCTGTTTTCCAGGGACGTGAGGTTCAGCTCCTTTAGCTTTTCCTCGTAGCTCATACCTCTCAGTTCCGGGACGAGCCTGGTGGCATACCGCTGAATCTTCTCTAACTTTGTCTTGTGTTTAACCATGTATGGACTCCAGGCTGGAGCTGCATATTCCAGGATTGGTCTGACATAAGTGGTATACAGGGTCCTGAACGATTCCTTACACAAGTTTCTAAAGGCAGTTCTTATGTTGGCCAGTCTAGCATATGCCGCTGATGATATCCTTTTGATGTGGGCCTCTGGGGACAGGTTCGGTGTGATATCAACCCCCAGATCTTTTTCTCTATTTGACTCTTGCAGGATTTCACCTCCCAGATGGTACCTTGTGTTCAGCCTCCTGCTCCCTTCGCCTAATTTCATTACCTTACACTATCCAGAGTTGAACTTTAGCAGCCATTTTCTAGACCATTCCTCCAGTTTGTCCAGGTCATCCTGTAGTCTCTGTCTATCTTCATCCGTCTTGATTCTTCTCATAATTTTTGCATCGTCAGCAAACATTGAGAGGAACGAGTCTATACCCTCCGGAAGATCGTTTACATATATTAGAAACAGGATGGGTCCAAGTACTGAGCCCTGTGGGACTCCGCTGGTGACATCTCGCCACTTTGATGTCTACCCACTCACCGTTACTCGCTGTTTCCTGTTGCTTAAGTATTCCCTTATCCACTGGAGCACCTTCCCTTTTACTCCTGCCTGTTGCTCCAACTTTTTTAACAGCCTTTTATAGGGTACTGTGTCAAAGGTTTTCTGGCAGTCCAGGAAAATGCAGTCGGCTCACCCTTCTCTTTCCTGCCTAATTTTTGTTGCCTGGTCATTGAATTCTATTAAACCTGTCAGGCACGATTTACCATCCCTGAACCCATGTTGGTGGAAATAACAAAGTTATTTCCCTCCAGATGCTCTACAAGCCTTTTCCTCACGATCTTCTCCATCACCTTGCATGGTATACAAGTTAGGGAAACTGGCCTGTAGTTCAGTGCCTCTTGCCTGTCACCCTTCTTGTATATTGGGACTACGTTAGCTGTCTTCCAAGTTTATGGTAGGTCTCCTGTTTCCAGTGGCCTGTTATACACCATAGAGAGTGGCACACTTAGTGCTTCTGCACCTTCCTTTAGTATCCATGGTGAGATTCTGTCAGGCCCAACAGCCTTTGCCACATCCAGCTCCAGCAGACACCTTTTGACCTCATCACTGGTGAGGTCAAATTCCTCCAAGGTTGCTTGGTTTGCCTCCTGCATTTAGTGCAGGGGCTTCTCCTTGTTCTATTGTGAAGACCTCCTGGAATCTATTGTTGAGTTCTTCACACACCTTGTCATTCTCTGTGTATCTGTTCTCCCCTTTTTTTCAATTTCATCACTTGTTCCTTCACTGACATTAGTGGCAATGGGAGGGATGGGGGGGGGGGGGTAGAGGAAGACTCATGAGTGTACGGGCGTACAGGAGGATGAGGTGAGGGGGCAGTGAGGGAGTGGGTATTATGAAGGTAATGTGGTGAGAGTAGCATGGGAGAAAAGTTTAATTTAGTGATGAGTTTACACCGCGGGAGGATTTGCGAGTTTACCGTAATACAGTACTGACCAACCAGCAATTAGAATTCTTTCTTCAGAAACTCTTAGCGTATATGCCCATCGAAGTGAGGTATACCTCTCGGTGTATGTATCTCTTGTGTACACTGATGGTAAGGGTTGGAGGGGTGTGGGGAGGGAGCAGGAAGTGCCTGTGGGCGGAGCTTGGTGCGATAACTTTGGGGAAGGGAAGCACTGCTCAGACCAGGAACGTCATAGTATCCTAATCGCTATTATCAACACCGCACCACTCCAAGAAACTCAAGCTAACAGAAGGCCAATCGCACCGAAGAGGGTAGAAAACACTATTATAAAAATATGAAACATTTGGGAGCAAGGAGTATATGTATGGAGAACATAAAACATCAACTGGTGTGACATTGTAGGTCATGAATCTCCCTGCAACACTGAGCACTCCAACAGTAACCTATGTTAGACAGAGCTATGAGAGAGAGAGAGAGAGAGAGAGAGAAGAGAGAAGAAGAGAGAAGAGAGAAGAGAGAAGAGAGAAGAGAGAGAGAAGAGAGAGAGAGAGAAGAGAGAAGAGAGAGAGAGAGAGAGAGAGAGAGAGAGAGAGAGAGAGAGAGAGAGAGAGAGAGAGAGAGAGAGAGAGAGAGAGAGAGAGAGAGAGAGAGAGAGAGAGAGAGAGAGAGCGCGCGCGCGCGAGCATGGGATGTCTGTCATACCTTTACCTGTTCTCTCCTAGATGTTACTACTGCTCGGCTTAGACTCGGTTACAAGTATCTCTGGGAATTCTCGTTATCTGCCGATGTAGACCTGACCAAATGTAAACTATGTCAACAAAATTATTTGCACACCCTCTGTCACTATGTGATGGAGTGCGAAAAGATACGTGAATTCAGAGACAATTCTATAACCAATGTTCCAGCGATGTGTCAATATTTCATTCAAAATGATCTGCTACCAGAAATTTTAGTCAAATATCCCCAGTTTGCTAACTGTAGTTAGTAACTAAGTGATTGTAACCTATCCACCGCTGCCCACTGGATGGGGGGCGGTGTGCAGGATAAACATATCAATTGTGACACTAGCTCTCCACATATGTCAGTTGCTTAATTTAGAAACTGTACTTGTGGTCGATCTCGAGCCCATTGTTGATGTGACTACTTATACTGAATTTGTAACTAGCTCATCAAGATTGTAACTTGTTTAGCTAAATGAATTGTGGGGTTCAGTCCCTGAGCCCAATATGTGCCTCTGTAACCCTTTCCACTACCTCCCACAGGATGGGTATGGGGTGCATAATAAATGAATTAAACTAAACTTTCCTAATAGAACGTCGCATTTTGACATATACTCTACATAAGGCCAAAAATTGTCGTTATAGAAAATGGTAGCGACTCGCGAGATTGACATTCTGTCCCGTTTTTTGTTTTGGGTCCTCTGGTATGTTAGGATAGGGGACTTTAGTATGACAATTTCTTGAAAGTGGTGGGACGACGACGTTTCGGTCCCTCCTGGACCATTCTCAAGTCAATTGTGACGATTGAAGGAGAAGGCAATAAATAGGCAGAAGAAAGGTGAGGAGAAGAACGGAAGGGACGGACCGAAACGTCGTCGTCCCTTCACTTTCTAGTGTGTGGTCTGGTCAACATTTTTCAGCCAAGTTATTGCAGACTGTGCAGACGCAGTTTCTTGAAGTTAGAAAACCTTAGGAAGACGGGAGATAAGCGCTCGAGATAGTGGACAACAGGAAGTCAAAGAAAACGTGGAGGATGTTTTTGATTAGGACAAACTCTAAAAAAAACGAGAAAGTCGAGCACTTCATAAAACATAAACCCTGATTTGACATTGTAAATAATACAATAAGAAAAGCGCTATTCCAGTATAATTATATAGCCCTTAGCTGGAATATATGAGGGACAGCGTTAGAGGTGGGATACAATATAAAGATGGCTTCAAGGAATTATTGGGCGACGATGAGCGCGTTAGTGCTTTTGCAACAACGTCAACTATTTAAGCACCAATATGTGCAGTTTATTGACGGTTGAGAGGCGGGACCAAAGAGTCGAAGCTCAACCCCGGAAGCACAACTAAGCGAGTATAATAATAATAATAATAATAATTATTATTATTATTATTATTATGGGTTATACTCGCCTATAATAATAATAATAATAAAAATGATAATTTTTATGTAAGTAAAAGTACTGTACATACATAGAGACATGGGTTCACACCCAAACAAAGTATAACTACACCTCAATAAACATCCTTGAGCTTGAAACTCCACACACACACACAGATCACAGGAAGAATGAAGGATGTGTGGACGGATGACACCCACTAATATACACACAGGTTCCTCGCATAATGTGGGAAAACTTTTAATAAAACTTAATAAATAAATAAATACGTTTATCCCCCACTTCTCCGTGTGTAGACAGTGAATCTACTTTAGTCTTGTACTAAAGGAGACTCAGACTTAGTCTTTAGTGGACTAAAGACTTAATTAAGTCTTAATAGTCAGGACTAAAGTATACTTGCTGGTTGGTCAGTAATTGAGTCAGGGCCTTAATAACTCTATATATAAAACCTGAAGGGGCAACTCAATCAACACAATATATAGAAGCCTAAATACAAAACATCAGACGCATTGAATTACAAATTAAAGCAAAATTCATATCAACACATAAGCCAACCATCCTTACTGTAGACAATACCTCAGCTACCCTCTAAATGCTCCTTGATCTACTTACCTGTAGTGACTCGTCGTGGTGTCCTCTATATGCTCCTCTCAGAGAGGACGGGGTGTGTCAGAACGTGGTGCGTCAGGACTTGGTGCGTCAGAACGTGGTGCGTCAGGACGTGGTGCGTCAGAACGTGGTGCGTTTCAGGGATGGGCAGAGTGCGTGAGGGGAAGAAGGTGATGATGTATGAGAGGCCGAGGTGGTGCGAGAGGCGTGAGGCGTGAGGGAGCCGTGGTGGCGGACAGCTGCTGCCGGTGCACGTGAACCCCGGCGGGAGGACGGCTGGCAGCGCGGCGCAGCGAGGGGACCCACTGAGGGGTCACCGCTGTACGACATCTTCCCTCACTAAAACACTTATTTCTAGGCTCAACGCCTAGGGAGACATGATATAAATTCACACTGTGTTGTTTTTACCTCGCTTTTCCGTATCATATAACCAAGAAATAATTCCTTTACACCACACTATAGTGAAGGACAAAACCATGATATCTGGCAACTATTTTGAGCGAAAATCACTAGCATTATCGCGTAAGTCCAGAACGAACCTTTATAGAAAACCATAAATCAAAATGGATATTGTTTTTCCCTTACTGGCTGTGGTATTTAAATTTGCTCCTTCAATTACAAGAAAAAAGGAAAAAAATAGTTAATATCACTAACACGTGATACAAAAATCATACAAATATGTTTCTTGCATTTGTCAATGCCATTGTAGCAAGTCTCACCATTTTAATACTCAAACTCCTTGACAGAACTGCACAAAATAAATAATTCCAACTTAACCACAGATGAAAAAATAATTCCAGTGTCTATTGAGAATTGAACCATCAACCACGAGCTTAATGCAAATAATTGAACAGCTGATGGAAGATGGTTGACGTTGACGAACAGACGTCAAGGATTATTTGACCAAGTGGCAACTGACTCCCAGTTGACCGTTGATTATCTGTGGTCAGCCGCGTGGTCTGGCGCTTGTTTGGTTGTTGGTCTGGCGCTTGTTTGGTTGTTGGTCTGACGCTTGTTTGGTTGTTGGTCTGACGCTTGTTTGGTTGTTGGTCTGACGCTTGTTTGGTTGTTGGTCTGACGCTTGTTTGGTTGTTGGTCTGACGCTTGTTTGGTTGTTGGTCTGGCGCTTGTTTGGTTGTTGGTCTGGCGCTTGTTTGGTTGTTGGTCTGGCGCTTGTTTGGTTGTTGGTCTGACGCTTGTTTGGTTGTTGGTCTGACGCTTGTTTGGTTGTTGGTCTGGCGCTTGTTTGGTTGTTGGTCTGGCGCTTGTTTGGTTGTTGGTCTGACGCTTGTTTGGTTGTTGGTCTGACGCTTGTTTGGTTGTTGGTCTGACGCTTGTTTGGTTGTTGGTCTGGCGCTTGTTTGGTTGTTGGTCTGGCGCTTGTTTGGTTGTTGGTCTGACGCTTGTTTGGTTGTTGGTCTGGCGCTTGTTTGGTTGTTGGTCTGACGCTTGTTTGGTTGTTGGTCTGACGCTTGTTTGGTTGTTGGTCTGGCGCTTGTTTGGTTGTTGGTCTGGCGCTTGTTTGGTTGTTGGTCTGACGCTTGTTTGGTTGTTGGTCTGACGCTTGTTTGGTTGTTGGTCTGACGCTTGTTTGGTTGTTGGTCTGGCGCTTGTTTGGTTGTTGGTCTGGCGCTTGTTTGGTTGTTGGTCTGACGCTTGTTTGGTTGTTGGTCTGACGCTTGTTTGGTTGTTGGTCTGGCGCTTGTTTGGTTGTTGGTCTGGCGCTTGTTTGGTTGTTGGTCTGACGCTTGTTTGGTTGTTGGTCTGACGCTTGTTTGGTTGTTGGTCTGACGCTTGTTTGGTTGTTGGTCTGGCGCTTGTTTGGTTGTTGGTCTGGCGCTTGTTTGGTTGTTGGTCTGACGCTTGTTTGGTTGTTGGTCTGGCGCTTGTTTGGTTGTTGGTCTGGCGCTTGTTTGGTTGTTGGTCTGACGCTTGTTTGGTTGTTGGTCTGGCGCTTGTTTGGTTGTTGGTCTGGCGCTTGTTTGGTTGTTGGTCTGACGCTTGTTTGGTTGTTGGTCTGGCGCTTGTTTGGTTGTTGGTCTGACGCTTGTTTGGTTGTTGGTCTGACGCTTGTTTGGTTGTTGGTCTGGCGCTTGTTTGGTTGTTGGTCTGACGCTTGTTTGGTTGTTGGTCTGGCGCTTGTTTGGTTGTTGGTCTGACGCTTGTTTGGTTGTTGGTCTGGCGCTTGTTTGGTTGTTGGTCTGACGCTTGTTTGGTTGTTGGTCTGGCGCTTGTTTGGTTGTTGGTCTGGCGCTTGTTTGGTTGTTGGTCTGACGCTTGTTTGGTTGTTGGTCTGACGCTTGTTTGGTTGTTGGTCTGACGCTTGTTTGGTTGTTGGGTAGTTTGATGCTTGTTTGGTTGTGTCGTTTAGTCTTACAGGGTGTTGGAGGCGCTCCGAAGACAACAGTATGAATAGTGATGATACTGGTGGCAACAGAGGGTGACGATGGTGGTACTGGGGCCACTGCATGGTGACGATGGTGGTAGAAGGGGGGGTCGATGGTGGTTGATGGTGAGAGGGTGGGGGTAGGGGGAGAGACCATATACGACTATATTTGCATGGAAGTTCTTCTTCTTCGGTTGAGAAGGACCTTTTGAACATCAAATATATATATAGTTCTGTCAGTGATATACCCGCCGACGAGCGCGCGGTTTTGTGTCGCTGGGGTGACCTAAAACTGACGCATTGTCTATGTTGCTGGTGTTACGTTAAACTGACGCATTGTCTATGTTGCTGGTGTTACGTTAAACTGACGCATTGTCTATGTTGCTGGTGTTACGTTAAACTGACGCATTGTCTATGTTGCTGGTGTTACGTTAAACTGACGCATTGTCTATGTTGCTGGTGTTACGTTAAACTGACGCATTGTCTATGTTGCTGGTGTTACGTTAAACTGACGCATTGTCTATGCTGCTGGTGTTACGTTAAACTGACGCATTGTCTATGCTGCTGGTGTTACGTTAAACTGACGCATTGTCTATGCTGCTGGTGTCACGTTAAGCTCAGACGTAAGGATGACACATGGCCTATGCCGCCGGTGTTACAAGATGAAATACGTCCATGACGTACCTTCTTCTTGACAGTAAGGGTTCACAAACCCTATTTGAGGCACAAGTTGGCGCTCCCATCTTGACTACTTACACCGCTCTACTGTACTGGTCTGACAGCCATTATTTACCTGAGTAATGGACAAGGTGGAGATCTTCGTGCAGACGATTAGTCACAGTAACGTGGTAGAAGATATCATCACCAAACTACACCTCATGAAATAACAAAAAAGGCGACGTTTCGGTCCGTTCTGGACCGAAATGTCGTTTCTTAACCACAACACAAGACGCTCAGCCATCAGGAGCATTTGGAACATGAGAGAGAGAGAGAGAGAGAGAGAGAGAGAGAGAGAGAGAGAGAGAGAGAGAGAGAGAGAGAGAGAGAGAGAGAGAGAGAGAGAGAGAGTAAGAGAGACAGACAGACAGACAGAGACAGATAGAGATAGACAGGTCAGGTGTTGAGGAAAGGAGGGGGACACAGGTGTGTCCTACTGAGACACAGGTGTACACATGTGCCAACATCTGTTCTCCTCGAGGATACCAACGAACGAATTATTACAACATTTATGCACTTATTCCAAGTTATTAATTTGACCCAAAACATCAAGACGCCAACACAAACAAGAACATTAAACGATTGTGAATGTTTATATAATATAATTAATAACTATAAAAATGGGGAAAATAGGAGAACGGTTTGTGATAAACGGAACTCAAGTGGATGAGTTCACTGTGGCGGAATTATATATGTCCTTCCAGTGGCGTTTTTCTAGTGGTGGGGAATAGTGGTGATGGTACTAGTAGTAGAAGTGGTGGTGGTGGATGGGAATAGTGGTAGTGAGGGGAGGTAATAGTGGTAGTGAGGGGAGGTATGGTGAGTTCAGTAGTGGTGCGGGAGGTTAGTGGTTGTGAGCAGTGGTGATGCTAAATTATATAAGTGGTGGTGGGGATTATGATAGTGAAGGATAGTCCTGATAGTAGTGTCAGGGGGGGCAGCTGTAACGGTGACATAGTGAATAGGTAATGATGGTGATAGTGGTGGCAAAGTGGTGGTGAAGAGAGTGATGACAATGAGGCAGTATAGTGGCCATGATCACATAATATACGTGAATATTATAACATTATTAAAACGTAATTTTAATAATAATAATAATAATTCAGTGTTTCGGGGGACAGGCAGCCAGTCTATATATATACAGTACACGTTAGGCTTATATATCGTTGTCAGTATCTGCATATAAGGGACAGTATTCATCTGTACAATTCTTAAAACATATGTTCAGTGATAAACAAAATGACATCGTGGCCACGCCGATTCTATAGAGCAATTAATATTTTTATATCGATTGCATTTTCAGTTATTCAGGTATGAAGGTGCTAGAAATGTCAGTAGTCAAAAGTAAGAAAGAATACGGCTCCCTGATACAAATTTAATAATAATAATAATAATAATAATAATAATAATAATAATAATAATAATAATAATAATAATATAATAATAATAATAAAAGAAACAATATATTGATGAGAACATTGACGAGAGAGTGCCGTTCGGAAAGAACACATCTATGAATACACTGAACAGTTTTCGAAGACAGTTGTCTCCAGACACCGCCGACGACGAACGTCAGCCAATCATGACTCCCGTAGACCATCCAACGCGCCAATCACGAGACGCCACCAGGAATAACCAGTCACCAAATGGAATAGAATTGTCGACCAATTACAACACGATTCAGGTTGCGCCGCCATTGTGAGTCCTGGAGGGTTTGTTTACCACAGTCAGCTGGTCTGTAGAGGGGAGCATACGGCCCTGTGCTGTAGCTGTCCCTATATGCAGTCAATGAGTCACTAACGATGGTTCTTCACTTTATGATGTGTAGTTTGGTCATTATAGCTGTCCCAAATCCGTTATCAACAACAACAATTACAACGTCCTTCTTGGAATCTTCCTTTGATTCACTTTATTCTAATGAAAGTCCCTTCAACTATGCAAAAGTCATTGGCACATGATGTGGATCGAATCAGCTTTCAGTTTTTCATTCCTTCAATTAAATTGCCTCGAACTGTCATATTCTAAAACATTGAGTTAAATAATCTTTTTTGGTTCATCTTTAATTTCATTTCCAATAGCTTTATCTCTATCGGTATTGATGGTACCATTTCCGCTGCCGTTCCAGTTGACTACGATGCTCCTCAAGGTGTTTATCTCGTCTCTTTCCATTTATATCTGTATTAAAGATCCTGGGTGCAATTTCTTAAATATTCCTTCCTTCACATCTAACGGCAGACTAAGCCATTAACACGGTGATAGTTCGTAAGGACGTCACTCCCCATGGTTCATGAGAGATGATTGTCATCCACGTCACCCCCATGAGAGAGCCAGATAGTTTTGCACCCATTGTACGAGGGAAGGATGCTCAGATTAGTTTTATACACAATCAAATAATGGGACGTGTTACTGTGTCGGACCCCCATACCACGTCAATGGTGAATAGTGAACCCAAAACCCGAAATTCGTGGATCGTGGACCCTCCCTCGAAACAACTGAGTCCCTCAAGGAACATCTATTGCATCAGTTTTCTGTTTCTAAAGCAGAAAATGATGTTTATTTGATGAGTAACTATTATGAAGCAAAAAATTATCAGTAAATAATTCACATCCTATCATATATATATATTGCCTATATGTTACCTATGGCCTATCTCATCTCAAATGGGAAAGCGTTGCTTATAAATTCTATTTACGGAACTCGGGCCAAACATTTTAAGACATGTGTCCGCGCAGGAATATCCCTGCAAAAAAAAAAGTATATACAGGATACGCGTCCGGGGTACACCTATCTATGTATACTTTATCCGTGTAATACAGACACAGTTGTTGCTTAACGATACAAAATTCCTATAGATATACAGTGTTGTATGATTATATGAACACCAATTATTGTTCTTATTCCATCACGTGAATATGGAAAAATATTCTGTTATATAAAACAGTGATTCATCTTATCGAAAATTGATTATATATAAGTCATACACAATAATAATTTAAGTTACATGGCAAACTAATCTTCCTCCAGGCCGACGGGGACGCTACAGGACCCCGGCGGAGGATATCTGGGTCCTGCAGCCTTACTCCAGGAACCCCCAGGACCCGCGTCAGACACCAGGAGCCCTACAACGGACCACGAAGGAGCTGTAACGGCCCCAAGACCTGGCACGGATCCGGGCCGCTCCAGACAGGGCCCAGCAGCGCCGCCTCCACTCTCCTGGAGGCGGCGAGGCAGCAGCTACACACTCCATCAGGGACCCGGGTAAGTGGCCTGTCAAGTCATCCTTAACCTCCTGTACCAGAATATTATTAATTGGTTTGACCTCTTATATAGGAAGTCATTAAGTGGCTTGACCTCGCGTACCAAGAGTCACGAACCTGAATTAAGAGTCCTGAACCTCCCATACTAAGAGTCCTGACCGCCTGTACCAAGAGTCACTAAGAGTCCTGACCTGTACCAAGAGTCACTAAGTCCCTCCACCCCTCGTCATCCCTAGCCCCCTCCGCCTGGGTGGACATTGAAAACTGAATGAAGTTTAACGCGAAAAATACAAATTCTTTCCCCTTTGTCTTTGTTCACACTCTCTTCCCTGTCATCTGTGTTTATCTGTCTTTCCTTCGTCTCCTCCACTTTTTTCTTATTTAATATCGTGTGTCCACTGACATGGCCCCGCCCTCCTGCAGGGTGTGTGGGTGGTGGGTGGAGGGGACGCCGCCCCGGGAGAGGGTGCTGGTGCTCACCATCTCCGCCCTCACGCTGCTGGTGCTCACCCTCGCTACGGCTCTCCTGGCGCTCTCTCTAGGTGGGTGCTCCTCCTGCTGGCGCTGTAGGGTGTAGAGGGTGTGGAGGGTGTAGAGGGTGTGGAGGGTGTGGGGGGTGTAGAGGGTGTGGAGGGTGTGGAGGGTGTAGAGGGTGTGGAAGGTGTGGGGGGTGTAGAGGGTGTGGAGGGTGTGGAGGGTGTACAGGGTGTGGAGGGTGTACAGGGTGTGGAGGGTGTGGAAGGTGTGGAGGGGGTTTCAGAGAGACTGACCAATTTAAAGGTATGTAAACAACTGTATACCTGTCCTATACAGATGCGCGGAGGGGGTCTGACGTCATCAACAACACCTGCCTGAGCGCCGAGTGTGTCAAGACAGGTGAGCATCATCATCACTACTCACCCTAACACCTGGTCACTACCTCACTTCTCTCCCTAGCACCTGGTCACACCTCACTACCTCACCTTCGTCTCACTAGGTCCCCCCTCCCTCCGTCCCCTCGCGGGCGTGACCCTGTCAGTAACACGTGACTCTGCAACACCTGTTCGATGACCTCTCCTGACCTTGACCTCCCGCAGCTGGTGATATCCTGAGGTCGCTGAACGAGGACGTCTCGCCGTGTGAGAACTTCGCGGAGTTCGCGTGCGGGGGCTGGCGCCGCGAGAACCCCATCCCCGAGGGCAGGTTCCGCTGGGGAGTGTTTAACGTCCTGGACCAGCAGACTCTGCTTGACCTCAGGGGTGAGTTGTGACCTCCCTTATGTCTCATAATGTCTATGTCACACCTATGTCTATGACATAGTGAGGTGAAACATTCATGTCTCACCCCACCACGGTCTTCACCATCACCACCGCACTTGGCGCGAGTGATAATTGACAGTGACAGCTGACGTTTGACAGTTGACAGTGACGGGATAATGTTATACTCCCTCAGGGATGCTGGAGGAGGAGCCTGGCGCAGATGAGCCCTTCCCCATAACCGCCTCCAAGACCATCTACCAGGCCTGTGTCAACGACTGTGAGTGCTTCCCTCCCACACCTGTCACACACCAGTCTCCCACCCCTGCCTAACACACCTGTCTACCACACCTGCCTCACACATCTGCTTCCAGACTTGAGTACTTGAACCTACAATAGAATATATTGATATTAATTCTCTTTATTGATCATTTACTGTATTGCTGATCAGTTGGTTTTCTATCAATCAATTCCTTCTTCGTTTATCATTTGTTTATTTACTGATTTATTCATTATTTATGAGGTACCCTCTAGTTCAGAGGTGCAGATCTTCAGACTAGCTTAGGCTGTGTCATTATACCCTTCTGCAGCCATGTGGGAGAAGGTAGGCCTACGGCCTCTGCTGGACTTGCTGGGGAGGGAAGGAGGCCTACCCATGCTGGAGCCCGAGTGGACAGGCGAGGGGTTCCAGGTGATGAGGAGCCTGGCTGCCCTGCGGAGGAGGCTGGCCAGCCAGAGTCTTGTGAGCCTCACCGTGGGGCCGGACAGTCTCAATACCTCCATCTCCCTCATATACGTGAGTCATGAGGCAGGAAGGGGTTATATAGTGAGTCGGCCACCCGAGTAGTGAATGAGGAGGGTGAGAAGTGAGTCTAATCCGTCCTCCATATCTCTCTCTCACCTGTTTGTTGGGTGGTGATTGGGAATTTTGTACCCAATGAAAATAATGTGTTCTTTGTGTTTACATTTTTCTTCAAAACTTTCCAATCTTCCCTCACTCCCTTCCTCTCGCCTCACACTCTCACTCACTAAGGCCCGCCCCTCACGCTTCATCTCTGCCCACTAGCTGAGTGAGGGCTTGCTGCCTCTCCGTCGCAGCTACCTCATTCACGACGCCCCCAACGCCTCCTTCTCCTCGGTGGAGCACAAGGCCAGCCAGATCACCTACATGAGAATGACGGGCGAGGAGCTCTTAAAGGAGGCGGGGAAGCTCGGTAACCGCACCCACCTCACCACTCTCTACAACGACATCGACGACTTGTGGCAGTTCTACGTGCAGGTGGCTGAGGTGAGAGCGAGAGAGAGGAAACTCTCCGGAAACTCTCAAACAATACCGACAACTTGCAAGACTCTCAAGGCCTTCATTACTCACTCACTTCTGACTCTTCCCTCTCTGGCCAGATCACTTCCTCGTCCCCGCTGCTGGAGGACCCTTGGGAGGTGTATAACCCCATCCCGGTCAAGGAGCTACAGGCTCTCACCGACGCCGTCAACTCCTCCTTCAAGGTTAGAGACACAGCGACGATTGCATAGAGCAAGTATCTTTTTTTTTGTTCTATTATTATTCTCTACCACAGACGTGGCCACACATTTACAATGCTAACCAGCATCTGTACATTTTCTTCTGTCCTCCATGGGCAGGGTTAGAGATCCGTTAAACATATAGTTAGTGATTTGTTGAACAATCAACCACAGGTGATTGTAGTGCTTTTAAAATGTTGATCTAACCTACATTCATAAGTATATAAGCCTTCAGCAAATACACAGATTAATGTCTGTCCAACATAAACAGTGTTCGAGGTGTCTTTTTACATAGTACCATTAATGTGCGTTTACAAAGGTGAAGTGCAATTCGGACCAGCTTCCACATATCCTGTATATACATATACATATACACACACATACATATATGTCTATCCTACTTTGACAGAGTAAGATAGCTGCTATAGAAACTAGTGAGTTATTAAGCACTTAACCACTGAAGGTGATTAAGATGCTTTCACTGAGTTACATTACATACAGTTTATAACTGATGCTTTACATAGTCACTCTTGGGTGCAAGTCCAGTATATCATCAAGTGTGTATCGTTACACTAGGACATCTGCCCTCTGAGTTGTGTCCTAACGCTTGGTCTACAGGATCATTTTTACATCAGGCGGCCTGATTTGCAGAAGGCCTATTGAATCATTCAATGCAGCTCCTATTCAAATCCAGCCAAAATTCTTTAATATATTTCTAACCTACGCTTGAAACACTCTAGTAATCGAATCTATTATGTTACCCGGTAATTTATTTATTTATTTATTTATTTTTATTTATTTATTTATTTATATATAAGAAGGTACATTGGGTTTGAGAGAATACATAGCATAGTATTTACAATCTTGTAAAGCCACTAGTCCATAAGCCCATTTAGTCCACTAGTCCATTTATTCCATAAAGCAACAACCCTATTTAAAAACCAGTATTTACCCAGGTCTTTCCTCACTCAAAGTATCTAATTTATATGTTTAACCCTAATCTACCAACTAAACAAAAGGAATCACATAACAAGTTCGTGTTTACAGTGTACATCCGACGCCCTGAACCTTATCAACGGATACATATATCAACATGTTATAATTGGGTTATTTTCCCATTATCTCTAGTACAAGTTACATACCATTTCAGTATGCCAAAAATAGTATTAATAAATTAAATAGTGAGAATAACAGGGGCTGCGGGCCGAGTGGACAGACCTTGGGGGTTCATAGTCCTCAGGATCCGGGTTCGATCCCTGGCGGAGACGGAAACAAATGGGCAGAGTTTTTTTTCACCCTGATGCACTTGTTCACCTAGCAGTAAATAAGTACCTGGGAGTTAGATATCTGCTACGGGCTGCTTCCTGGTGTGTGTGTGTGTGTGTGTGTGTGTGTGTGTGTGTGTGTGTGTGTGTGTGTGTGTGTGTGTGTGTGTGTGTGTGTGTGAAAATTAGGATTAAGGACTTGCCCAAAACGCTATGCATGCTAGTGGCTGTACAAGAATGTAACAACTCTTGTATAAATAAATAAATAAATAAATAAACAATAAATATATATATATATATATATATATATATATATATATATATATATATATATATATATATATATATATATATATATATATATATATAAACAAGTTATTTTGGATACTCATTACATGCAATACAAGAATAACAGCAAGAAACAACTCACCTGGCAAAAATAAAAAGATGTGGACGTCAAGGAAACACTGCGTAAGATAGCTGCTAGTAAGATAACTGCTAGTAAGATAGCTGCTAGTAAGATAGCTGCTAGTAAGATAGCTGCTAGTAAGATAGCTGCTAGTAAGATAGCTGCTAGTAAGATAGCAATATTGACTGGCCGCCGCGCTCTGTGGTCAGATCTCTACTGATGTTACTAGTGTCCCCCCTCCTCTTTGCCTCCCGTTCTCATTATTATTATGAATTTAGGTGGAAGAAAACGTTAGCGGAGAGAGCGGTATGACCTGCTTGTTTCCTTATCTGCTCCTGGCATACTTATTCAACCATCAGACCAGAATATATAGTTTAACCACTATCTGCATCTGCGGATGCAGATAGTGACGAAATGTACACTCTCTGTCGGGAAAAGTATTCGTACATCCTGCATCACTGTATAACGAAATGTTGAAAACCAAAAATCAACAATTTATAGATAGCGCTATTTCAAATGTTTAAAAATATATAAATACTTAATATAAAATTATATACCATACAAATTCTTAGCCACGTATACCAATTTTTTGTCTACTATAGGTAGCTTCCGCGTTACTGTAATCCCAAACGGGCTCACCATAGCCCGTGCTACTGGAACTTATTGTTCTGAGTAACTGAATCTAAAACAACAACAACAACATGTAATTCCATCCCCATCTACCAGGCAAATGATAGGTGCATGCAGCAGGTTTGCAACAAATGTAAGCAGTTTAGCTTAAGAGATCATTTGGCTACATTACCTGAACCATCATGTGACCGAAACATTTCTTCTACAAGCAGACAATGAGCCATAATAACGTGGCTGAAGATATGATGACCAAACCATTCATCAGAAGATGGAGAAACAATCAAGACCGACGGTCCTGACTAACCGAAACGTCGGCAAGGACCGACGTTTTGATTCCGACTTAATAATGGTCCAGGACGGACCGAAACGTCGTCGTTTCTCCATTTTCTGATGTGTGGTTTGGTTATTTTTCTTCTACAACCCACAAGGTGCCGATCCTTAATAAACTAATTAAACTAAATTATCTCCACTGTGTTCCATTTAACCTTTGGTTATTTTATTCATTATTGAACGATTAGATATGTCATTAAGACGCCTCCTGCAGGTGGATTGGGTGTCGTACCTGACAGAGGTGTTCGAGGGCACTAACATCACCATCAGCAGGGAGGAGCTTGTCGTCGTGGACCGGCCCGAGTACTTCGTTAAGCTGGTGCGCCTTCTGCAGCACGTTCCTCCCAGAACGATAGGTGCGGTGCTCCTGGAGGAAGGGCGCTTTCGCCTCTATTCATTTCCCGTCGCTGATATTTCACTCTCTCTTTGTTAGCTGTATCTTGATCTTCTGTCTGTCATATCCTCTCATACTTCCATGTGTATAAGATTGTTTTCATCTTGTGATCCCTGCTTGACCTTGTCATATTCCTGTTGACGCTTCCTGTTAATCTTAAGTATATGTACTTAACTCTTTCGTTGGGGGTTGTGAACTTTCGTGAACTCTAGTGAACTTTTACGTTATTCCTTCGAACGTCCTGTTGGTCCTTGATAACCCTTTTTCGTTGTTAAGTTTATGTGAATCTCTATGGCCTTATTTGTGACTTCTCTGTGTCTTATTTTTAATCTTATTCTTAGTCTCTAAGGAAGTTTTTCTTTAATATCTGCTTCATTATACGTGACCTAAGCCTCGAACTTGCCCGTTGGCCTGTTTTAAAGTAAACTTGATTCCAGTTAATTCCTCACCTGGTCAAGGCCTGAAATACAGCAGACGTAGAAACTGACGTTTAACGCACATTCGAGAGTGGAGATTATTGCATTGTTTGCTGACGACGTTCGCCTTGGGGGTGACCCTCTTTGGCTGTAGTCATCCCTCTCAGTTCGTCCCCATTTCCTATGATGCTAGATTTTCGGTGATTATTCATAATTAAATGACCTCTGACCTGTTTCACCTGCAGCCAACTACCTGCTGTTTCCGGTGGTGGTGGACATGGGCGAGGAGACCACTGTCCGGTACCTGGCGAACCCTTCAGACGTGCCCTTCCGTCGCCCCTCCGTCAGGTGAGCTGTAATGACCTAAGTGTAGTTACAGAATGAGAGCTACGCTCGTGGTGTCCCGTCTTCCCAGTACTCTTTGTTGTATAACGCTTTGAAGACTACTGACGGTCTTGGCCTCCACCACCTTCTCACTTAGTTTGTTCCAACCGTCTATCACTCTGCAAAAGAAAACTTTATAATATTTTTTTCGGCACCTTTGTTTCCGTAGCTTGAATCTGTGAACTTTTGATCGTGAAGTTGTTGGTTTCAGGAATTCCTCTTTGTCAATTTGGTCGATTCTTGTTAGTATTTTGTAAGTGGTGATCATATCACCTCTTTTTTTCTATCTTCTAGTTTTGGTGTGTGTGTGTGTGTGTGTGTGTGTGTGTGTGTGTGTGTGTGTGTGTGTGTGTGTGTGTGTGTGTGTGACAAAGATAAGTGTGTGTAGCCTATCTGTCTCATATAACTGTGAAACATAAACAACCTTCTCCCTGTATCAGCGGCACGCCCACACCGACCCAAGCACGCCCGCACGCCCGCCCACAAACATACAGTAACAACTATGGTGTATTTCAGGTCGCTTGGTCGCTCCAACTCCAGGCCGTGAGTAACAGCTGGTCTGAAAGCGTATGAAGTTGACTTAATGGAACTCATTCATCACAATAAATTAGCAAGTAAATGAATATATTTTAAAGACTTGGACACAGAGTGATTGACAGGTTGGTAAAGAGTTCGATAGGTTGGGTTCAACGAGGTCAGACTCCAAGAGAACCACTGGCGCTCGTCCGTAGGGTGTTGAACGTTCTTAGTCTGTCTTGTATCCCTTGGTATGAATAGGGGTTTCACTTGCCACACTGCCACACTGCAAATGATCAATTATTTCACAATGTTGTGAAACAAAAATTGTACAAGCACTGAATGTTCGAGCCCAGGTCCTTATTAGCCATCAGATAGACATACACAAATATATATATATATATATATATATATATATATATATATATATATATATATATATATATATATATATATATATATATATATGTGTGTGTGTGTGTGTGTGTGTGTGTGTGTGTGTGTGTGTGTGTGTGTGTGTGTGTGTGTGTGTGTGTGTGTGTGTGTGTGTGTGTGTGTGTGTATAATATCCACACGAAAGCACTTGTATTATTCATTGCTTCGAGTATATAAGTGTGCATTAATATATCACGACGCGGCGTCAGTTGGCAAGACTGCAGTGAGAAGACGAGGATGTTGGTGCCCCTGGCGGTGACCAGCCTCTACGTCAGACGCCGCAAGGAACACCCCAACGGGACTCATGTGGTGAGTACACTCACTCGCACTCACTCACTCACTCACTCACTCACCTGCACACACACTTTCACTTGCAGACCCTCGACAAGGACAGTGATTGGCGGATCGTTTTCTGGGACAAATATTGAGATGAATAGCGTAGCCTAGTGCTGGGTCCTAGGCCTATATTTCTCGAAATATGAAAGTTATTTCTCACAATGAGCTTCACTTTATACGCCCAGTGTGCCTCCTAATATGCTTCACACACACGTACCGTGACCAGGAACTACATCTCGTTCATTTCTGCACAAATTTTATATTTTACTATTTTTGGTTGTAAGAAACTGTATTTTTGTGTCTAAAACAAAACAAAAACAAAAATGGCGCCTCTTGGAAGCTACGATGACTTTTGCCTTGACGTCACGTGACCTGTCATGGCCAATGGTTAGTAAGTAACATATGACTCTCTATGATTGGTCAGAGTGGGAAACACCAGCCAATTGTGCGAGATATTCTCGTGTCTCGAGAAATCTCATTGGTGGAGGTGAGTTCTTGGTCCTATACGTTTTCCCATATAATCAAGGCAACGATAAATTGTCTATACAGTATACCTAGGTCATAAAAGTATTTGTGTACGTCTGATACCATACTACTTGTGAAGGAGGAAATGTATATTTTTACCTCTCAGAATGTTTGGTAATGTGTTTATTTGTGATGTGTGTCTATGTATATATTAACACGTTGTACTGAACGGGGTGAGAATAGCTTGAGCTACCTCATCCCTTTGTGTGTATTTTACCTCAATAAACTTATTTCAATTTCAATTTCAATTTCAAAGGCAACGATCACACTACCAGCACACAGCTCACTGAGCTGATAGACAGATCAATTATTGCCTACGGTCAAGTTGAACAGCCGTTGATCTATTCTGCTAAATTTATGAACTCCTGTGACCTACGACTTTCAAAAACTTCCAGCATTGATGGTTGACTTTGGCAGACCTTGGCTATTCGTAACCTTTAACATGCTCTGATCTTCAATAATCTGTCCTTACAATAGCTTCATTGACGTTGCAATCAACTCCTGGTTATGGCATATTCTGACGAACTCCGGACTAGGCCTTTGAAACGATGGTCCCTGTGGATAGCTACAGTTTTTCACTCTGTCCTTATATCCCAGCTCCTATTCTGTCTTCATATCCCATCTACTTTCCTCTCATATGACAGGCCCTATTTCCTATTCTCTATCATAGCCCTTCAATGTGCTATATATTTATGCTTGTTTAGCGCTTTCTCCTGTTGATTACCTAACCACCTATGACGTCAAACCTTCCATTCATTTGCCCAATTCGTGACCTTTTTTTCAAGTTTTTTTCAATTTTCTTCCGTTCCCCAGGAGCAGGCCAGGGAGATCGTGGAGGACGTGTCAGCGGCCTTCAGGAACATGTTGTCCTCAGCCTCGTGGATGGACAACGAGACGCAGCAGGCGGCGCTGAAGAAGCTGGATCACATGCAGCACCTCGTGGCCTTCCCGGACCTGGTGTGGGACGACCACCTGCTGGAGGAGTACCACCTGGGAGTGAGTCAGGCGGAGTTGGAAGCGGCATAGTTAATATGTTATACTTTATATTTCATCCTTTTTCTGTAGCACTCTTCGGCGTAACAGTCACGCCCAAGTGGCCACAATATCCAAAAGTGGCTTTGTGTAGACGTTGCAAATGTAATCCTCCAATATTCCTTCCTCTCCTGTACCGACTTCGAACGCGAGATCGAAGCCACATAAAATCTCCTTCGAGCGCCCGCTCTTCATCTCAGGTATTTGTTGCAGTCATTCCTCGACTAAAATAGATCTGATTGATTGATTGATGAAGATTAAGCCACCCAAAAGGTGGCACGAGCATGAATAGCCCGTAAGTGGTGGCCCTTCTGAGCCATTACCAGTATCAATAGATGATACTGGAGATCTGTGGAGGTGCGGCTGCCCCCTGCGTGACGGGAGATGTCTCCCGTGGAAATGGATCTGAACAATTGTAATTCCACAGTTCAGTGAATGGAGTGTCTCCTAGTTATGAAGAAATGCGAAGTACCGAAGAACATTCCTCTCGTGGCTTCTAGAACATCGCTTGCGTCTAAATCCTTCCTCAGTTCATCTTTTAGTTTCAAAATTTGACGCTGTAGTCACGTAGTACTGTAGTTTCGTCCTATGATGTTTTAAAGTTATATCTCTTTTGTTTTACGTGTAAATAAGTTTGTTTTGTATTTATTTGGCTTTCTATTCTGTTTTCGTTTTATTCTGAAGAAGCTTTCAATTTGTTTTCTTATTCTGAAGAAGCGTTTTCTCTTTACTTAAACTTTTATTTTTTTATTGCAGCAGATAACTTGTGTGATTTTCATTATTCAAATGAGCATACTGACGTATTGTATGCTTGTGTGAGTGACGTAGGGCGTCCTCGTGGCTATAGTGACGCATGATACATCGTTGTGGGTGACGCAGAGCGTCCTCGTGGCTATAGTGACGCATGATACATCGTTGTGGGTGACGCAGAGCGTCCTCGTGGCTATAGTGACGCATGATACATCGTTGTAAGTGACGCAGGGCGTGCTAGCGACTATAGTGACTGTCATATCTTTACAGATGCCCAAGGTTTCTGCGAGCGACCACTTCGGGAACATGGCGTCCCTGGTAGCGTGGCACAGCCTCCGGTCCCTCCTGCACCTGCGGGAGCCTCCACCAGCCCAAGAGTCAGTGTCCTGGTTGTAGAAGCGGTTGTTATAACTGTAGTTACAATAGTAGGGGGATATAACAATGGTACTAATTGGAATAGTAGCTTAGTAGCATATTGACTGCCTTGTCCAACCAACACTTTTCTATACTCTTTATATATTATTTGTGAAAGTTAACGTTCAACATTTAAACTACAATGGTGTAACTATAACTAGTTGTCGTTATCCCTAACAACCACTAACTACTACTAACTACCACTAACTACCAGGTGGCCCAGAGGACCCATGGAGACGAATGCATTTTACAGCCCTCTGCACAACACTATTGGTAAGTATGTTGTATAGATTTATCCTGTGTTGTGACCACACACCACAAGGTCTACAGTGTTGTGACCGTGTAGCAACATAGTATTGATCAAAGTAACTAGTGTATACCTTCCTGGCTGGTTTGAATACACTATAAAGTTCTAACAGTAGAGAAGCCTAAAGTTTACAATAGTCTCCCATTAAAGCTCACGTTTTCCCTTAAGGCCCCTTACCAGACTTGTTGATTATCTCTACACTCACCGACTTAAAATTATACTCACATTTAAGACTTGTTTACCTTAAGATGTTATCGGGTGGTGAATATTTAGAGCGCAGCTTAGTGACTTGAATTAGGGTTGGATTATAGAACAATTTTTGCTACCTTGAGGTGATTCATGTAAGTATGGATAACTGTGATGATTTGTTTAAGTGAGTCTTAATTTAAAGGAACTGTAGGACAGATTGTGATGTGTTTCTTGATCACAGTGATCCCCACGGCAGTGCTGCAGCCGCCCATCTTCCACCTGGAGAACCTCAGGTAAGTGTTTCACTATATCCAGGTGCTTCACTAACCCAAGTGCTTCACTGATCCAAGTACTTCACTAACCCAGGTATTTCACTATTCCCAGGTGCTTCACTAATCCTGGCGTTTTACTATACCCAGGTCCTTCACTAACCCAGATGCTTCACTAACTCAGGTGCTTCACTATACCCAGATGCTTCATTATACCCAGATGCTTCACTAACCCAGGTGCACTTAACGCAAGTGCCATACTATACCCAGGTGCTTCACCACTTCCTGGTGCTTCACCACACCCAGGTGATTCACTGACAGAAGTGCTTCACTGACCTAAGTGCTTCACTAATCCAGGTGCTTCACCACACCCAAGTGCTTCACACACACACACACCCACACACACACACACACACACACACACACACACACACACACACACACACACACACACACACACACACACTCACACACACACACACAAGTGTTTACTATACTCAGGTGCTTCACCACACCCAGGTGCACTAAACAGGTGCAGCACTTCATATTGTATACATTATATATTGATGATATAGTAAAATATTGACCTGATGACGCATGTTTGCGCATAACGTTGACTTCTTCATCCACAGTGTCATCTGAACTTATTCAGTCTCAACTAACATCTGCTCTTCCTTATAGATCTGTCTGACCTTTGACCTAATTTGAATGCGCACAAGAGCCTCATATGATCTGTAATAACACATCCAATATATCAGTAAACTCCAAGGCGACCCTTGACCCCAGATAACGTCGTGTGTGTGTGACCTCTCTCTTTACAAATAGCTGGCTTGATAAGCTCCGATAGTAGCTTTGACCTCACGGTAACATGTAACCTTACTTCCATCAGGGGTCTCAACTATGGCAGTCTCGGGTCAATCATCGGCCACGAGATAACACACGGGTTTGATAACAACGGTGAGTTATCACTGCTTGTGTGACCGTCTCCTTCCAGTGTGTAACTCACTTCCCTCTCTGTTGCAAACACACTTCTCACTCACCCTACCTTTCCCCTCTACCCACCTACAGTACTGTTCTACCCTCGCTTACTCATCTATTCTTCGTTCGCTCTTCTCCCCTCACTACCTATCCCTTCCTCATATTTACACTTCCTGTTCCTTTGCCTAACCCTTACCTCTTTCTTCTCTTAACTCTTGCCTCCACCTTGAGCTAATCCTTGCCTCACCTGGCCGCTTGGTGGGGCCCCTCACAGGTCGTCACCGGGACTGGAGCGGGGCGCTGAAGCACTGGTGGACCAACCAGACGCTGCAGCAGTATGCCAACAGGACCAATTGCTTCGTGGACCAGTACTCGGCCTACGACGCCGCCGACCTCCTGCCGCCTCACCACCGTCCCTCCAAAGGCATGAAGGTACACACACAAAATATATAACGCTAATTTTCACCGTTTTGAAATTTCTGGGATTGTTGGTTAATAATATCTGCCGACTCCTCTAATTACTTCATGTCACCCTTAAACATTAGCCACCTGTTTGGGTATGTTAGAACCAGTTCTTGGTTTGATAATTTCCGAAGTTCTTTGCTCTCGTCGCCAAGGATTACTAGGCGACGAGCAGGATTCCGTACTGATGGCCTAATGAGGGAGGTTGTTGCTGGTGGTTGTTCAACCTGTCTCCTACAGCCTGTCCTCCTACAACCTGTCTTCCTACAGCCTGTCCTCCTACAGCCTGTCCTCCTACAAAGAACGTTGCTTTTCACTCGTATGCGTTACATATGGCCAAAAGTTGTCGTACTAGAAAATGGAAGCGACTGGCGAAAGTGACGTACTGTCCCGTTTTGGGTCTTCTGGTAGGTCTTAAGAGGACACAAAAAAAAATGACCGTTTTCTTGTCGTTAGGAGACCTTAGGAGGACGGGCTGCGTGGCTTACAGACCCACAGCCGTTATAATCAGGCTGACATCAGATGCAGGAACTTCTATTGTTCCCCTTTAGAAGACCTCAACCTTTGCTCCGGCAACATTTCTTATATTTTCCGATAGGAGAAACGTCCTGTGCCACTGATATTAATACAGTTGTGTATAACCAAGTTTATATTGCTCTACTTAATAGTAATAATACTTAATATTAATATTAATAATATTATTTACTTAATAATACTACTCTATATTATATAACCTTGACTTTCGAGTATTTTCTAAGGACTATGAGAGACCTCTTTCGTCCCCAATATTTTTCTCATCCTCATATCGGATGTTTTGGGCCATTGCGTGCCTCTAACATTTTCCCCTACCGCCCACAGGATAGGTATGGGGTGCATAATAAATGAACCTGACTGTTTAGCTTAGAGCGTAGGCAAGAGAGAAATACAATCATTTACGCTTGGAAAATAATAGAGGGACTGGTTCCAAATTTTCACGCGGCAATAACTCCCTATGAGATCTAGAGGCATGGCAGGAAGTGCAAAATAGCTCCACTGAGAAGCAGAGGTACGCTGAGAGACACCTTCTCAACACACTACCTATAAAGGGACATAACTAGTCAAACTCTCGTCGTGTTCAAAAGAGGAGTGTATAAACAACTCCAAAAGATACTTGATCAATCGGAATGTGACTCATACGTCAGGGTGCGAGCAGCTGTGTCTAACAGCCTGGTTGACCAGACCAACAACCAGAGGAGGCCGCGGGGACATCGATCCCGGAACCAGGAGAGGGTGAACACGAGGTGCCTCCGCTCCAGAGGTGCTCATCCTGAGTGCTTCACTAGTTTGTGTCGTTTCTGTCATGTCTTCATTTTCCTGAATCTTTTTAATCACAACACAAACATTTCCTTTGACAGATTAACGGAGCACAGACCAAGGGTGAGAACGTGGCAGACAATGACGGTAAGTGTGCAGGGTGTCAGGGTGTACTCACCTAGTTGTGTTAGCCAGCCTCGCATAGGCCGCTGATGTTATTCTTTTGATGTAGGCTTCGGGAGACAGGATTGTTGTGATACCAACTCCAAGATCTTTCTTCCTTAGTGTGCAGGGTGTCAGATCATGCAGGGTGTCAGATGATGCAGGGTGTCAGATTATGCAGGGTTTCAGATTATGCAGGGTGTCAGATGATGCAGGGTGTCAGATCATGCAGGGTGTCAAGAGTCAACACGTCCCAGCTTAGTGGTTTCTACCATCGTTAAATGACGTGTTAACAACCATTAAGGTGTCTCTCCTTATGAGATGTTAAACATGTTCTCTCCACTCTTGTCAACGATGGCTCACTCTCTCTCTCTTTAACCCTGCTTGCTCAGTCGTAGAGCAGTGAAGTGCCTTGTTTTTACCTGTTGATGATTTCGAGAGTTGTACTCCCACAGTGTGAGTTTCTCGACCTTTATATCTGAGATAATGACCAAATGTTTTCAAATATTATGTTTGATTCTTAGAAATTAACTGTAATTTACTTGGTTAAAAATGTAATAACTGATAAAGGTATTATTGTTGTTAATATTGGGCGGCCCCTTACCTCCTCCCCCCGGGCAGGTCTGCGGGCGGCGTGGGCGGCCTACAGGACCCGCCTGCAGAAGGACTCTGAGCTGCTCAAGCTCCCGGGCTTGGAGCACTACACGCCAGATCAACTGTTCTTTATTGGCTTCGGCAAGGTGTGTAGTCACCTAGTTATAGTCACCTAGTTGTGCTTGAGGGGGTTGAGGTCTGCTCTCTCATGCCCCCTCTCAACAGTGTGTGTGTGTGTGTGTGTGTGTGTGTGTGTGTGTGTGTGTGTGTGTGTGTGTGTGTGTGTGTGTGTGTGTGTGTGTGCAACCCGTTCTCGTACTTACTTATAGTCAATATCTTGCTTATGAATAAGTGCATATGTAACATACTAATTTATTGTCAATATTTGAGTTTACCTTGAAAAGCTGAATAGAAAACCACAACCTAACCTAACCTTCTTAGTATGTTAAGATATTACAATTAGTACTGAACCTATACCTATATTGATATTTCAGTTTTATAAAAATAATAAAACAAAACTAAAATATTTAAATAAATTGTAAAGTAACTCAGGATATTGTCAAATTTTGTATAAAATCTCTATTGTTTAATAAAAGTAAGAGGAAAAGTCTTGAAAAAATATGGCTTGGAATGTCACATATGTACTCATTTATAAGCGAAATAGTGACTATAAGCAATAAGTCATATATGTGCTGTCTTGTGCGAGAGCAGGTTCCTGTGTGAGTGACAAAACCAGTAATTAGCAATATAAGAGTAAAGCCATTAGAATAGTATCATGAGGACAACACACATCTCATCCGGTTTAGATCAAAAGCCAGTGGGGGGGGGGGGGAGTGGAGAACTGGTCTTTCCTGCACAGTTATGGTGACACCTCCTCCTGCTGCTCCTCCGTCAGGTGTGGTGCAGCAGACACTCGCTCTACGCGCTCAGGTTCCTGCTGGAGATGGACGCCCACTCTCCGGCTGACTATCGTATCCTGGGGCCGCTCCACAACTCCCCAGAGTTCTCCGCCGCCTTCAACTGCGTCCCCGGCTCGCCCATGAACCCCAGCAGGAAGTGTGTGTTATGGTAACGCCACACTCAACACGAGAATGACGAATCACTTGCAGAACCATCCCCGACCCTTCCCCAGCTTTACCTGCGGGGAGGGAGGGAGGGAGGGAATCAGGAACGGCTTCGTCCGGAAGGAAGTTCGAGTGGTTCGCGATCTAGTGGATACAGACTCGTGGTTGCTAGGCCCAGAGCTCAATCTTGCACAACTTCTTGCACGGTGACGTTAGTTACATTGCTTTAGATTATATAAATTGCATTCCACACTTCCGTGGAAATATACATGTCATTCGCCTCGACTGTATGGGGTCTCGAACCCTGGACCTCAAGCCGAGTGGATAGTGCTACGGCCTCACGCTCGTGAAGTCCAGGGTTCGAGACCCATATAGCCCCGGTGAATGGAATTGCTTTAGACTCTTCGCACTCACACTAGTTAGTTTCCTTCCCCCCCCCCCCCCTTCCTTGTACTAACTACTTGAGCTAGTTCAATATACCCGATGCTTTAAGTTTAAAGCTTCGGTTCTGAGAAATTAACTACGTTGAAGGTTCTGGCGTTGATGATCACAGTTACGTCAGCGGAGAACCATCAATGGACTCTACACAGTATCTCACCTGGGCTATAATATGTCTAGGTTGTTAGACCCACCGATGCAAGTGATCAGTTAAGGCTGACAATGTTGGCTTGACGCAGAGGCAGCGTCGGTTGACTCCCACATTACTGCTAACATCCCGCTGCTTAAGTCAGAAACAAGAAAGGAATAACACTTAAGTGGGCCAGGCAGAGGTTTAGGACCCGCGCCGCAATATTCCTACGAACAAAAATTATTAAAATTTGTGTGGTTTACTGTCTTAAATCTTAATAAGAATAGTTATTAATTTCGTTATCTTCATAATAAATGAAATAATTTTCTCTAACGATAATGTATTAAACAGTTCAGTAACTATATAAATGAAATATTAATTTATTTCTATAGAATTCAGCAGATTTATCTATAAAATATTTTGTATTCGTGAAAGATGTTTTTCCTCTGTATAAATATTAAATTACTATTAAAGTTTGTATTTATTGCTAACCCTTTATTATATTTTTATTACATAATTATTCTTTATGTTTAGCATTTTTATGAATTATTTATTATCAAAAGCTCTGATATCATAAGTTTCCGTTTGCTCACACCATGAATTTCTGGAAATCCTTTACTCTAATAATTGTCACTCATCCATTCCCAAATTAATCTAGTTTCTGCCGTATACTTGTACACTAACAGCCCAAAGTGTGAAGAGAACCACATGCTGCTGAAGGCAATGTTAGAAAATACCATCAACCTTCTTTGCAATGATTCACAGAAAAAAACAAATCCATTTTCCAGTCAGGTTCGATGGTCTTGGTGTCCACATAGTCACTCAGATCCTACCTTCCTCTGCATTAGATGAGCTTGCCAAGGGAATTGTATTATTTAAACTAGGTGACTCAGCGCGCTTGATAATCTCAGGTTTATAGATTTACAGAGGTCACCATAGTTCAAACATTGACGTGCTGAGCAATTAGATAAAACTATATTTGTTCATTAGATAGAAGAACTTTGTACTATTCACTTTATAAAATCTGAAAAAATTAAACTTTAAAAAACAGATCTTAAATATTTCTAGGCCTAGTATAGCACATATATGTACTATATTAGGCCTCAGATAGCGTCTATTAGGCCTAGGAAGGTTAGGTTAGTTTAGTCTGTCTTTGCAACATAAGAAGAAAATCGTTTTCCGGTTTGTCCAAATTCAACAGTACCGATTTCTACTTTCTAATTGCACTGTCCGTCGGTATATGTACTATAGGCCTCGCCGTACTATCAAAACAGGAGGATGGGCTGTATACTTATACATTTTCAATATACGTGGATGGATAAATATAGTATAACATATATTATATCATATATATAACATATATATATATTATATATTATTTGCAGTCTCCGTGGTGTAGTGGTAAGACACTCGCCTGGCGTTCCGCGAGCGCTATGTCATGGGTTCGTATCCTGGCCGGGGAGGATTTACTGGGCGCAATTCCTTAACTGTAGCCTCTGTTTAACGCAACAGTAAATGTGTACTTGGATGAAAAAACGATTCTTCGCGGCAGGGGATCGTATTCCAGGGACCATAGGATTAAGGACTTGCCCGAAACGCTACGCGTACTAGTGGCTCTACAAGAATGTAACAACTTGTATATATCTCAAAAAAAAAAAAAAAATATTATAACATTAATATAATATAACATATATTTATACATTTACGATAAATATATTATACATATATTTATACATTTACGACTACTTAATCCACTACTTCACATTTTTCTGATTAAACTGTTTATTATTAGATGTAATCTACTAAATATGACTAAAAAAGCAGCAATGCTGGCAAGATGATACATACACCCTTGTTTATGACACGCTGTTGAGAGCGGCAGGTGTTCTTGTCATGATGTTTCAGTTACCCCAGTGAAAGAACACACGTGCTTGAACTACCTCATCCCTTTGTGTGTATTTCCTCAATAAACTTATTTCAATTTCAATTTCACGTGCTCTCTTGTTGTTGTCTAAGCTGGGGAGGGGATACTATAATTAATTATCCTTCAAACCTTTGTTTATGCGTTCAAGCTACATTAGGTCACTCATTGACTATGCTGCTCCTGCTCTTACATTCCTCGGTAATAACCAATGGGAGAAGCTGGAAGTGTCACAAAATGACACTTCCAGCTTCAAATGACACAAAGGCGGCGTCAGAACAATGTTGGGAGGTATGGACAATATGGACACGTCGAGAGAATCTAAGAATGGAAACCAGCTTACCAGCCTTAGAAAACAGGATCAAACAAAGGATGTTTGGCACCATAACAGCAAAACTTGTTGGAACCACCGCCAGTGCTGGTAGACCAGGGCAGGTGGTGACTAGGCTCAACAAGGGCGTGGAGGTGCTCCAGACACCCACCTTCACCAGCGGCAGGTGCACAGCTGGCACGGCTGAAGGTGGGTGTCGAGACGACGTTCACGCCCTCGTCTGTAGGTCATTTTTTGCTTCAGGTGTGGCCACACCTGAAGCAGGTGTGGCCACTCTTGAATGCTTAGATTCAAGAGTGGTTCATGGCTTCAGTTCAATTCTATTTTTAATGCGGAGAGAAAATTCAACAACGGGAGGCGGGTACATCCGCGTGTCTGTGTCTGCGAAATCGAGCTTTTGCTCTTGGACTCCGCTTTAGCAGGTTGTCTAGGACAATGACTGTCGACGCATCATTTGTTTTCTATCATATCTGCTTTTTAAATTTACGAGTATAGTTGGCGGCAAAAGCTTGTGATCGTTTAGTTCATTCCCTTTCCCCTGATATGTTAAGAATACTTTCTAGGGGTCTATGTGTAGCATCCATTTCTCAAGTTTGTATCCGCGCCCTCTTGTTATATTGGGATAATTGTGAGGATCTTCTCATTTTACACTCTGTCAACCTCCTAAGTATTTTATACGTCTCTATCATGTCCCCTCTACTATTTTCAAGTGATGTTAGGTCTAGCTCTTTCCGCCTTTCTTCATACCCACGTCATTCTAGGATGAGGTTCTTTGGTTCATTTCCACATTTGTTGTTTCCTTGCGAGGTTTTGTGGTTGCGCACCACGATATGGCTGCATACTCTAAGAATGGTATCATGTAGGTGGTGTACAGTAATGTGAACGCCTCTTTATTTAGGTTTTTCAATGATGTTCAGACATTTGCCAGGTTAGTGCATGTTGCTGACGTTGTATTTACACCCACAGTGTTAGCCTTGCATGCCATTTTCTCTGGTCATTAGAGGTAAATGGTGGTTGTTCAGTGTGTACCATCCTTGTGGTCTCTTGTCACCGGCTTCTACCTTAATCACCTTACACTAGCTGCTGATGAAATCCAGTAGCCACCCCGCCAAACACACCACGAAACTACGACGTTGCTACAACCTTCGGAACAAGTTTAACACCTTCTAACAAGTTGTAACAACCAATATAGCAAGTTGTAACAACGTTCTAATACGTCACACAAACGGAATAACAAGATGTAACAAGCTCATTCCACAAGCTGTAACAAGGGAATCACAGGGCCCGTTACGTGGTGTTTGCAGGGCGCGCCAGCCACTTACCGGCTACCGGCTCTGTGGCTTGTTTAAGTCGTCCTCGTGTAATGCTTTACAATCTTCTTCTGCTCTAATTGACTCGTCTCGGTAATTTTGTAGCGTCTGCAAATATCGACTTGTGAAACAACACCCCCCCCCCCCCCCGTAGTTAGTCATTAGAACACAGTACACACAGGACGGCCTCAGCATGGAGGGTCCTGGCGGGGGGCTGGTCTGGACCCCCGGGGGCAATGACTCTTAAATAAAATACTTTAATGAACACTACAGAAATGCTTCTGTAAATCCCATTGGCTCATTGTAATGTATGGTTTCCACACACGCTGACCACCCACCTGCCCACCACACACACGCGGCCACCCACCTGCCCACCACCCACACGCGGCCACCCACCCACCCACCACCCACACGGCCACCCACCCACACATGGCCACCCACCTGCCCACCACCCACACATGGCCACTCACCCACCTGCCCACCACCCACACACAGGTACGCCCTCTTGGTAAACACAACAAGAATCCTTAACAACTACATCCCCCATAAATTTCAAATTGCAAATGACTCAACTATGTCGTAAAATGGTCAGAGGCAAAAGGTAAACATTTAGACGGACCAGTGAGTGGGCAGGTGAGTTTGGCTGGGTGGGGGGGGATGGGGAGGAGGGGGGGGAGGGGGAGAAAAGAGGGGAGGGGGAGGGGGGGAGGTAGTTGAAGACGCTGACCACTCCTACAAGCAGCATCAACAACCATTAAGACTTTTTCCTTCCCTCTGCGGCTGGTTCCATCCTGCCTAACAACCGGACTACCCAATTCCCTCCTTAACATAAGCACGAATTACATTTTCAGTTTAAATATTTATATTTTTGTAATATGAAGAGTATATATATTATATTATACCTTGTGTTTAACTTCATAGAATATATATATCAGATATTTTTAACTAGTTTCAGTACCTTTATAAAAAATATTCTGTTTGATTTACAAATCCGGAAATTAATATATAAAATTTGTTGATAAAGTATCTTTTAATAAAAGTGATAATTATAGGTACCATAGCTCATTAAACACACACACACACACACATATATATATATATATATATATATATATATATATATATATATATATATATATATATATATATATATATATATAACATTTAAAGCAGGCAATCCTAAACTATTAGCATTGTTGCCGCTGTTCACCAACCTGCCCTTTTATATTTCATAATATGCAAAACATGATTAGTAAGATCACCAGTTTGAATGCATTTATGAGTAACTGATCAGTTCCCAATCAAAAATGTATATGTATTCACATAGCAACACATAAAAATTACCACAAATTTGCAGTTAGTGAAGAGAGTGTGGGTTGCCAGGTGCGCGAGGACTCCGCGATGAGCCAGGAGATTTGAACGCGCCTGAAGTAACGGTCAACAGAGTCACCCGCTCCACCTCTTATCTTTCTATTTATTTTCCCTCCGTGAAGGCTTTAACGATCTATTTTGTGAGTTATTTAAGAGGGAAATATATAAATCCAGGTCCCGAAATTAATATGTACCGTAGTTCTTTTGTTTTATTGGGCTTCTCACCAGACGGTTGAGTGTATGAATGAGAGTGACACCGCTCCCGGCGACACATTCCGCCATGTTGTTTTTATCGTCTGGTGTTGTTGCCCGCTGGTGAAGATTGTAGTTCTTTTGTAGTAGGAAGGGTTGAGCTCTGGCTCTTTGGTCCCGCCTCTCAACTGTTTACTCATCTAGTGGGTGTGTGTGTGTGTGGCGCGAGGGGGGTAGGGGAAGGTACTCCCCTAGCTGTGCTTGCTGGGGTTGAGCTTCGGCTCTTTGGTCCCGCCTCCTAACCGTCAATCAACTGGTATACAGATTCCTGAGCCTACTGGGCTCTATCATATCTACATTTGAAACCGTGTATGTGTACATGTGTACATACATCATTGTGTGTGTGTGTGAGAGAGAGAGAAAGAGAGAGAGAGAGAGGGGGGAGGGAGGCAGGGGGAGAGAGAGAGAGAGAGAGAGAGAGAGAGAGAGAGAGAGAGAGAGAGAGAGAGAGAGAGAGAGAGAGAGAGAGAGAGAGAGAGAGAGAGAGAGAGAGAGAGAGAGGGGGGGAGGGAGGCAGGAAGAGAGAGAGAGAGAGACAGAGAGAGAGAGAGAGAGAGAGAGAGAGAGAGAGAGAGGGGGGAGGGAGGCAGGAAGAGAGAGAGAGAGAGAGAGAGAGAGAGAGAGAGAGAGAGAGAGAGAGAGAGAGAGAGAGAGAGAGAGAGAGAGAGAGAGAGAGAGAGAGAGAGAGAGAGAGAGAGAGAGAGAGAGAGAGAGAGAGAGAGAGATGCGTGCAACAGCGTGTCTGTTGCAAGTCATCATAATGCCCCGCTCATCCCACGTGAGTCATCAGAATGTTCCATTCATCTCCCGAGAATCATTTACCAACGCTTCAATCATCTCAAGTGATCCATCAGCTTCACGACTGCACATTTGCAGAACATGCGGACTATCCCAGGCGGTAATAGTCCGCATTTAGTCAAAATGTCGAGCTGTCTGAACCAGGAGTAGAGACACGAGTCGTCCACTTCCGGGTCTTACGAGACAGGGGGAAGTAGCTGGGCTGCCAACCGAGTCCCAGAGATGACTTACCTTGCGATGATTTCAGGGCTCAATGTCCTCGCGGCCCGGTCCTCGACTAGGCCTCCTGGTTGCTGGACTCGACAAACCAGGCTGTTGGACGCGGCTGCTCGTAGCCTGATGTACAAATCACAGCCTGGTTGATCAGGTCCATGTGATGTTGATGTAAGCAAGCTTTCGTTCCCTGGGAGGTGGGGGCCAAGGGCCGGGCTTCCCCCCCTCGAGTACCAGGCTTCCCTCCCTCGAGTACCAGGCTTCCCCCCTCGAGTACCAGGCTTCCCCCCCTCGAGTACCAGGCTTCCCCCCCTCGAGTACCAGGCTTCCCTCCCTCGAGTACCAGGCTTCCCCCCCTCGAGTACCAGGCTTCCCTCCCTCGAGTACCAGGCTTCACCCCCTCGAGTACCAGGCTTCCCCCCTCGAGTACCAGGCTTCCCTCCCTCGAGTATCAGGCTTCCCTCCCTCGAGTACCAGGCTTCCCTCCCTCGAGTACCAGGCTTCCCTCCCTCGAGTATCAGGCTTCCCTCCCTCGAGTACCAGGCTTCCCTCCCTCGAGTACCAGGCTTCCCTCCCTCGAGTACCAGGCTCCCCCCCCCCCTCGAGTACCAGGCTCCCCCCCCCTCGAGTACCAGGCTTCCCGAGTACCAGGCTTCCCCCCGTCGAGGCCCTTCCCAGGCTCCCCCCCTCGAGTACCAGGCTTCCCCCCCCTCGAGTACCAGGCTTCCCTCCCTCGAGTACCAGGCTTCACCCCCCTCGAGTACCAGGCTTCCCCCCCTCGAGTACCAGGCTTCCCTCCCTCGAGTATCAGGCTTCCCTCCCTCGAGTACCAGGCTTCCCTCCCTCGAGTACCAGGCTTCCCTCCCTCGAGTATCAGGCTTCCCTCCCTCGAGTACCAGGCTTCCCTCCCTCGAGTACCAGGCTTCCCTCCCTCGAGTACCAGGCTTCCCTCCCTCGAGTATCAGGCTTCCCTCCCTCGAGTACCAGGCTTCCCTCCCTCGAGTACCAGGCTTCCCTCCCTCGAGTACCAGGCTTCCCTCCCTCGAGTACCAGGCTCCCCCCCCCCCTCGAGTACCAGGCTTCCCTCCCTCGAGTACCAGGCTACCCCCCCCCTCGAGTACCAGGCTTCCCCTCACATACTAGACAAAGCTTCCTTGAATATGAAGTTTCTCCTGCTTATTTCCCTGTCTCTCTGTAGTGAATATTATAATAATAGTAAAAACTGATTTTGAATCACCGCTAACCATTCAAAATATATTTGTAATATAACATTCATATTATAGTAACACGGGTTGCTGTTTGTGTTATATTCCATGTTTAGTCTATTTTCCATGTCCTCGTGACTCCTTATTAACCTCTTAACTTATCAGTTTGTTGTAGCTTAGTGTGGGAATAAATTTTTTTAGAAGATAACTGTATCGTACCTTCATCTGTATGGCGCTCACTTCAATATCTGTAAGTCGTTAGAGCCGTTAAACCATTTCCGTTCCTCCTGCAGGCAGTTAACAAGTCGCTGGATCTTCAGTGTCTTTGTCGTGAAATGTGGACCATTTGACAACTACACTGTCGTACATGACCGGTCACCCAGACACAGGAAGAGACTGTACGTGGCACAGCTAATAAATTGCTGCAAGTCGTTGTTGTCCGGAGCGCTGGGAACCACCACCACCGCAGGACTTCAGAGACAAGAACACAGGTGGTGGCAACTGTCGTATAGTTCCTCGCGGTGACGCTACGTTCCTGTTGGGCTGAGTTGTTACTTTAGTGGAGCAAGGTGGACTAAGGAGCACCAGCGGTCGTCATGGTGGTAGACTCACACCGGTCTTGCCCAATTGGTAGTTGGTCCGCGTGTTGATGGTCTGAGAGCGTCGCTCTAACACAAGTGTTGATACAGCCTGCCCTTCTAGACTTGCCACAACGGACAAAATAGGGACTACTAAAACGCGCGGGTCCAAGATACCGACCTAACCTAAACTACCCAAGCATGGTTGAGCATCACTAGTTTTCATACCACCCCTTATTCCGCCCCTTGGGGATTATACCGTCAAAATACGGTGTATTTGAGAAGACAGAGTGCACATTAAGGCTTGTCCGCCAGTCGGCGGAGGGGCTGGGTGGGTGCACGCACTCTGCCTCGTGACCAAAGTGTACACAGGTGAAGGCACTCTCACCTGGTGGTAGTAGCAAGACACGCATCTCCCTTTGTGTGTATTTATATCTTAATAAACTTATTTCAATTTCAACAGAACTAAGCAATGTTGGTATTCATAAGCACGCTTTCTCAGTTTAATGAAGATCTAATTTACCTGAGGGCTACTAAACCTAGTGGCCTTGACGAGGACAGGAAGCCGGCGGCTTCTCGGAGGCCTCCCCCCCCCATCTCTTCAACATTGCAAGTGCAAATGCTTTTTCATGATTCTAACACATGCCTTACTAGATATTAAATCATCATTAGGCAAGTTTCACGCGTAACAGGTAAAATACCAATTACCGGTCGTTAAATGTTAAGCACTGACTTATACATTTATATTGACTGGTAATTCCACAAAATAAAAAATGAAACGATGTTCGTAATTACCAAACATCGACCTCATGTTCCAGAGTTCGAATCCTCGATGTTCCGAACTAAGCTAATGTTATTTTGACAGTTCTTAAAAAAGCCGAATTTCCTTAAATAATGATTTTTCTATATTTTTTTCAAATAAATTGATAGATACCTTACTTATCAATTATCAAGATTTATTATAGGAATATTGTATAATGTGAACCAACAGTACGATAACAACCTTAACTAACGTTAATTGGACGATAATTGCTCATTACTACCTAGCTAAAGTATAATTATACCGATATTATATAATATCTTACCCGGTAAATTATCATTCAAATATACCAGCATTAGTCTACTTCAAGCTTGACCTTAAGTTAATAATTCGTTCAAGCTTCTAGTTCACGAATTAATTTCTTGTTAAGTTTTTCGTCTCTCAAGTTAATCTCCCGATCGAGCTTCAGGCTCCCAAGGTAATCTCTCCATCAGGCTTTTAGCGTTTAAGTTGAATGATATATGCTAGGCTCTGCTTCTCAAATTAATCCGTCATTCTGTAATGGTCGCATGTCCAGGCCTGGGGAAGGAACTTGTGCTTTCGTGTAATTAATATTCTTGAGAATTGTCAACCACCTCGAATAACGAGACGTATTTGATTCCAAGCCGACACCTTGTAAGGGCAGCAGTATGGGTTCAGTTGTTGTTGTTAAAGATTCGCTACCTGGAACAAAGTTCCAAGTAGCACGGGCTATGGTGAGCCCGTAGTGCCTTTTTTTTTTGGGTTCAGACGTGAGGAGGTGCTGAACTACTCGGCTACAGTATCCTCACTCTGATTGCCTATACTCAATGTCACTACAATTATTACTCGTGAGATGGAGTCATGGAATTTAATGAACAGCCCTCGTGAGTCTTTGATGCAGATTTTGACGGAGCGTGAAGAGAGATGGCTGGAAGCACAAACCGAAACTGTCTTTATTTTCCGCTTGTTACAACTTGTAATAAAGTTGTTACATCTTGGCTTAACGTGTTTATGACGCATTAGAACGTTGTTACAACTTGCTATATTGGTTGTTATAACTGGTTAGGAGGTGTTAAAACTTGTTCGAACGTTGTACCAACGTCGAAGTTTCGGTGTGTGTTTGGCGGGATATAATGGCTACTATATAAGCGTCTGGGCAGGACCAGGAGCAAAGCCAGACTCGTGTGTCAACACCCACACACCTGTACCGGGGCAGTCGACATCATCATCCCTAGCACACAGGGTGTGAGGTGCGTTACCAAGCTGCTCTCACCAGTACACATATACATACACTTTAGGAGGTATATGTCACCGACCTGGTGCCCCTCCCCCTACCACACACACACATACACCGGGGGACAACCGCTAGACAAAAAGGTTAAAAACAAAACAATAACAAATAAAACACCACTTGTAAAACCTTTCACTCATAAAATTTATTTAATCCTACGGTCTTACACGCTACATACGGGAACTAATACCATCACAAAATCACCTTTTTTTACTACCCTTGTGACTGCTTCTGCTGATCTTCTTCTTCTTGCAGATCATGTCGTAGAGGCACTCCAGCCCCTCCTCCAGCCCGTCACCGATGATGGCGCACGACGGCTGCACGTGGAAGAGCTGCGCCGGCCCCAGCTCCCGCAGCCCCAGGCTCTTCTCCACCTGCAGGAGACCCACAGATGGGGTGAGGCGCGGGGGAGCATACTTAGGGAGGGTGGCAGGTGGCTCAACTGGGGCGTATGGTAGATGGGGGAGGTAAACTAGGGGAGTATGACAGGTGGGGGAGGTAAACTAGGGGAGTATGACAGCTGGGGAAGACAAACTGAGGGAGTATGACAGGTGGGGAAGACAAACTGAGGGAGTATGACAGGTAAGGAAGGTAAACTAAGGGTGTATGCCAAATAGGAAAGTAAACAAGAGTGTGTGTCTCATTTTCTGCCATCCCCTCCCTGGCACTGACCTGGGCGGCGTCCTTGGCGCCTGGCAGGTCCTGCTTGTTGGCCAGGACGAGGATCGGGACGTGGTGGTTCTCCGGCGTCCGCACCGTCCTGAGGAGCTCCATCTTGGCCTCGTCCATCCGCTCTGTGTCGGTGGAGTCGACGACGAAGACGATGCCGTCGGTGCAGCGGGTGTAGGACCGCCAGAGCGGACGGAGCTTCTCCTGGCCCCCCACGTCCCACACTAAGAAGCTGGTGCCTAGGGAGAGGGCGGCGAGGGAGGTGAGAGATGGAGGAACAGTTACACACACACACATATATACACACGGAATATTTTGGGATGGCCAGAAAGCCTTTGACACAGTACCACATAAAAAACTAGTGCACAAACTGGAGATGCGGGCGGGAGTGAAAGGGAAGGTACTCCTTTAGATAAGGGAGTACCTAAGCAGCAGAAGGCAGCGAGTCACTGTGAGGGGTGAGGTCTCAGAGTGGCGAGGCGTCACCAGCGGAGTCCCACAGGGATGAGTCCTTGGGCCTATACTGTTTCTGATATATGTAAATAATCTCCTAGAGGGAATAGACTCGTTCCACTCAATGTTTGCTGATGATGCAACTATTATGAGGAGGATTAAGACAGAATAAGATGGTATGAGGCTACAAGATGACCTAGACAAACTTAAGGAATGGTCCAACATATGGTTACTAAACTTCAACCCAAGTAAATGTAAGGTAATGAAACTAGGTGGAGGAAATAGGCCAGACACTGGATACCGAATACGAGAGGAAATCCTTCATGAAACGGACAGAGAGAAAGATCTAGAATTGGATATCACGGCAAACCTGTCTCCTGAAGCCCACATCAAAAGAATAACATCAGCGGCGTATGCGAGACTCTCTAACATCAAAACTGCCTTCAGAAACCTGTGTAAAGAACCTTCAGAACCTTGTATACCACATATGCAAGACCAATCCTGGAGTATGCAGCCAGCATGGAGCCCGTATCTTGTCAAGCACAAGACAAGGCTGGAAAAAGTTCAGAGGTATGCCACCAGGCTAGTCCCAGAACTAAGAGGCATGAGTTACGAGGAAAGGCTGCGTGAGCTGCACCTCACGACACTGGAAGACAGAAGACCTTGGGGACACACACACACACACACACACACACACACACACACACACACACACACACACACACACACACACACACACACACACCACAGAGATCTAGCAGCAGATATACAAAAAAAGTTTACCTCAAGGACGCATCTCTAATGACGCCAGCCCTATATAAGAACCTTTATAAGGAAAGGCGAAATTGAAGAGCTTAAATTCGATATTGAAAACACAAATTTATGACTACAAACATAACCACAGACATGCGTCACCATACTAATCACATTGTTGAACGGCATGAATTACAAGGACACACTAAAGGACATGAATATCACACAAATGAAAGTGAGAGACATGATCACAATATACAAAATATTCCTGGCAGTGGACATCCAGGTACGGACAAGGCAGTTCTCACACCAGCGACACAAATACAATCTTTATACACACCTCTCTTGCATGGACAGTCTGGATGTCATTTATTTCCTAGATGTATTAATATACGAAAGTACTTAAGGAAATTCCTGTTTCAATTTTCCTCCGTGATCTGACACTGTCATATATATATATATATATATATATATATATATATATATATATATATATATATATATATATATATATATATATATATATGCTTGTTTTCAGCATGCATATGAATGTTTAAATGATGCACGTGTATGCATATTTGATACAATAATATAAACACGCACGTATATGCATGGCTATGTATACTCATATTATGCTTGTTTTATGCGTGTATATGTATGTTTGTACTATTCATGGATATGTATGTTTGCAGGTAAGTAGGCAATACATATATGTATATGAATATGCAGTAACTGAGTGGTGTATAATATCGTGAAAAAATATATACATGATATATATGCATGTATAATGTGGCATGAATATAGCAAATTATACAAATGAAGAGTAAAGCACCATATACCGGGCATACATACCACACCAGTAATACATACCACGCTAGAATGCATATCACACCAAGTGTCCATACCACAGTGGCATACAATGTTACCATATACCAGTGCATACCACACTGGTATACATACTACACCAGGTATACATACCACACCAGGTATACATACCACACCAGGTATACATACCACACCAGGTATACATACCCAGGAAAGCAAGCTGTATACATGTGAAAACAGGAGGGAGCCCCACAGTCTGGCGCCAACTGTGAGGCCGACATGTGTATAGGTTACATAATACACTACGTACAATTGTCTACACTTGACTGATAAAGAAGTGATTGGGGAGTGTTGTGGGGGGTGGTGGTAGGGGTGGTGGTGGTGATGGGGGTGGTGGTAGGGGTGGTGGTGGTGATGGGGGTGGTGGTAGGGGTGGTGGTGGTGATGGGGGTGGTGGTAGGGGTGGTGGTGGTGATGGGGGTGGTGGTAGGGGTGGTGGTGGTGATGGGGGTGGTGGTAGGGGTGGTGGTGGTGATGGGGGTGGTGGTAGGGGTGGTGGTGGTGATATGGGTGGTGGTCTTGACGATGCTGGGGTTTCTGTTCTCACCTATTTATGCTTGCGGGGGTTGAGCTTCAGCTCTTTGGTCCCGCCTCTCAACTGTCAATCAACAGGTGTACAGGTTCCTGAGCCTACTGGGCTCTATCATATCTACACTTGAAACTGTGTATGGAGTCAGCCTCCACCACATCACTGCCTAATGCACTTCACCTGTCAACCACTCTGACACTAAAAAAGTTCTTTCTAATATCTCTGTGGCTCATTTGGGTACTCAATTTCACCCTGTGTCCCCTAATGCGTATGCCCCCGTGTTAAATAATCTATCTTTATCTACAATATCAATTCCTCTGAGAATCTTGTATGTGGTGATCATGTCCCACCTAACTCTTCTTTCTTCCAGCGACGTGAGGTTTAGTTCCCGTAGTCTCTCCTCGTAGCTCATACCCCTCAACTCATGTACTAGTCTGATGGCATACCTCTGAACCTCTGCGTATCACACTAGTTATTACAGCAGGGAAGGATGAGCTTCAACTCTTGGGGTCCGCCTCTTCACGTTTAAGAGATTCGTGTGAGAAGTACAGAACCGTCTTTTATCATAACATCATTTGAATCCATATTGGAATGGTATGATGAGATGGTGAAAGGATAGTGAAGGGATGATGAGCTTATGGTGAGTGTGAGGAGGGGGGTGGGGGTGAGCAGGTCCTATAAGAGAAGAGGTGCATGCTACCTTCCCCTCTCCCCCCCCTGCCTCTACCACTCCCATTCATCTATTTTAATCATTCCTAATTCTCCTGATTTATTCGACGCCTGCCATTGAACCTCTGTATAACTTATTGTGGCTCACTCTCTTGTGTGCGTGAGGGGGGAGGGAGAGGTGGAGAGGGGGGAGTGGGGAAGAATCACCACCCTAATACCCCCCTCCCCCCCTCCATTGAACACATATCAACTCCGGGTTTGGTGTCATGTACCACGTGGGGGGGGGGGGGGGGGAGTAGGGGGTACATGACAGAGGGGCAGGGGGGGGGTGAGTCCGGGAGGCGACGTACTGCACTGTGGCACTACTCAACACATGCCGTAACTCACTACTCAACACGCTACTCATCGTCACTATTCATCACACTCCTCAACTCACTACTCAACAGTTGATAATTATTCAAGGAAATTGTGACCACGTTTCTGGGGCTTGAACTCACGTGATGAATGTGTCAATGAATGATGATGAATGAGAGTGATGAGTAACACCCCATTATCATCCCCCCACCCCCTCCCCCTTCCCAAGACCCTTGAACAAGTCACAGGTGTAATCAGGATTGCGTATTGTGGGAAGGTAAATATTGAGATAAAACGCCAAGCCTGTTTGACTATACAGCACTGGATACGAGGACAGGAAGCTGAGATATGAGGACATGCAACTGGGATATAGCAACAGGGGGGGGAGGGGGGAGGGGAAGAAGTGTTGCACAGCTCCTTGGAGCATCGGGGATTGAATGCCGACCCTGCAAGAAGCGAGGGCGTCGCCCAAATGGTTCGGAGTACAATGTAGTTGTAGAAGAGATGAGTGACACTGACCACTACTGCCTCTATGTCAGTATGGCCACTCACAGGATGAGTGACACTGACCACTACTGCCTCTATGTCAGTATGGCCACTCACAGGATGAGTGACGCTGACCACTACTGCCTCTATGTCAGTATGGCCACTCACAGGATGAGTGACGCTGACCACTACTGCCTCTATGTCAGTATGGCCACTCACAGGATGAGTGACGCTGACCACTACTGCCTCTATGTCAGTATGGCCACTCACAGGATGAGTGACGCTGACCACTACTGCCTCTATGTCAGTATGGCCACTCACAGGATGAGTGACGCTGACCACTACTGCCTCTATGTCAGTATGGCCACTCACAGGATGAGTGACGCTGACCACTACTGCCTCTATGTCAGTATGGCCACTCACAGGATGAGTGACGCTGACCACTACTGCCTCTATGTCAGTATGGCCACTCACAGGATGAGTGACGCTGACCACTACTGCCTCTATGTCAGTATGGCCACTCACAGGATGAGTGACGCTGACCACTACTGCCTCTATGTCAGTATGGCCACTCACAGGATGAGTGACGCTGACCACTACTGCCTCTATGTCAGTATGGCCACTCACAGGATGAGTGACGCTGACCACTACTGCCTCTATGTCAGTATGGCCACTCACAGGATGAGTGACGCTGACCACTACTGCCTCTATGTCAGTATGGCCACTCACAGGATGAGTGACGCTGACCACTACTGCCTCTATGTCAGTATGGCCACTCACAGGATGAGTGACGCTGACCACTACTGCCTCTATGTCAGTATGGCCACTCACAGGATGAGTGACGCTGACCACTACTGCCTCTATGTCAGTATGGCCACTCACAGGATGAGTGACGCTGACCACTACTGCCTCTATGTCAGTATGGCCACTCACAGGATGAGTGACGCTGACCACTACTGCCTCTATGTCAGTATGGCCACTCACAGGATGAGTGACGCTGACCACTACTGCCTCTATGTCAGTATGGCCACTCACAGGATGAGTGACGCTGACCACTACTGCCTCTATGTCAGTATGGCCACTCACAGGATGAGTGACACTGACCACTACTGCCTCTATGTCAGTATGGCCACTCACAGGATGAGTGACGATGACCAATCAACTCGTCTCTCGGGACAAAATGAAAAAGTTGCAGGTAATGTGATCTAGGGCCGGGCCGGAAGCCACCACTGCTGCTCCCACAACCTGAGGAGGAGTCGAACTCAGGGCCAGCGAATCCCCCCCCCCCCCACACACACACCGACGAAGTTATCGTGTGTGAGGACCGTGAGGGTGGTAAAATGGGTCCGCCCCATCACCCCCACGAGGGGAAGGAAAGAGCTCATTATCGCCCCCAGCCATCAGAGTGACCTGGAGACACAATACACACCATGAAATATTATATGGAGCGCCACACACCACCTTTGTCCACCTCCGGAACACCCACACACACACGCCTCCCTCTACCCCCGTCCCCACTACCTTTCCCTATGACTCTGCAATCGTGTCCTCAGACCTCCCCCGGTCCTGTGGCTGCTCTCTCTCTCCCTCCCCCACTCCCTGTGCTGGGAATACCCGGGTAGTGACCAGTATCTGCCGGCAGCTCAACACGGGAACTATTTCCTGTGGGTGTTGATGCCCGACCCACCTCGACCAGGAGAGAATGTAAGGGGGGTAGATGATCAAGAGAATGGCTTGAAGCGGCCGGCAGTGAGGTACTCACCACAGACCCCAGTCTAACCCACGTCGCTTAAAACAGCGTCGGTACAAACACTTTCACACTACACATAGAAATGGCGGAGACATATGAGTGAATGGCATATATATATACACACTCCATGCACTCCAACACTCCAAGCAACTATAGTCTACAATCATCAGCAGATTTCCTAGAAATAATCAAAACTACACAGCCCGATGGAATCATTGCTTCCCTGGACGTCGAATCCCTATTTACCAACGTCCCAGTCGACACAACCATAGGAATGATACTGGACAGAGTATACAGAGACGAGAGCACCCCCAAATTAGACATACCCGAGCCACATTTGAAGAGTCTTCTCGAAGCATGTACAAAGGAAGCCCCTTTCATCAGTCCACAAGGAGACATGTATCTACAAATAGACGGAGTATCAATGGGCTCCCCCTTAGGAGTTTTGTTTGCTAATTTTTATATGGGAACCATCGAAGACAGAGTCTTCGGAATAACGTTTGGAGCTCACTTAAGTCACTTAAATATCGACTCTGCCTTCAGTAACCTGTTCAACAAGTCCCAACGTATGTGGAACAAGTTCTCGAGTATGCAGCACCGCCCAGAGACCTCCTACTGAACGTGCCAGTCCAAGACAGACTCAAGCGTCGACGCCGAGGCCCTCATATTGACCCGCATCAAACGATCGTAAGTAAATTTATCGTAAATTTAAGATCGTAAATTTAAGTAAATAACCACTTATTCTACAAATAACACTAACGACAAAACAACAGCATAATAAAATATTTAAAACAATATCGTTTAACAGTCCAAACCAAAGCCTAACCTTGGCTGTGAATCTCTCCGTGACCTGACGTCACAAACTCCCAGTAGGGTCTAAAACCTGTACCGATCTGAACACTATGGCGTCATAGTGACGTCACACTTGGGGGGGGGGCACCATACTAAAACACAATCTGTAACACTTATTTTCGTTAGTTTAGGTAATTTTATCAGGTTAGGTTAGGTACGCTAGGTAAGATTAGGATAGGAGAGGACAAGTTAGGTGTCTTTACATAACAGCAATGACGTGAAAGGTGCATATTTTCCTCAGGGTTTAGACTCTACTCCAAACGCAGGCTGTGTCATCGTCAAACACAACGGAATTGTCTTTCTGTTTCCAGGGGCCGATGGCGGGGATTTATGGGGCGCCAACTGCTTGGTAATGGTAAGATATACCCTGTTTACCATGATGGGAAACGGCAGGTTTTATTTGTTGATTTGACATATAGCCTAGTGTTCACAGGATTCTTAAGGTTAGGTAGCCTAGTGTTCAGGGGAGGGACCAACACCCCAACTGTGACAACTGTACCGGGAGGGACCAACACCCCAGCTGTGACAACTGTACCGGGAGGGACCAACACCCCAGCTGTGACAACTGTACCGGGAGGGACCAACACCCCAACTGTGACAACTGTACCGGGAGGGACCATCACCCCAGCTGTGACAACTGTACCGGGAGAGACCAACACCCCAGCTGTGACAACTGTACCGGGAGGGACCAACACCCCAACTGTGACAACTGTACCGGGAGGGACCAACACCCCAACTGTGACAACTGTACCGGGAGGGACCAACACCCCAACTGTGACAACTGTACCGGGAGGGACCAACACCCCAGCTGTGACAACTGTACCGGGAGGGACCAACACCCCAGCTGTGACAACTGTACCGGGAGGGACCAACACCCCAACTGTGACAACTGTACCGGGAGGGCGCAACACCCCAACTGTGACAACTGTACCGGGAGGGACCAACACCCCAACTGTGACAACTGTACCGGGAGGGCGCAACACCCCAGCTGTGACAACTGTACCGGGAGGGCGCAACACCCCAACTGTGACAACTGTACCGGGAGGGACCAACACCCCAGCTGTGACAACTGTACCGGGAGGGACCATCACCAAAGCTGTGACAACTGTACCGGGAGGGCGCAACACCCCAGCTGTGACAACTGTACCGGGAGGGCGCAACACCCCAGCTGTGACAACTGTACCGGGAGGGACCAACACCCCAACTGTGACAACTGTACCGGGAGGGACCATCACCCCAGCTGTGACAACTGTACCGGGAGGGACCATCACCCCAACTGTGACAACTGTACCGGGAGGGACCATCACCCCAGCTGTGACAACTGTACCGGGAGGGACCATCACCCCAGCTGTGACAACTGTACCGGGAGGGACCAACACCCCAACTGTGACAACTGTACCGGGAGGGACCATCACCCCAGCTGTGACAACTGTACCGGGAGGGACCATCACCCCAACTGTGACAACTGTACCGGGAGGGACCAACACCCCAACTGTACCGGGAGGGACCATCACCAAAGCTGTGACAACTGTACCGGGAGGGACCATCACCCCAGCTGTACCGGGAGGGACCATCACCAAAGCTGTGACAACTGTACCGGGAGGGACCAACACCCCAACTGTACCGGGAGGGACCAACACACCAGCTGTGGCAACTGTACCGGGAGGGACCATCACCCCAGCTGTGACAACTGTACCGGGAGGGACCATCAGCCCAGCTGTGACAACTGTACCGGGAGGGACCATCACCCCAGCTGTGACAACTGTACCGGGAGGGACCATCACCCCAGCTGTGACAACTGTACCGGGAGGGACCATCACCCCAGCTGTGACAACTGTACCGGGAGGGACCATCAGCCCAGCTGTGACAACTGTACCGGGAGGGACCATCACCCCAGCTGTGACAACTGTACCGGGAGGGACCATCACCCCAGCTGTGACAACTGTACCGGGAGGGACCAACACCCCAACTGTGACAACTGTACCGGGAGGGACCATCACCCCAGCTGTGACAACTGTACCGGGAGGGACCATCACCCCAGCTGTGACAACTGTACCGGGAGAGACCAACACACCAGCTGTGACAACTGTACCGGGAGAGACCAACACACCAGCTGTGACAACTGTACCGGGAGGGACCAACACCCCAGCTGTGACAACTGTACCGGGAGGGACCAACACCCCAGCTGTGACAACTGTACCGGGAGGGACCAACACCCCAGCTGTGACAACTGTACCGGGAGGGATCATCACCCCAGCTGTGACAACTGTACCGGGAGGGACCAACACACCAGCTGTGACAACTGTACCGGGAGGGACCAACACCCCAGCTGTGACAACTGTACCGGGAGGGATCATCACCCCAGCTGTGACAACTGTACCGGGAGGGACCATCACCCCCAGCTGTGACAACTGTACCGGGAGGGACCATCACCCCAGCTGTGACAACTGTACCCAGCCCCAAACTACCGGGCTGCCGCCTGTCACAATACCCAGTCCCAAACTACCGGGCTGCTGCCTGTCACAATACCCAGTCCCAAACTACTGGGCTGCCGCCTGTCACAGTACCCAGCCCCAAACTACTGGGCTGCCGCCTGTCACAATACCCAGCCCCAAACTACCGGGCTGCCGCCTGTCACAATACCCAGCCCCAAACTACCGGGCTGCTGCCTGTCACAATACCCAGCCCCAAACTACCGGGCTGCCGCCTGTCAACACCGCAGCCTGTCACAGGACGCTGCCCCGGGCCAGCCCAGCAGCAAAAACTGACCCTGCACAAGCATCTCGCCCAACACCTGGGACTCACCTTTGCACCTGCCCGACGTGCCTTTTATTTTCTCGCAGTTGAAGCCGATGGTTGGGACCGTGTTGAGGTACTGGTCGAACTTGAGGCGGTATAGGGCCGTGGTCTTGCCGGCCGAGTCTAGCCCTAGCATCACTACATGTAAGGGCGCATTTAGGGAGGGCAGGGCGTCGAGCAGGGACCCGGCCTTCCCTGAACCTCCCTTACCAATACTCCCGCCCATAACTTACAGTGTTAGTTTGGGAGTAGGGGATAGGGTGGACGGATGGTGTCAGGGTTCAAGCATTGTGATCACTGTATAGGTGTTTGGGTGGTGAGGCTTCTCTGTGGGTGGTGAGGCTTCTCTGTGGGTGGTGAGGTTTCCTTGTGGGTGGTGAGGCTTCCCCTGTGGGTGGCGAGGCTTCCTTGTGGGTGGTGAGGTTTCCTTGTGGGTGGTGAGGCTTCCCTGTGGGTGGTGAGGCTTCTCTGTGGGTGGTGAGGTATCCTTGTGGGTGGTGAGGCTTCCCCTGTGGGTGGTGAGGCTTCCCCTGTTGGTGGCGAGGCTTCCCCTGTGGGTGGTGAGCGTCTTGGGAGTTATCACAGGGTATTTCAGAGGTGTTCCAGAGGGCAGGTAGGCGCCGGCCCTCCCTCCGGGGACGGTGGCGGCTGATGTGTTCAACGTTTATTTAATCGATTATTTTAGTTTCACATATAGCCACTTGCGTCCAACTATATCAGACGCTGGTGGCGGCCTTGGACCAGCCGCCGTCCGCAGTGACACACGCACGATCCAGGGTCGTAAAGCGCTTCAGAAGGGTGTGAAAATATTACAAGCATGACATTTTCTTTCCTGCACCAATCCACGCGCCCGTCTACACAACCCCCCACACAATTCCTTCAAAAACTTCATCGATTCATCCGCACTTTTTTTTCTCTCTTTGTCACATGCCACCTCACGTAACACTGCCAGGGTAATCCTAGTGGCCGGTGTGGTCCGGTGTGGGGCACAAGGGTCGCAACGGGAGTTGGTTATCAAGATGTAGGGTAGTGAGGGTGGTCCGGCGCACCTCCCGTCATGGTCAGACGTAGAATGTGCGGACCTGAATTCCTCTGAGGCGAAGTCCTGGAGAAGATGGGGCGGCGGGTCCCTAGTCGGGATTTTGCTCATTGTGAGAATATTATTACTACACTTGCATAAACAAAATAAAATTCAACACGAAGGAGAGCCAAGGGTTGGATACGACCTCCTGAAACACGAGTACACACTCGTTGGGGTCCAGATGTGTGGGAATATGGTAGAGAGAGAGAAGTGACCGCCAGCGCGCGGCAACCCTCGGGTGGAGCATGAACCTGCTAACTCCAGACTCCCTGGCCACGCTTCGGGCCAATTATATTTTCCCACTTGCCCGATGATCGCCTCTGCAGCCCAGCTCCTAACTCCTGGTACACGGAGAGCTGCTGTAGCCGCCCCTCCTCTAGGATGTGGGGGTGTTGTAGAGGGCGGGGAGGGGCCGCCCGGCCTCACCTGTAAGCCACCAATATCCTCCACGTTAATGTGCTTTATGGCATTGGCAATATATATATATATATATATATATATATATATATATATATATATATATATATATATATATATATTATATATATATATATATATATATATATATATATATATATATATATATATATATATATATATATATATATATATATATATACGGCACTTGAAACGCATCTGAGAACAAGAAGCTGGGATGGGAAGAAACTGTGCCTTGGGCCATCGGGGATCGAACCCTGACCCGCAAGAAGCGAGGTTGTCGTTTTATCGACGAGCTACTTACACAATTCAATACACATCGTCACATCAACAATGGGTTCGTGACCGACCACAACTACAGTTTCTAAATTAAGCAGCTGACATATGTGGAGAGCTAGTGTCACAATTGATATGTTTGTCCTGCACACCGCCCCCCATCCAGTGGGCAGCGGTGGATAGGTTACGATAACTTAGTTACCAATGGTACGGACACGGGCAGGACGTGTTACCACCTACAGTACGGACACGGGCAAGTGTTTCCACGTACAGTACGGACACGGGCAAGTGTTTCCACGTACAGTACGGACACGGGCAAGTGTTTCCACGTACAGTACGGACACGGGCAAGTGTTACGACGTACAGTACGGACACGGAGGACGTGTCCTGAAGCCAAACACCTCCCCGGTGCCATACTGACGCTCTGGGCCTGTCTTGTATATTTATATTCTTTACATAAATTTTCCAGCAGTCTCTGTCCATGTGGTCAAATATACGAAAACTGACATATTCTTCAATTATTTTACAGTTCTACAACGTAAAATGACGTTGGACGTTATGACGTTCGACGTCAATACATTAGACAACCGAGTTAGAAAGGCAGGGCCCAGGAGCTAACACCTCGATCCCGGAGGCACAACTAGTTAACACACACTATATGTTGTTTGGGAGCATGAAGTATTTTCCGTAGGTGTCCAGCAGGGAGACCCACTTGCCCCTTTTCTTTTTCTGCATGACTGCTTCAGAAGTCACCAGCGATCTCAACATCTGGGTCCTCGACGATGGCACCCTGGCAGGGACACAGCCGTCCCTGCCAGGGGATCTACAGCTGGTGGAATACTGCTGATTCTGATTCCACACCTGGTGGAATCTAAGGCAGAGGAGTTAGGACTCGCGGTAAATCTTTCAAAGTGCGAAATCATCTCGTCCAGCCAACCAATCATAGATGCAGCCAGTCGTTTTGCCAGGAGCCCCGGTGATCGTCCCCGCCAACAGTGTGCTGCTAGGGGCACCTCTGGGCTGTGCTGCTAGGGGCACCTCTGGGCTGTGCTGCTAGGGGCACCTCTGGACTGTGCTGCTAGGGGCACCTCTGGGCTGTGCTGCTAGGGGCACCTCTGGGCTGTGCTGCTAGGGGCACCTCTGGGCTGTGCTGCTAGGGGCACCTCTGGACTGTGCTGCTAGGGGCACCTCTGGACTGTGCTGCTAGGGGCACCTCTGGACTGTGCTGCTAGGGGCACCTCTGGGCTGTGCTGCTAGGGGCACATCTGGACTGTGCTGCTAGGGGCACCTCTGGACTGTGCTGCTAGGGGCACATCTGGACTGTGCTGCTAGGGGCACCTCTGGACTGTGCTGCTAGGGGCACCTCTGGGCTGTGCTGCTAGGGGCACCTCTGGACTGTGCTGCTAGGGGCACCTCTGGGCTGTGCTGCTAGGGGCACCTCTGGGCTGTGCTGCTAGGGGCACCTCTGGGCTGTGCTGCTAGGGGCACCTCTGGGCTGTGCTGCTAGGGGCACCTCTGGGCTGTGCTGCTAGGGGCACCTCTGGGCTGTGCTGCTAGGGGCACCTCTGGACTGTGCTGCTAGGGGCACCTCTGGGCTGTGCTGCTAGGGGCACCTCTGGACTGTGCTGCTAGGGGCACCTCTGGGCTGTGCTGCTAGGGGCACCTCTGGGCTGTGCTGCTAGGGGCACCTCTGGGCTTGAATGTCATTGATGCAATACGTGAAGAAAAGTTGAACGACCTGAGGGGGATGGATGCTACCCAACCATTTCTACCCCAGCAGAAATTCCGGGGGTTTCCGGGGTTCGAATCCCGCCCGGGATTCGAACCCGGAATTCCCGACTGTGAGCCGAGAACGAACATGACTACACTACCGGGACCGGAGAAGTAAGTGAGGGGGGGGGGGGGGTGTTTACATGTGTTCACAGGTTAACGGGGCGGTGAGGTGCTGCCATCTGTTGCCTTCACCGGTAACTGGACCCGGTGCGAGACCCTCTCTCTCTCAGTGAAGTCCGCCCCTCTGTGCTCAACTCACCGTCTCTCATCTCAACGTCTCTCATCTCAAAGTCTCTCATCTCATTATCTCTCCCACTTCACACTCTCTCACTTCAACATCTCTAACCTCACGGTCTTTCACCTCATGTCTCGTACTTCACTTTTTCTTATCATGATGCTTATAAGAGATATTCCTGAAGGCTGTTTCTCATATTCGCCTCGACAAGGGTCCAGGACCGACCAGTACGTTATTGTCAGATTCAGATGTTTATTCAGGTAAGGTATATACATACAAGTGATGTTACATTAATGGATTGATATATAGATAGAGCTAGTACATACAATGCCTAAAGCCACTATTACGCAATGCGTTTCGGGCATTGTGACTTATTATCTCTCTCTCTCTCTCTCTCTCTCTCTCTCTCTCTCTCTCTCTCTCTCTCTCTCTCTCTCTCTCTCTCTCTCTCTCTCTCTCTCTCTCTCACACACACTCCTCACAAACCCAATGTACCTTCTTGTATATAAATAAATAAATAAAGTAAATAAATACATATATAAAGATATAAATTATATAAATATAAAATATATAAATAATATAGCAATTATAAAACAAACATAAAAATTATAATATAAAAAAATAATAATATAAAAATAACATAATAAAAAAATAATATAAAAATTACTATATAAATATAAAATATATAAATATATAATCATTAGTAATAAAAATGATGAAAAGTTTCTTGGTCTATTCCTAGACAAGAGACTCAACTTCAGCACCCACATACAACACATAACTAAGAAAGTCTCTAAAACAGTTGGTATACTCTCCAAAACCAGATATTATGTACCTAACTCTGCTCTCATCTCTCTATATTATGCACTAATCTATCCCTATCTCAACTATGGTATCTGTGCATGGGGTTCAACCACTCCAAACCACCTCAAGTCCATCATCACCCAGCAAAAATCTGCTATCAGAATAATAACAAACTCTGCTTTCAGACAACCCTCAGCCCCCTTGTTTAACTCCCTAAACACGCTAAACATAATCTCTCTCCACAAATTCTCTTGTGTCAACTATATTTACAAAACCCTGTTCTTAAATACAAACCATGCTCTGAAACTCTCGCTGGACAGATGTAATAGGACCCATTATCACCACACCAGAAATAAATATCTCTTTGATATCCCCAGAGTCAAACATAATCTGTGTAAACACTCTATGCAAATAAAGGGACCCAGTCTATGGAACTCACTCCCTAATGAATTGAAAAGCTGTCCAACTTTTGCGTCATTCAAAAACAATACTAAAAAGTACCAAATTTCATCTTCATAGTTTTTTACCTTGTTGCTTTAAAATTGCACTGTATCTATTGCTACCCAATCTCCCAATCTTTATGTACCCAATCCGAACATCTTTACCATTGTGATCATTGCTGTCTTCTTATATGTGCTGTCAATTTGCTGTATGGTGCCTATTAATCTTGTTTAAATTACTAATCAAGCTGTCAATGTAATCAATCAGAACTTTAATATACCAATGTGCTTTAATATACGTACTAATCTCTCCCATCTCATCTTTTTCTTGCAATGTATCTGTTTTCATTTTATTAACTCTGCTAGAATTTACCTACTTAAAATTATCTGTTAGATTAAGGACCTGCCCGAAACGCTGCGCGTACTAGTGGCTTTACAAGATCATAAATACCATGCTATGTATCCTCAGAAACCCAATGTACCTTCTAGTATATAAATAAATAAATAAATAAATAAGTAAATATGAGCAGATATAAACACTGGTAGATATTAAAAAGTATACCTTAACAATGTAACGTTTTCTATTAAACACTTTTATTAGAAAATGGTGAATTTAGGGGTAACATAAATGATTAATAAAGCAAAACGTTTGAGCACGATTGCTTACGTGATGTGAGTTTGAGATGATGATGATTGAGATGAGGCTTGTATCCAGGTCCCTGAAAGGTCGAACTACTGACCTTCCCCAGGATACAACAGTTGCCTAACTACCATGTGCCTATTTACTGCTATATCTGGCGTTACTGGCGTTCCGCGAGCGCTATGTCATGGGTTCGTATCCTGGCCGGGGAGGATTTACTGGGCGCAATTCCTTAACTGTAGCCTCTGTTTAACGCAACAGTAAAATGTGTACTTGGTTGTAACAAGGATTCTTCGCGGCAGGGGATCGTATTCCAGGGACCTGCCCGAAACGCTACGCGTATTAGTGGTTGTACAAGAATGTAACAACTCT